ATTATAACCACCCTTTGGAGTATGCTGCAGGCCCTGAGCAGCAGCCAGTCTGAGAAACCGTCAGTCTCCTCAGATTCCCTTTTGTTTTATAAACAGTACAGCATGATTATAACTACTGCCATGCACAGATTCCTCTTGTTTGGGGTGTTGATGAGGAATCTGGTTTACTGATGTACATGCACTAAAAATGTCAAAACCACTTTTAGTTGGACATCTATAAATCTTTATCAGCAAGGTATAAATAACCAGTTTATTATGTTTGAAGACTCCATTGTGCAATACAACTCACATGTGGGAGAAAAGTTAAGTTTTCAGAAAGGTCCTAATGTTATCAATATAATCAGGTTGCTGTCAACACAGTCTAGCTACTGTAACAATTGTTATATAACACATGGCCATAGACCAATTATTAAAATTAGACTTTCTTTAAAGATACTTTCCCACATCTTTATCGGGCAGTTATTTCCAATAAAAGTATGGCAATTTTGGTATATATTGAAAGTGGAGACACCCAATCTTTCGAGAAGAATACTGGATTCTTTGAAACATACCCATGGAGCACACACTGGACAAAAATGAGTAGGTGTCACTAATTGGCAGCCTGACAATTAAGGGCTGTCTGCTCGAGTGATGTCAAAGGTTGCGTGCGAAAATTGTCTCATCGCTCAAAGTTAGGGAGTGCTTGATGTATGTGTTGATAAACTTGATCGTGAGCGGACTACGAAAAAGTAAGATACTTAAATGTACAACACTTTCTGAGATAAAAACCATGAAAAAGATGTTGGCAGTGGATAATCCGAGAATTTAATTAGGCTTCGATATTTATGATAAATGGACAGCAATTAAAGACAACATCGTCTTTTATATGCTGTGAATTCTACCCCATCTTTGCACCCGTTGATAGGTACTGCGACAGCCAAGTCATGTGACACTACCATAACTTCTTTAGCTATATTTTTTATAGCATAAGGTATTTCCTCGTGAATACAATGTTTTAAGAAGGATATGATGAAAACTTTTATCATTAATTAGTTTGAATAACAGAACACAGTTTTTATGGGATACAATCACTAGTTTATTCTAAAAGCACGACGTTTCGACAAGTATCCTCTTATCGTTATCAAGCACAAAATGAGTTTGAATATGTTTTTAGTCCAAATATATCATCAAATCACACAGTTTGTACGCGGGAAGGTATCTTTAAATAGAGGAGACAAAACACAAAAACAAAACCCCGTAAGACAAACCTGTGGACAAGACACACAAACAATAAACAACAAACGTATATATAACAAATCAAGTGAATGGATCCGTGATTGTTATGGAATTTACATTATGTAAGATTTAGATAAAGATCTACCCATTCTTGCTATAATAGTTCGAAAAATAGATAATGTAAAATGAATAATTTGAAAATTTCATTCAAATTACTTTATTGCGAGCGAAGATATTAGCCTTTGAAGGTTTGACAAGACATATGCAATAATTTCAGCCACCGTACTGGTTGTTCAAAGCTAAGTCTCGCTCCTCCAATTTAAAGGAGCTAAATCGCTAACATTTGGGACCTAGAAATTGACAAAAGTGGGTCGCAACGCATATAATACTGTAATATGAATGTATATAAACTGATTTACATTCAATCGTTTCCGTTTTTACTCCAATTTCAAATCAGTTATGTTCGGCGAAATAAGCTAGCAGTCTCAAGCGAGCGCAAATTTCTAGCGTCTGGTTATTCCAGTCTACACACGCCGTTTGATTTGGTGCAATGTGTCTAGCCTCGTCCCTCGAGTCTCTTGATGCAATGGTAAAATGTTTATTTTGTCTTAAATATTGGATATCAAAAGCCCATCTTTTCCCGGTAAGATCACAACATGAATGTTGATTTAATTTGACAAATAAATCGTGTTTTCAATGTTGAAGATTTTGGATGATATTGAGTTAGAGACTTAGCTACTTTAAGCTTAAATCAAAATATGGCTGAACTGTTCTAATCCAGTAAATACCGCAGACTAGCGATAACATTGAGAGTTGATTATGGTCTGGATAAGTTAATTAATGTCTAATTAATAATTTAGAAATCATTTCAGGCCCAAAGAAAGACCTGTAATAGGCAGATTTAGCTCTTACATAATGCATGTTTAAATTGGTTGGCTACCACGATAACGTCTGTTGTACAGTCTGTGACGTAACTGAGAGATAAACAATGGTCATTGTTCGAAATTATTAAAAATACTAGCGCTTAATCTGAGAGCATCAGTAGATTTATAATTTGGACTTCTACCCGAAAATTGGTATCGGTATTGGGATTGAATCTCATTTGAAAATTGAATACCAGTGATCTGTGCCTTAATTTAAAACCCACTGAATAATGTTTCTACAATTGAAAATTGATATGTTATAAGCACTTCAGTAAATTGTAAAAATTCTGTGAATTAGGATAGATTTCGTACCATCTAAACCATTTTCATGGACCATTAAAATTAGCAGAATGCCTTCCAGACAGTCAGTCACTCAACAATTAAATAAATCAATTTCCTTCAGCATTCTCACATGCTTAATGTTTTTGTTTCGCCTAAAAAAATAACAATACATTTACATGTACATGCCAATCGTGTAGGTCTGTATGTTTGTGCGGCTACCTGCCAAGTGAAATCTAAACTAAATACTTTCTTTTGCCGACTTCAGAAAAGTAGGCATCACATATTTACCCGTAAAAAAAGATTTGGGTAAGAATTTGTGAAATGCACTAAAGGGCATACATCATGTAGTTACGGGCATTTTGTCCTGACAGGGGAATATTTTTCAACTTTCAACAGAAAGATGATCCTTAACATGCAACAAATAGTGGACGTGCGACCTCCGGTTTTGTCTTATCCAAATGTCTAGACACTTTTCCATACCAAGCCTGCAGTTGTGCACTTGAGGAACTGTCGTGGAGATGTATCACTGACTAGGGTAAACCCACCAGGAAGATCCTGAGGATCTTTCGTGGCCAACACCAGTGGGAACCCGAGACCCAAACTAACAATTTTTGTTCGTTCATGTGACAAGGAATAGGGTTGCCTGTCCAACCCCGTGGGTTTTCTCTGGGTCCTCCGATTTCCTCCAACTGCTAAAGACTCCTTCCGATTTCCTCCAACTGATAAAGACTCCTGTGCGCAAGCGAATTATTAAAATAAAATTGAACCATATCTTAGTCCCAAAAACCGCATCTCTCTCTCTCTCTCTCTCTCTCTTTCTCTTGGGGGGGTTGAATGGCTGAATGGTATCATAAAGTCTGTCATTGAGTCAACTGGCGTGGTTTTCGAATCCCCGGTTGTACGTGACAAGGAGTAGGGTCGCATGTCCAAACTCGTGGGTTTTCTCCGGGTCCTCCGGTTTCCTCCCACTGCTAAAGACCCCTACGCGCAAGCGAATTATTGAAATAAAATTAAACCATATGTTAGTCCCGAAATGACCTAGTTTGTGTCGAGTGGACGTTAAATCCCATTTCTCTCTCTCTCTCTCTCTCTCTCTCTCTCATTCTAGGGAATGAAAGAAGTATGTCCAGATTCATTTTAAACTCTTGCTACTTTAAGAACACATTTTGAAGTATCTTTATAGAAATAGTTTTGATGTTTTATCACTTTAAAACTAGATGTATGATTCATTCCTCTCATCAACTAGATTAATTTGAAGTTTGTTTTCACAACATTTTCAACTTAGAATTGGATATAAAACAGATAGCGGCAAAAAACAAATCTTGTGTTTTTAAGACATTAGACAAAATAAGTGCAATTGTAGAGAAGTTTTAGTAAGACTGAAGCGTTGATTGAAAACTTATTACAAATAGATTTTCTATCTTTTTTGCAGACATAAAATGGCAGTCAGTGCTGTTTGCTTTACAAAAATCACTTATTTTCAGGAATATAGCCAAAATATTTTAGTCAAAGGTAGAATTTTTGAAAAATATTTTTAGGCTGATAATTTTTATACCCATGCATATATTGTCTTATTTTAAAATTTGATTTATAATTCATATTTTTAGATATTAACCGTTGGGGTGGTTGAGTGGTCTAAAGCTGTTCACTTTAGATCATAAGATCTGTCATTGAGTCAAGTGGCATAATTTCGATCCCAAGCTTGAACTTGAAAGGATTTTCTCTCTTTTTCCTCTCACTGCTAAAGGGGGGTTGGATGGCCAAATGGTTAGCACGTGCGCGCTGTATCATAACGTCTGTCATTGAGTCAACTGGCATGGTTTCGAATCCCCAGTTGTAGTGGCAAGGAGTAGGGTCACCTGTCCAACCTCGTGGGTTTTCTCCGGGTCCTCCGGTTCCCTCCCACTGCTAAAGACCCCTACGCGCAAGCGAATTATTGAAATAAAATTGAACCATGTGTTAGTCCCAAAATGACCTAGTTTGTGTCAAGTGGACGTTAAACCCCATTTCTCTCTCTCCCTCTCTCACTGCTAAAGACCCCTACTCTCAAGCAAATTATACAAATAAAATTGTACCATTTGTTTTTTTCCAAATAAACGATTTCTTACATTGATAAATATCGTACAAGTCTGGAAATAAAATATCTTGTCACAGAAATTGTTCAGGCACAAATACGGAATGTCAGTAGTGACAGATTTTTTTCATGTAGAACTAAAATCATTATTTCCAAGCCTGATCATGAAGTTATATAAATAATTACTATAAATAAATATGTACTAAAATTAATTTCTGATAAAATATTTAATTGTCAGGTATTAGTTGAGTCCAGTAATGCCAGAGTTTCGTCTTGTAGAACAAAAGTCATTATTTCCAAGCCTGGTCATGAAGTTAAATAAATAATTACTATAAATAAATAATAATACTAAAATTAATTTCTGATAAGATGTTTAATTGTCAAATATATATGTGAAGAAACTTTCAAGAAAGAACAGAACACCTACCGATTAAAATTAAAATAGTTGAATTGCTAGATTGGATTATTTCTAATAATAAACAAAACATTAAACATTAAAAACTTACCCAAATATTAGTCTTGGATGCTTTCGATTTTTCAGTCAAATGATAATTATTTATTTCTATTTTTTGTTTATAAAAACTGTTAAAAGCCTTGCAGATGATGGTAAGCCTGTCGATATGTTAACAAAGCAATCAAAGTTAGTTAATTATCTGTTTACCTGAGTGGTGTTACTGATTAAACTGGAACCACGGGAGTAGTGCCTGATTTAACTCAGTAAATAAACTTTCAACAGTTCTTGAATAGAATAACAGACAGATTGCACAGCTTCACGCTGCTTCCAGTCCTATGGGTTTTTAATGTCTGCCACCCTGGTGGGCCAGATGAGGAATCAGCCAACCAATAGAAAGAGGGCGTTTACTTCTCCCAGCTGTCTGTAAGTCTGATACAAGTTAAGTTTTCAACAGATAAGCTGGCTATTTGAAACTAAAGTGATGATAAGGAGGGTAGGTTTACCAGTGTGTCAGTTGGGCTAGTGATGACAAACACCCCTGTTTAACTTCCTCAAGTCTGCCAATAAACTGATAACAACTTCTCAGTTACATTTAATCAGCCTAAATGGAATGCTGAAGTTACCATACTTAGCTTAAATTACTCTCAACCATAGCATTTATTGTTTATTTAAATTACATGGATATAGTCCTTTTCTTTCTTCTACATGAAACACATTTTTATTTTTTTTTGGACATCAATGGGGGATGGAATAGAATAAGTTTTAATGTCTTGTCAACATAATACATGGGTTATTTTGAGACTAACATATGGTTAATAAAACACAGTTTTTATGGGGAAACAATTTGTGCTTGATAATGATAAAAGGATACTTGTTTGGAACATAGTGTTTTTAGAATAAAACTAGTGATTGTTTCCATAAAACTTCTGTTCTGTTAATATGTTTCCCGATCGCTAAATGCTACTTAAGGATTAATATATGGTTACCCATATGTGAACAGAGATGCAAACAGTAGAATTTTGTCCGGGCAGCACCGTTTCCTCCCTTTTTTACAGCACGTCATTGTGTACATGTGTATATACCTTGGTTATTTGTCCCATCTAAATGACTAGCATACATTCCTTGTCAGCCCTGTTGTATCATAAGGTCTGTCATTGAATCAACTGGCGTGGTTTCGATTCCCCGGGGAGTTTGGGTGGGAGTGGGGATGACCGAATGGTTAGCGCGCTGTATCATATGGTCTGTCATTGAGTCAAGTGGCATGGTTTTGATTCCTAGGTTTTACGTGACAAGGAGTAGGGTTGCCTGTCCAACTGCGTGGGTTTCCTCTTCCCACTGCTAAAGACCCCTACATGCCAGCAAATTATTGAAATAAAATTACCATATGTTAGTCCGGAAATGACATAGTTTGTATGGAGTGGATGTTAAACTCTCTCTCTCTCTCTTCTCTCTTTCTCTCTCTCTCTCTCTCTCTCTCTCTCCTTGTCAGCTCCACAGAAGTAGGAGCCAAGCTTGAAAAATCCCAAGGGGTCTTCTTGACCCATGCTGGTATTTGGAACCTGAACATTATAGTCGTGGGGCCAGTGCCCTGTAGATTGACTACAGCTGTCCCTATTTTAATATTAGATGATTGGGGAGATACAAAAAATACATCTTCAAAGTTGTAGTCATAATTTCTAAATTATAGAAAGATATACTTTAACATCTGGATGTCTTTTGTGGTAATTAAAGTTAAAAAATCAAGAAATTGGATTCTTTCTGTGTGTCTTTTGGAGGTTGGCTCAACATCTTCCATTTTAAAATTTTAATAAAAAATTTAATATATTTCTAGTCAATTATGTGCAAACATCATAGGAATAAAAAAAAATCTTTTAAATAAATAGATAAATGCAAATAACTTTTGATGAACTTCCAATTTTTAACCATTAATATGGAAACTTCAAAGGAGTAAGAAAAAAAAATCTTTTTAAAGATACATTATGTAAGAGCTATTTAAATCTGCCTATTGCATGTCTTTATTTTGGTTTCAAATGTTAAATAAACCATTATTTAGACATTTATTAACATGACAACCCTATAATCAACTCTCTAGAAGATCGGATGGCAGAGATTTAAATGGATTAAAACACCAGCGAAATTTTAAAATTTAACAATAAAATGGACAAACGAGACTAAGTCTAAATTGGTCCAGTACAGTTGCTACAATAATAAACAATCTGTAATACATATTCCAACACATAGAACTTTGCTCAGAATAAAGTAATTTGAATGAAATTTTCAACATATTCATTTTTCATTATCTATTTTTGACCTATTATAACAAGAACGACCAGCTCTTTATCTCAATCTTTAAATAAACTGATCAATGTTAATAACTTTTAATGAATATCCACAAATTTAATCACTGCTTTTAAATCATCCATTAAGTCGCTTCATTACAAATGGTGCTTGAAAGCATTTTGGCTCGTGATTTGTGTGCCAATTTTCATTTTGCCTTAAATGTTGGATATCAGAAGCCCATCTTTTTAGGGTAAGGTAACAACATCAATGTTGATTTCAATTGACCAATATGTCGTGTTTGTAGTGTCATGTTTGCAGTGTCGTGTTTGCAGTGTCGAAGACTGTGGATGATATTGAGTTAGAGATTTGACTCCTTTAAAGAGAGATCTTACTTTCAAAATACAGTAGTTTACAAGAGATTTAAAATCCCTGAAATGATGATGAGAGGTTTTAAATTTCAGTATGCTATCTTGAAGACACTTCTTTTATAGATTCAACTTTCAAAAAAAGGGTGTTAAAATCCCTGAAATGATGATAGATTTAAAATTTCAAACTACTATCTCGAAGATAAAACAAACCTTGTATATATACACACGGTACATGTTGTGATTTGTTGATAACTGGTAGACCAAACCAGCAGGGTTTCATCTTGATAAATATATCAAGTTTTATGTATCAAAATTTCTATTTTCTCTCCTCAACTACGGTCTTTGTTGGGGTTTTAAGCGATTTTAATGAAAGACTGTAATGTCAGGAAATGATATGGAATGGGGTTTAATGAATGGGCTAATGATTCCATGACAGTTATATACCATGAATTGTGCTATGAGGAAAATTTTGTCCTGACAGTTGCGTTACAGTCTGCCCTTATTTAGATTTCCAATCTTTAACATGCTGCCAATGGTCTACATGGGACCTCAGTTTTTGTCCCATCTGAACAAATAGACACCATTCCATGTCATTCCCTTTCTCCCATCCAAACAACTAAACACCATTCCATGTCAAGCCTTTTGTCCCATCCAAACAACTAGTTCCTTGTCATTCTCTTTGTCCCATCCAAACATCTAGACACCATTCCTTGCCAGGCCACTGTCCTGCTGGAAAATTCTGATGAATGTTAGAATATTCTTGTCTTCATTTCGTGATGATGCAGAACAGTAAAAACCACCTTTCATTTCATATCATTTGTCTTATTCGTTCTTAGTATATTTTTTTTCGATATATATACATCAGATATCTGTGTGCATTAACCCAATGTTGTTCTATCATGTTGGTATTTAATTTGTATATATGAGAACATATGTAAATATCTAGTATATATATACAAGTAAATATGCTGCACCTAGTATTGTTTACATGACTCTATAGATCTATAGTAGATATGAGACATGTAGGTAAGATGTTCTAACAGATCAGCACTAAATATCACATATAAAACATCTGTTAATATACAAACATGCACATATACTTGATTCTTTATTCTCTCTCTCTCTCTCTCTCTCTCTCTCTCTCTCTCTCTCTCATACAAAACTATCACATATTCTTTATTCTCTAGATTATACAAAACTATCACATATCATTCTTTATTCTCTGGATTACACAAAAGTGATTGTATCTGTGGGCATAGGCATACAAGACTATTTATTTTGGGGGGAGGGTAGTAGGTTTGGGTACCACATTTCCATTACTTTAACTATTGCTAGAAACAGATGTAGCGAAATATACCAAAACAGGACTAATTATACAGTTATTATGAATGATACATACACCAATTAGATTCTGAATGTGGTACTATAGATTGAAATATAAGTGTTCAGTGGAATAAAATTGCCCATATTTCTGTCATAGGACATTAAACACAATTTCATTTCCTTTCATTTTATGAATTTGTCAAGCTGACAGAAATATGTTGAATTAGAAGTAAACACAGATGTCCGGACATTATTTGCATGTGCAAACTAGAGAGGTGAAATACTTCAAAAGCCGGGTTCTGAAAAATGACATATTTTTTTTGTGTGGGGCGGGGAATGTATTGTTGGTTTGAAATGAAAAAAAAAAACACACGTAAAATTGTTAAAGTTGGAACCGTGGTATACACATCCTTACATCAGCTTTAATCTGAACTTTATTACAATCAATATCTATCTATATAAATAAACTCAAAGTGTATGTATGTGTTTGTGTATGTTCGCCCAGCACGCTTCATTGCCATGCTCCACCCACACAATATCAAATTAACCAGCATGATCCTGGGAATGATTTAGGCCATCGTATTTCGGCTGAACACGCATCATCGCTGCGCTCGACCCCCACATGTTATGCGGTATTAAATTAACCAGAATGACCCCTTGATTATTTTAGGCGATCGGATTTGGGTCACAGGTGAATTTTGGTCATAGGCAAATCATGCTTTGTCGCTGCACTCCACCCCCACATATTATGTGGTATCTAATTAACTAGATTGACCCTGTGAATGTTTTAGGCCATCAAATTTGGGCCCTGGACCGAATTGAGCCCTATGCAAATTAGGGCCCTGGGTGAATTTGAGTCCCGGACGAATTTTGAGCCCCAGACAATTTTTGAGCCCCGGACGAATTTGGACCCTGGGTGAGGCCAGGTATTCTGCTAGTACACAATAATAAAAAAAACTCTGAAGTACTTTAACATGTTGTTTATATGAGTGCATACTAGAACTGAGAGCTGTGGTATACACTCTTGCATCAATCCTATGAACTTTATTACATGCAATATATGTAGCCGTAAAAATAACTCAGAAGTACATGTAGCATGTTGTTTATACAAGTGCAGACTAGAATTGAGAGCTGTAGTACACACCCTTGCAACACCCCAGAGCTAAATTGTCTATGAACTTTGATATATTCAATATACACGGTAATAAAAAAAACCCTCTAAAGTACTTGTAGCATGTTGTTTATACAAGCGCAGGCTAAAATTGAGAGCTGGGGCCTGTTTCACAAAATAAAATCCAAATTTTAGTAATTTGATTGGATAATATTAGATTGATTTTAGTGCTTAGCCAATCAAAATTGAAGTACATGTATCTACTAAAATTGGATTTTATCTTTAGTTAAGATTTCGAGAAACCGGGCCCTGTAGTACACACCCTTGTACCACCCATGAGCAGAATTTTCTATGAACTTTATTATATTCAATATACACAAACAGTAATAAAAAGCTCTGAAGTACATGTAGCATGTTGTTCATAGGAGCGCATGCTAGAATTGAGAGCTGTAGTACACGCCCTTTCACCACCCCTGAACTAAATATTCTATAAACTTTATTATATTCAGTATACACGGTAATAAAAAAACTCTGAAGTACTTGTTGTTTATATGAGAAGTTTGATCAAACACAAGGGTAGGAGGAATCTAATCAAAACACACGATTTCTTTACCATCTTATCTCCTCCTTTTCTCCATGTGCTTAACTAAAAAAACATGCTTGTCGATTGATAACAGAATCTAAAGGTGATAAGAAACCTGGAGGGAAAAAAATCGTGTAGGTTAAATACTACTACAGATGATAAACACATGTACTATATCATAACACTTCTATTTGATATCAGGATATACATGGATTGTATTTATCATCATCATCATCATCATCATCATCAGTGCAGTACTATCAGTATTATTGGTTCTATTATAATTTTTACCTACTTGTATTCGAAGTACTACGTCTCTGTACAGAAAGTAAACCGTAGCGTCGCTAGCATAGCACTCTGTATGGTGTACGTATGTCCGTCTTTATTAGCCCAATTGGTGCAGAAAAGTAGGATGTTAAAGCCCACCTATTTAAGTTCATTTTTTAGTGCAAACTGGAAAAGTTAAATGGTTGATTCTAGTAATTATTGATGACAGTTCACAATGGTTGATTCTAGTAATTATTGATGACAGTTCACAATGGTTGATTCTAGTAATTATTGATGACAGTTCACAATGGTTAATTCTAGTAATTATTGATGACAGTTCACAATGGTTGATTCTAGTAATTATTATTGACAGTTGGTGACAATTCACAATGCCAAACCCATTTGATTTTTATTTCTTTGGGGTTTGATCAATAAATGGTCACTCCAGTCTTGTGAAAAATGTTTTTTGAAAATAGCAATCACATACATTGTTATTTCCTATTTTTTTCTTCCCGAAGAAATTGGATGCCAAACTTTTAATAGGTGTTGCCAAAGAATGAAAATGCAAACATTTTTTTTGAAGAGTTATTGTATATATAACAATACAATGTTTTGGTGTTTTGTTTTATTCAACTGATTGTAGTATATTTTATTCTATAAGAACTGTGGTATGTTTCATTCTATAAGAATTAATTATAGAATCTTTTATTTTATAACAACTGATTGCAGTTTGTTTTATTTTACAGTCTGTAACTAATGAAGATGTAACACAAGAAGAATTAGGAGGAGCCAAAACTCATACAACAGTTTCAGGTAAGATAGGCAGGTGCCACTTCAGATTTAAATATCCTGGGTTTGAATTTCGGCGTTGGTCTGAATGTTCTGGTGTAAATAAATTCTATATTTATGAACCCGATATTCTGCTGATAGTGTTACAGTATCAGTATAGAGCACTTTGTCACAATGAACCTCTAGGGATGTTTCAAGTTAAACTCAAATTTGTCAGGGGAGTAACATCTGTGTACCTGTCAAGCAAACTGCTGTTCAGATGAGACAAAAAACGGAGGTCCCCAGCCTTGTACGCGCTGGTGTGTGCATGTAAAAGAACCCTTGAAGTTCAAATTTAATGAGAGTAGGTGGAAATACCCATATCCAGAACAAATTCTTCTCTTTCAAATTGCACCAGTATGAACTGAATGTTCATACAAGTGAATTTTTGGGCAAGGAAGTCATTGCACTGCTGTCTATTCCAATGAATATGTTTTGAACATAGTGTTCAAATTCATAAAAGAATCTTCAAGATTAATGCTCCAATCTATAGTAAGATTCTTATTAATATTATCATTATTCCACCTACAAAAAACCCTGGTATAAGGCAGACACATGAACCCCGCCAAAACACCATACCCTGGTAAAAAGTCACCCCGGCAACCCCGCCACACCTTAAAACCGGGTAAATATTATACATAGAACCTCACCAAATGGGTTTAATTAGTCTGAAGAGTTCAATACAAACAAAACTAGTCACAAAAATTGTGATAACTGTTCGAATTGCCACATTTATCTACTCTACAAAAAACATGGTGACTTATTTTTTGGTGTATTCGATTAAAATGGTGCAATTTCGACATAGAGAAATTTAAACACCCAAACTTGTGCCCAATCCTACCCACAATTCAAAGAGACCTGTACACCTTTGACCTTTTTGGACACTTACATCCTTACAAATTACACCTGTCCAACCTAGTGGGTTTTCTCCGGGTCCCCCGGTTTCCCCCCACTGCTAAAGACCCCTACGCGCAACTGAATTATTGAAATAAAGTTGAACCATATGTTAGTCCCAAAATGGCCTGTTTTGTGTTGAGTGGACATTAAACCCCATTTCTTTCTCTCTCTCCCTCCCTTACAAATAGAGAATTTTATTTATCACCCAATCCCTTCTTACATGCACAGATAAATAAATATAATTCTCACTTTTACTGAACCTGATTACATTACGGCGTAGTGATACATCATTTTTTGACAGCAATTCAACCATTGCAAAGTCCTTATATTGACCCAGTGTTTCCATCAAGGTCAATTAAATAAAAATAGTTCATTTTTAATAAAAAAAGAAGTTACTTTTAATTAAAAAAAAATGAACTGTTCTTTGAAAATAAAAAAAAAGTAGTTCCTTTTTGATTGACCAATCAAATTCATGTAAAGCGATATCGCAGTAGATTATGAAATTTATCTACTGTAGAATGTATTATTGGGTGATAAATTAAATGAACTGAAAGATATTTTCCTGGCTGTATTTCAGGCGTTGCTCACAATGCATTTGATAATGATGTTGATGCTTTGCTACAACTCAGAGAATTTTATAACTTTCTGCCATTAAGTAATAAGGAGCCTGCTCCATTGAGAAAATGTACAGATAGATGGTTGGTATTATTGGTTTTATTATAAAATCTTCTGCTCTCGTTGTTGATTATATGAAGTCAGTCGTAAAGGATTTCTTTTTTTGTCAAAAACAAAACAACTGATGTTTCAAACGGGGTGGGGATCTGTCCATGGGATGTCGTGTGCATGTGCCTAAGTGTACGTTGATGGGGACTAGGCCAGGTATTCATTATAGTCATGGGTTCAATCCCAGGCTTGCAGTAATCTGAGTGCATTGGGCCATGGGATGGTAGGTGCATGTGGTTGAGTGTACGTTTATGGGAACTAGGCCTGTTATCTATAAAAGTGGTGATAAGGTTCTCCTGCCTTACCTGATGTTGTTTTGTTTATGTTGTCGTTGCCTCTGTTCTTCTGTCCGTTCACATTTTGTTTGTGGACACTCTACAGGTCACAAGTTATATCCGATTTTGAAGAAACATGAAATATAAGTCTATATCCTACAGCTATCGGTTCCTTTGATATTCACGCATATCGGACTGTAAATTCCAGCCCCCTGATTGTACGAAAAGTCACGTTTTTGATTTGTGCACCCTCTAATTTTAAAGATCACAATTTTTATCGGATTTTGATAAAAATTAATACATGTTTATATCCCGAAGATCTTGGTTCCTTTTAATATTGGCGCACATCAAACTGTTACATCCTGGATTATGGCAGCTAATTGTACGAAAATTCAAAATCATTTTTTTAGGTTGATATTGACGTATGTCGAACTGTAAGATCCTGAATTATGGCCCTTTAATGTACAAAAATCGCTTATTTAGCTTGTTCTCTGTCCAACTCTTGCAAAATTGAGCTTATATATAAACCCCTGTTCCAGAGTAAATACTAGAAATGAACTGTTGGGTGTATATATGTTTTGTTTCTTGTTTTTTTCCAGGGATCGTTTAGTTTCAGGTTTAGATTCTGTTGTACCGTTAGAAACCACATCAGCTTATGATATCAAAGATGTTGTTAATGGTGTAAGTTAATTGTTTGATAATTTGTTTTATTTTCTAATGGAAACAAATTCTTTATTTTTTTAATCGAATAATATTCCCTCCTTTTCAAACAAATTTCTGAAATTATTTATATAAATAGATCCTCCCCCCTGCCCCACACCTTTTGAAGAAATCAGGGGACTATTAAAATGTGTTTGTCTGTCACACCTTTTGGGACACAATAACTCTGCTTCTAATTGAGTTAAAATCTTAACAATTGTTATGGTAATATTGAATTTATATAGTTCAACAAGTCTGCTTTTATAGCAAGACTGTAGGAAACGGTTATCAAGTATTAGAAAATTTAGTGCACTTCATACATACAAGGTTAGGAATAATGAAGATAGAGAAACACTAATTATGTTTGAACTTACCCTTTAGATGTAATAAAACCCAAGTGCACATGAGATTATGTAAATAAGTGTTGTACATTAACTGAGCAAGTGTGAAAATATTTGATGTAAAAACTTTAAATCTGATGTTTTTTCTGCTGTCTTTCTTGTTACACTTGTATCTTATGTTCTCCATTAGAATCATATTATCCTGGGGGTTCGGATGGCCGAATGGTTAGCACAGGCGTGCTATATCATAAGGCCTGTCATTGAGTCAACTGGCGTGGTTTCGAATCCCCAGTTGTATGTGACAAGGAGGAGGGTCGCCTGTCCGACCTCGTGGGTTTTTTCCGGGTGCTCCGGTTTCCTCTCCCTGCTAAAGACCCCTACACGCAAGAGAATTATTGAAATAAAATTAAACGATATGTTAGTCCCGAAATGACCTAGTTTGTGTTGAGTGGACGTTAAACCCCATTTTTCTCTCTCTCTCCCATGTTATCCTGAGCTAAATAAAGTTAAGAGTGGGATGTTGAATTGGGTGTTGTCCGTCCCTTTTTTCTGCCCTGGCTTTGTTTCTGGAATGGAATGATCTAGTGGTTTAACGCGTGTATGTGATCACATGTGCGCATGAAATCACAAGGTCTGTTATTGAGTCAAGTGACGTGGTTTCAAATGTGACAAGGAGTAGGGTCGCCTGTCCAACCTCCTGGGTTATCTCCAGGTCCTCTGGTTTCCTCCCAATGCTAAAGACCCCTAACAAGCAAATTGATTAATGATATATAATGATTAATTTTTTAACAGTGGTCAGGAAATTAAATACTTGTACATTGGACACTCATTATCAAAATTAATCACTCAGCTTTAAACTAGACACATGTACACATGGGTTGATTTTAAATGATTTTTATAAATTTTTGAACAAAGATTTGATATTGAATGAATGTGAAAGAAATTAGTGCTAGATACACAAGATTAAATGATACCTGGGTTAAAGTGATTATATATCATTGATATTTTGGTTTTGTCTTGTTAAACAGGCATTATTTAATAGATAAATCTGCCAGTTGCAGGTCTTTCTTTACCCGTTAAATGTTATCTAAATTATTAATTAGACATTAATTAACTTATCCAGACCATAATCAACTCTCGATGTCATTGTTAGCCTGCGATATTTATTGGATTTAAATTCATATTGTGATGGATGATTTAACGTATAAATGGATAATCAAGACTTTGTTTATTATTGTACCAACGGTAGTAATGACGTCCGAGTCTAGCCTAAAATGGAATCGCTAATATCTCGGTTTAGAGTGAAGCAATTTGACTAAAATTTTCAGCATATTCTGTTTTGATTATCTATTTTTTTAACTATTATAGAGAGAACTTTCAGCTCTTTATCTAATCTCCCATAGATTGAGCCGTGAAAAACTTCATATTGTTTGGAAAATTCAAATGACGATTGGCATCATTTTAATGTAGATATAAAACTTATTTGGAATATTGTGGCTATTGAATTAATGAATTATATTTTTAGATTGTTGATGAGGAAGATTTTTTTGAAGTAATGCCAGATTATGCTAAGAATATTGTGGTAGGATTTGCTAGAATGAATGGTAGAAGTGTTGGTATTGTTGGTAATCAACCTAAAGTTGCTGCAGGTAAAACATGAAGAATGTTTCATTTTGAAATTATGTGTTACTAGCAGGATACCCGGCTTCGCTCGGGGGTCATAACTCCGAAACCGGAAGTAGTAGACTAACGCCACCTGGCCTATGTTACTCCCCGGTCCGAAATTTCAGACTCGGGGCAGACCTAGTGTAGCTGCCAACCCCGAACAGACCGGCTTCGCTCAGGGGTCATAACTCTGAAACCGGAAGTGGTAGACTAACGCCACCTGGCCTATGTTACTCCCCGATCTGAGCTACCCCTATACCCCAAATTTCAGACTCGGGGCAGACCTAGTGTAGCCGCCAACCCCAAACAGACAGACTTCGCTCGGGGCTCATAACTCCGAAACCGGAAGTGTTAGACTAACGCCACCTGGCCTATGTTACTCCCCGGTCCGAGCTACCCCTATACCCAAGATTTCAGACTTGGGGCAGACCTAGTGTAGCCGCCAACCCCGAACAGACTGGCTTCGCTGGGGGGTCATAACTCCGAAACCGGAAGTGGTAGACTAACGCCACCTGGCCTATGTTACTCCCCGGTCAGAGCTACCCCTATACCCCAAATTTCAGACTCGGGGCAGATGTAGCCGCCAACCCCGAACAGACAGACTTCGCTCGGGGGTCATAACTCCGAAATCGGAAGTGATAGACTAACGCCACCTGGCCTATGTTACTCCCCGGTCCGAGCTACCCCTATACCTCAAATTTCAGACTCGGGACAGACCTAATGTAGTCGCCAACCCCAATAGAACCGGCTTCGCTCGGGGGTCATAACTCTGAAACCAGAAGTGGTAGACTAACGCCACCTGGCCTATGTTACTCCCCGGTCCGAGCTACCCCAATACCCCAAATTTCAGACTCGGGGCAGACCTAGTGTAGCCGCCAACCCCGAACAGACAGACAGACAGACAGACGACAGTCACAAATATATATATAGATTAAATTGTTTTTATCATGGATGGTTTAATGCGTGCACATGAAATCACAAGGTCTGTCATTGAGTCAACTGGTGGGGTTTCGATTCCCCAATTGTATGTGACAAGGAGTAGGGTTGCCTGTCCAACTGCGTGGGGTTTCTCGGGGTCCTCCAGTTTCCTGCCAATGCTAAAGATTCCTACACGAAAGCAAATTATTGAAATAAAATTCAACTCCAAAATGACCTAGTTTGTGTTGAGTGGATGTTAAACCCTATTTCTCTCTCTCTGTTTTGATCATGTGGATTTATTTAAATTTAATGTCGGTAGATTAAACCCAAAAATTACCAAAACAGGTGAATCATTTCTAAAATGATTCACAAATCATGTGAATATAGCTGTGGCACCAAAAAGAACTAGTATACTGTCCCCGTATATGGACAAAATCAGTTTATAGTATGTGTCAACCATGGCAGTTCAGTTGGAGTTAGAGGAAAATAGGCGGAACCATTGCTGTTTGATCAAAATTCCCCTTACAGCACACTGTAGACCTGTCGTCATTAGCCTCGTGGGCACAAAAAAGTAGGATGTTAAACTCGATTTCAACAATTATTTGAAATTAATCGACTTATTTTTTTCTTTTTCCAGGTTGTTTAGATATAAATGCATCTGTTAAAGGGGCCAGATTTGTACGATTCTGTGATGCTTTTAATATTCCTATTATAACGTTTGTTGATGTACCAGGCTTTCTTCCAGGTAATCTGATAAATATTTTAAAATCATTATATTATCAATAATAGTTTTCACTTTTACTCAACATGTTTTTGTCTTATTTTCTTGTTCACAGATTATATAAAGTCGTATATTTAGGAGATAAATACTTCACATTTACAGGGGTGTTATTGTGCAATAGACGCGTCCTGGGATCATTAGGACCCAAGACACGTACCCAGGAAATATTCATTCACTGTGTGTCACACAGGAAATTAGAAGGGTGTTATTGTGAAATAGACGTTTCCTGGGATCATTAAATTACCTAGGAAATATTCATTCACTGTGAGTCACACAAGAAATTTAGAGAGGTGTGAGAGGACATTTTTGGAACATTCCCACAATGTTAATGGTGGCAAAAAATTTATTTTGGTCCTGGACCCTGAAAACAGCTCATTTAAATCATTCAGCTTACAAGTGCTATTTCTCAGTCATTCATATACAGAATTAGTCGTTCATGACTGCATCTTGAAAAAGCTGGCTAAAACCATGGGGCTATTCTTTAAATGTAAACCAATCAATAAATGTTATTATACATGTATATGTAGATGTACCAAAATTTAAGAATTGGTGACACATGTGTACAGTAATTTAAAAATAATATGTGAATTGGGCTGTTTATTTTTAAAGAATGGTCTGGAAATTAAATGTTTGTAAATTGATGCTTCCGTATCAAAATTAAATGACAAACTTTTAACTGAATGGAAGTACAAATCGGCAGATTTCGGTGATTTTAGACGATTTTTACGAATTGTCAAACGGTGATGACATATTGTACAAATGTGACAGAAATTAGCACTAAATATGTGTATTTTAATGGTTGAGTGCGAGATATTAGTAATATATTGATATTGCAGGAGTGCTATATCTATATATTACACAATGTTTTACATGAGACCATTAAACAACTTAAAATACACCTGTATTTCAATGAAATACGTCGCACGGGTCCAAACTTTTAACTAGTATAAATAATGTACGCTTGGTACTTTGCCCGTACCGTTATTTGAAATAATGGTACACCAACATCAAAGGATGAGGTCACATCTGTATTTTAAGCAGGATTAAATGTGTAATATATTTTATCAGGAACACATCAAGAATATGGTGGTATTATTAGACATGGTGCCAAGTTATTATACGCCTATGCTGAAGCTACAGTACCTAAGATAACCATTATAACCAGAAAGGTAGTATATAACTGTTTATACCTACTTCTTTAGAGGTTTGATATCTCAGCAAGAAAATGTCCTTGTTAGTCTCAAGGGGGTTTGGATGGCCGAATGTATATTGACATCCTACTCCTAGTGCAATATTTTATAACGAAACTGGAAAAAACAATAACAGGCTTCCCCAATCAGATTAAAATACAGATCTATATTTTGTTTCATTTTTCTTATACTTTCGATGGTCTACACTACATGAAGATCAAATCATTTGTACTGGAAGGTCGTGTCAGGGCTTGTACGAGCGACCTTTGACCCTATGACGTCAGACATTGATTAATCAATCAGCGTTGACATTTCTAGTGGTTTACCCAAAGTCCTGTGTATGGCATGCCAAGAAGTCACCGTAACAGATGGTTTCATTGGCTTATCGCTAACGCCATCTAGAATGCCTGTTATATAACAACTCTTCCAGATCCTAGTGTAGTAAAGACAAAAAGAAACTTTGAACTATAAAAATCGAAACGAATAGGATCTGTGTTTTAATCAGATTGTGGCTTGCCCACATTATTTACAATTGAAGATACTTGTACAATAAAGTAGGTTAGGGTTTCACATTATTTACAACTGAAGGTACTTGTACATTAAGGTAGGTTGGGGTTTATTCTTTTGTAGGCGTATGGAGGTGCGTACGATGTGATGAGCTCTAAACATTTACGTGGTGATATAAACTACGCCTGGCCAACAGCAGAAGTAGCTGTGATGGGTGCAAAGGTAAATATTGCCTGCATATATAATTGACCCCTGTCCGTCCACCACACTTTTTGGGACCCAAATACTTGGCTTCTAGTTGAAGATGTTAGATGACTGAATTTGATAATGTGGTTTGAGACGGTGTTGCAATTCAATTCGTATCACATTTATTTTTACTACAAATTAAAAATAAGACTTTTAATATATAGATAAGAAGCGAAAGTTTGAAAGGAATGGACCAAATCAATGAGGCATATTTATAGCCGATTTCTTGTTAGCCTGCGTGTACTCTTGTACTGTAACTGGTAGGCCTGCGTAACTCCCGAACAGTGATCCAATGGAGCTGCAATTCAACTGGGGTGATGTTAACTGCGATGATTATCAATTTTTTATGTAAACGCAAGTGACAAAAGAGCGTACGGTAGCCTATAATACCGACATCCAAACTCTCATTTTAACCACAACTAAACATAATATCAAGACCGTATACATGTATATCGAACTTTCAATCAAATTGACTGACATGCGGCCTCGCTCAACAGCGGCCTCGCTTCGTACAATCTATCATTTAGCCTCGATCTAAAATTATTTCCGGGAGTATGATCTCAACGTAACGGTTAATCTCCGCTTACGACGCCATTTAAACGAAATCCTGTTTAAATCCAAGCCATCCGTGGGTCTACAGAGTTGATTTTGTGCTTGTTGTGTAAATAAAGATCTAATTTATAATTTCTATGACATCTGAAGCCTAAATAAAGACTTGCAATAATCAGATTTAGCTCTTGCATAATGTATGTTTAAGCACAACAAGCACAACAAATATGTTTCAACTGTCATGGTTGGTCGAGGCCTTTTCTCATGCAGTCGGTGCATGCATTCTAGCCCCAAATTCCCATTTTCATTCAATTGTCACTATTTTTGAAATAGGCAGAATTCAATTCCTGAAGGTTTGAGTATCCCCAATATGATGTTATTTGATGGAGCAGTATCTATTATTTTCATGTGAATTTTAGGGAGCTGTATCTATTATTTTCCGTGGAGGTAAAAATCAAGAACAACAAGAAAAAGAATATGTTGAAACATTTGCCAACCCTTTCCCTGCTACTAATAGAGGTATTGTATAACTATTTACTATGAGCTATACTTAAACGAGAATGACCATTTGTAGCATGCTAGAATCAACAAATTATGCTCAAAGCCCCATCCTAACATAGGGGGGTTTGGTGGCCGCATGGTTGCGCGTTGGATCAGACAGTATGGAGTCAAGTTTTGATTCCTTGCTTGTACGTGACAAGGAGTAGGGTCACCTGGCCAACCTCTTGTGCTTTCTCCCACTGCTAAAGACACCCAAAGTGCAAGCAAATTATTGAAATTAAATTGAACCATATGTTAGTCCCGAAATGACCTAGTTTGTGTTGAGTGGACATTAAACCCCATTTCTCTTTCTCTCCATTATAACCAAGGTTCATAATTCATAGTTTATATAAATATTTAATATTATAGACAAACAGGTGTGTCTTTAGAAATAAAATGTAATGATGTTTAACATCTTACTTGCCTGCACGCTAAACAGGGGTAAAGAAGACAGTCTTATGCCATGTACTGTATGCTATGAGAGAAATTTTGCCTGGACAGTATCCCAATGCTCCTCTTATTTCAAATTCAAACTGTCAAGGATTATTTTACATGCATGACAACGTGTGTACACAGGACCTCAGGTTTTTTTTTTACTATTCCAAAGACCTAGATGCTGACGTTGTTACCGAAATAATACAAAAGTTGTTCAGTCTTCATGTGATAATATGGGATGGGAGACCCAAAAAAAAAAAAAAAAAATCCAATGAGGAAAAATATAACAGTTATACTATATTTTTGATAACTTTTATAAAATGTGAGCATCGGTGTTAGATATCCAATATGAGTACCTTTTATTTTGATATTTCAGGTTTTGTAGATGATATAATAGAACCAAATACAACCAGAAAACGAATTTGTCAAGATTTGGAAATTTTAGCAAATAAAGTTCTCGAAAATCCGTGGAAAAAACATGCTAATATGCCATTATAACCAGACAATTTCTTAATAAGAAATCTGCATTTCTTTCAAAAGTGCTGTTAAGTTTATTTTTGGATTACAGAGAGAAAGAACTCTAGTGAACTCTCATTCTGATCATGTCTAAATGTAAATTGTATAATGAAACTCCTACTCCGACGGTGGTAGCACAGCGGGATTAACTCAATAAGGTTTCATGTGGCCTGTGGCTATAAATCCAGTTGATCACTAGTGGGAGTAAAATAAAATAAAAAAAAAATAAAAAATAGCAGTTTCTGTGAAAATATTATTATTATTTGTTCAATATTTTTTTTTCCATAATGTAAAAGTATGGTACTAAGAAGAATTTAAAAGTTAATGGTGTCTCATTTAAAATGTGTTGTAGATTCATTATGAAGTATTAATTCAACACGTTTTACCTCCAGACAGTTTCAGTCTTTATTATGTGTGATGTTGATTATTAGATATATATTGTGATTATTTCGTAAAATAAGTGGTGCAAGTTTTCATTCTTCACGAATGAAATCACAAAGTATCCTGGGCCATTATTCACGAAAACTTAAAAAACAAACATTAGTGTTCTCCAGGCACTTTATTTACTGAAACTGGGAAATATTTAAAATCCAGGGCCCTGTTTCTCGAAATCTTAACTAAAGATAAAATCCCAATTTTAGTAGATACTTCAATTTTGATTGGCTAAGCACTAAAATCAATCTAATAATATTATCCAATCAAATTACTATAATTTGGATTTTATTTCAGTTAAAATTTCGTGATACAGGCTCCTGGTTCAACTTTTAGCCCTTAGCCAATGAAAACTCTGAATTTAAAATATTGAATAATTGCAATGGAGTTTAAAGTCTTACTGACCAAATAAAAATGGGCATATGCCATGAGGGAAATTTTACCCAGATAGTAATAGGAATAAAACTGTCAAGGGTTCTTTTATGTTCGGGGGACCATCTTGTTTTTTTCTGTATCATCTGAAGGACTAGGTGCTGTTCCTTGTCAGGCTGTCAGGCCCTCGCGCCCAGGATACTTTGTGGTATAATAAATAATTTGTTCCACTGCTCACTAGTCAATCTGATTATAATACAGATCTATATTTCGTTTCGTTTTTTTATACTTTCGATGGCCTACACTACATGAAGATCTGACCGGTTGTAGTGATAGGTCACGTCAGGGGTCAAAAGACCGACTTATGACCCTATTATATCAGACATTTGATTAACCAATCAGCATTTATGTTACTAGTGGATTACCCACAGTTCAGTGCAAAACACGCCTAAAGCTCGCCGCGACAGACCGTTTCATTGGATTATGCCTGACACCGTTCAGAACACGAGTTAAATAACAACTCTTCCAGATCCAAGTGTAGTAAAGACAAGTAAAACGAAACGAAATAGGATCTGTGTTTTGACCAGATTGCTCACTAGTGGACATGGGTTATAATATATAGGCAATGTTTTATATGGCATTATATACGTGCATGAAGCATTTTATGTAATTACATGTATCATCAATGTTGAAGTTCTTGCCACTTATAGAATTAGATTTGTTATGATTGTGTAGTTATAGATTAACGTTTTTATACCTGTGACACAGTATGAGATTATGTAATAGACATCCAAGTATACCTATATAAATATTTAATATGTTTATACGCCCATATTTTCATGTGGACAAATATTTTTGTCGCTCCTGTCCGTCAGTCCCGAAATGACCTAGTTTGTGTCGAGTGGATGTTAAACCCCATTTCTTTCTTTCTTTCTGTCCGTCCACATTTTGTTTATGGATACTCCACAGTTCACAATTTTTATCCGATTTTGACAAAACTTGAAATATAGGTTTATACCCAAAAGATCTTGGTTGATTTCAGTATTGGCATGTAGCAGACCATAACTGGATTATGGCCCATGATTGTACACAAAAATCATGTTTTTAGCTTGTGAAACCTCTATAGGTCACAATTTTTATCGGATTTTGATGAAACCTTAAATGTTTGTTAATTACCTACTGAACTCAGTTCCTTTTGATAATGGTGCATATCAGACCAAAGGTGCCTGGGAAAATGGCCACTCCCTGTATGCAAATAGTTTAAAAGCATGTAATACATTGGTTGTGGACCCTCCAGAGGTCACAGTTTTTATCCAATTCTGATTTAACTTAAAATAAAACCTTTTATCCCAAAGTTCTTGGTTCCTTTCAATGTTATCGCTTATCAGATTGTAACTTCCTGGATTATGTCCCCTGTTCTTTGTCTATCTCTTGCCAAATGTGGCGTATCTTGCATGGCAACTGTTTGTTGAGTTTGCGCTTATTTGGATTTAATCCCCTGACCTACAGCAGTCCAGTGCTCTACCAAATGAGCTACATTATTAACCTCATCCATAAAAAGTATAGCTCCGTTTACTCTAAAATAACCAGTCTCGTAACCATGCCAGGCACGCTTCTGTTTGACCCGTTTACACTATAAAACAATTATCCGTGACATGCCTGGCTCTCTTGAAATTTGTAACATAAACGGGGTTGATGATTCAATAGCCTAGGTCATTTGTTGGTTAATTTCCAGACTGGGCTGCTACAAATAACGATCTAGCAGATTATTAAACAAGAAAAAAATTGGATGGGTTTTTTTTGCGAATAATTTATGAGCAGTATGTTTATATGTACAGAAAATGTTATAAAAATGGAAGAATATAAACATTTATACAAAATTTAAAGACATCATTGTTTTACTTAAATAATTACAATCAATACAATATGGGGGATGGGAGTGAAAACTGATTTGAAAATATTATGATTTATACAACAAAACACTAGTAAGAAGAGTGGGTTACTCAGAGCAAGGTACAATTATCACAGTATTAAACATTTCCCAATAAGTTGATTGGGGTACTAATTATAAAATTCTGACATTAGACTAGCCTCCAGTCCTAAGATCGTGACATTAGACTAGCCTCCAGTCTTAAGATCCTGACATTAGACTAGCCTCCAGTCATAAGATCGTGACATTAGACCAGCCTCCAGTACTAAGATCCTGACATTAGACTAGCCTCCAGTACTAAGATCCTGACATTAGACTATTCTCCAGTACTAAGATCCTGACATTAGACTAGCCTTCAGTCCTAAGATCGTGACATTAGACCAGCCTCCAGTACTAATATCCTGACATTAGACCAGCCTCCAGTACTAAGATCCTGACATTAGACTGGCCTCCAGTACTAAGATCCTGACATTAGACTATTCTCCAGTACTAAGATCCTGACATTAGACCAGCCTCCAGTACTAAGATCCTGACATTAGACTATTCTCCAGTACTAAGATCCTGACATTAGACCAGCCTCCAGTACTAAGATCCTGACATTAGACTATTCTCCAGTACTAAGATCCTGACATTAGACCAGCCTCCAGTCCTAAGATCCTGACATTAGACCAGCGTCCAGGACTAAGATCCTAACATTACACTAGCCTTCAGTCCTAAGATCCTAACATTAGACTATTCTCCAGTACTAAGATCCTAACATTACACTAGCCTCCAGTCTATGGATATACTTTACATATCTCATTCTAAATCTAATGCATCATTTGTTTTTGTCTATCCTTCATAGACTGGGTTGGTCAGAGCAGAAATCAATTAAAGATACATTATGTAAGATTTAGAAAATAGATAATGAAAAATGAATATATTGAAAATTTCATTCAAATTACTTAATTTTGAGCGAAGTTATAAATGGTTCTAGTTTTAACAAAATATGTGACTAACGCACTAGTTGTTCGAAGGTAAGCTGCGCTTTTCCATTTTAAAATTAATTAAAAATATGGCTGAACCTTTCTAATCTACTTAATATCGGAGATACATTGTACCCGATGGCATTGAGAGTTGATTATGGTCTTGTCATGTTAATAAATGTCTAATTAATAGTTTATATAACATTTCGGGCCTAAAGAAAGATTTAGCTCTTACATAATGTATCTTCAAGTGGAATTTTCCACAATTACTGACATCTCAAACGAGTCCATTTTGACTAGATGGTAAAAACCATCACTGCTCAAAAGTTACAGTCCTTACATGGTGTGATTACCAAGAACACAGAATTAGAAAAGCAAGCAAATAAAACAATAGAAGTATTAGCATAAAATGATCACTTCGAAACTCTTTGACAGATCAAGAAATGAAAATCATTGAAAAGAAACTTTGATCTTTTAAAGAATTGAAAGCTTAGATAGAAATAAAAGTTCATTCACTGAGATTTACAGTTGGATACATCTTTACTTGGTGATGATTTTCCGGGCGTCATATCATTACGGAAGAGAAGATGATGAGGATTATTTGTTGTCTTCGTAAACATGTCCATGGTAAGACTGAACGGACCTTCTGAAAAACATGAATAAATTACTTCAAATTATATTCCTGGAAACAGGGCACCTGTCATAGACAATGTCTGGCCCAATCCCGATGGTGCCTGTCATTTTGTCGAGCACAGATTTGTTGATTCTTTTAATACATTTTTGTCACATCAATGAACTAGCAACTGACATTTTGTATTTCCAGTCCTCTCAATTTATTTAGATACATAATAAATACCAATAGACTGTCTGAAAAGTTGTAAGGAGTTACCTGCCTTGAAAATATTGGCAAATAGAAGACTAGATCTATTTGTTAAGGCTAACTCCATTTTCGTCAAGGTCGCTAAGATGTAAATAAGGTTAGGGCACTGTTGGCGAGATTGTAGGTTAGGGCTAGGTGCATTAGTGTTAGGATTACATCTTGTGACCTATGACCAAACTTGAAGTTGACCTTATCAAATAGATCTAACCCAAATGAAAGTGATTGTGAGTCTTACAGTCCCGATCTCAGAACTGAGCAAACTAGAAAATACCAGGCCCCCGAGTTCACAAAGCATTCTCAGACTTAAGTTAATAATTTACTCATCATTGATTGCCTTATTTTAACTAAAATATAGCATGTTATAAAACGTTTAAAGTATTGAATACATCAATAAGAAACTATGTGCAAAGTTTTGTGTTTCTGGATCAAAGATATTTCTCATCAACAGTGATTGAAAGTTGAGTAAATTCTTAAAGGTCACCGGAAAAGCATCAATTTTTTTTTAAATAATACAAGTAATTATGTCAACATATCCTTTCCATAAGTTAACCCGAGCCCGAACGTCAATATTACCTGCAACAGGTAAATTTCAACATTAGTAATTTCTGCCGTTCTCCGTCGGTAGTCGGAACTTTTCGTCAATAAGCAATCCGTGACGTCATTTTAGTCCTTCTGCACATAGAAATATAGACTAGAATATGAGCAGAGGGACTAAAATGACGTCACATTTATGGAAAGTTACAACTACCCACGGAGAATGGCGGAAATTGCTAACGTTGAAATTTACCTGTTGCAGGTAATACTGACATTCGGGTTCGTGTTATACTTATGGAAAGGATATGTTGACATAATTAATTGCATTATTTGAAAAATTTATGAACCTTTTCCGGTGACCTTTAAGTCTGAGAATGCTTTGTGAACTCGTATCCTAATTTCAGAATAATAAACCTGGGTACCGGTATTATGCCTAATATATTTAAAACCTAAATTCCCTCAATCAGTTTGAACATAAACATGACAGGCATAATACATGGGTTACTATTCTTATGAAATGGTTACGGCACTCAACGATCGACGACAACAATCAATTATGTTATGGGCCGAGAAGAACTATTTATTCAGCCCAATGCTGAGGAATTAGGGTTAAGTCTAGCCCTGTTAACATCTTGTGACCATGACAAAATCTGCAGCTGGTCTTAATATTTAGACCTACCCTGACAAGGAGAGTGAAGAAATAGAGGATGATATATAACTGAATGTTTGTCTCAAAATGACCGAAGTATTGTGTTAATGAGACATTAAAACTCCAGATATGTAATTAATTATGGCTTCGGTTTACTGTAACTACTTAGGGTCTGTCATCATCGCTTTGATCAGTGCTAGTTATATATAATGTCTATATTTATGGCTTCTTTTTACTGTATATAAATACTTGATGTTTTACATATATCTTATCATTTGCTTGATAAAGACGAGAGTATTATCGTGGAAACATTGCATGTTAATAAACCAGTGATTGTTATTCATAAATAGTGTTTAGTGTATTAGAACTCCATTTGTATCCTATGTTTATTAGAAAGACGTTATTAAGTTCTTAGTCTTACCTGTTTCGTCATCTGTTTCTTCTGATACTTTACGTTTCTTCATATTCATACTTTCACTGTTGATATTCTCTTTTTCACTATAACATAAGTTTACAAACAATTGAAATACTACTGTCAATATTCACCAGAGAGAAAGTGAGAGAGGGAGAGAGAGAGAGAGCGAGAGAAATGGGGGGGGAGGGGTACATCCACTTGACACAAACTAGGTCATTTTGGGACTAACATATGATTTAATTTTATTTCAATAATTTGCTTGCGCGTAGGGGTCTTTAGCTGTGGGAAAAAACTGGAGGACCCAGAGAAAACCCACGAGGTTGGACAGGTGACCCAACTCCTTGTCATCTACAATCAGCAAATACCACACCAGTTGATTCAATGACAGACCTTATGATACAGCGCTCACCACTCCGGACTAGAGAGTAAACAAACATGGTTGATCTCACAACATGTAATATTTTAATCCATACCATCAACGGATAAACTGAAAGATTATTCTCACAGAGCAATAAGCAGTTCCCATTTTAAACATTCCGGTATTGTTAATAACTGTGCAAAAGTTTCAACACAATTCATCAAAGAATATGAAAACATTTGCAAGTTGTGAAACGGACAAAGCAATACCATATTACAACTTGGTTTAATTGGTTAATTTTTGAAAGATTCAACTTTTATTGCACAAATTATGAACTAAAGAGTTAAAATATTGTTGGAGAGCATGCTAAGGGGGAAGATGTTGCTTTTCTGACTCTCCTTCAAGCTACTCCACTTGTATAGGAAGTGACATCATACCACAACCTCCCATTTAGATGGTACATCTGTTAGATCTATTTCACATGCATACCTGCAGATTTCCCCAAGGTCATGAGATGTAAACAGGGTTAGGGCATGTTATTGTTGCCAAGGATCGTGGGTTAGGGTTAACACTAGCCCTGTTTACATCGCGTGACCTATGACGAAATCTGCAGGTGTGCATGTGAAATAAATCTAACACATGTACCACCTAAAAAGTAGGTAGTGGTATAATGGTACATGCCCTGCCCATTTCATTATTCTCCTGTATGAAACCTAGTAATAAACACCTGATCTAATCAACTACTGTCTTTATTATAGAAACCATAAATACAGGACAACAACAACTTCCATCCAATAAAACCCAGGAGATAATTACTGTCGAAATACATACTCCTTGCAGTGTTTCGTTTGATTAGACCTCAAACACAGGAAAGATTTGATTGGACGATGAGAATGGACATGCTCCGTCAAAGACTCAAGTTTTCAGTCTCAATACAGCAATGGCTAGAGAGGGATTTCTCAGTCCATTGCTTCATGGTGGAAATGTATCTTACCTATCTTGAATCCTGATGATTTCTTTCTTCTCTTGTTTCAATTTGCGTATTTTTGCTTGGAGATTTTCATTTTCTGTTCGGTACTCGTCTACCTCTTTCTTGAGTTTATCTTTATCTTCTTGTAGATATTTATTCTCCGCTTCAATCATACAGACGGTATATTTATCTATAACACCACTAGCTGTTCCTACATCTACCAATACCTGTTCTACTGGTCTCGTCGGTTTCACTGGTTCACCTGAAAATCATGTTAAACATCTTGTTCAAGATACATTATGTAAGATTTAGATAAAGAGCTAGCCATTCTTGCTATAATAGTTCGAAAATAGATAATGTAAAATGAATAATTTGAAAATTTCATTCAAATTACTTTATTGCGAGCTAAGATAATAGCCTTTGAAGGGTTGACAAGACGAGTGCAATAATTTTAACCACCGTACTGGTTGTTCGAAGTTAAGCCTCGGTCCTCCATTATTAGCTTAAATCAAAATATGGCTGAACTGTTCTAATCTATTTAATATCGGAGAAATCCAATGCCATCGAGAGTTGATTATGGCCTGGATAAGTTAATCAATGTTTAATTAATAATTCAGAAAACATTTCAGGCCTAAAGAAAGACTTGCGGCAATAGGCAGATTTAGCTCTTGCATAATGCATAACATATTACATGTAGGATACTTTCACTATTCAAATGGTCCAAACTGGGGTAATAAAGACAAGCATATGTCGTGCAGTAAGCTATGTGAGAAGTCTCCTCTTCCTCGAGTTTTAAGTTTTCAGGGTTTTTTTTCCATGGGTGGACCTTAGTTTTCGTTCCACTGAACTTGCCAGGCCCTTGAAATTGTAGTTTTTAAAAAGCCAGTTGATACTTCAATTCAAGATATATATATAAATGAAGAGAGAAAGAGACAGAGAGAAATGGGGTTGAATATCCATCAACACAAATCAGGTAATTTTGGGACTAACTCATGGTACAGAGAGAGAAAAAGAGAAATGGGGTTTAACATCCATGCAACACAAACTATGTCATCTTGGGACTAACACAGGCGACCATACACCTTGTCACGTACAATCGAGGAATCGAAACCATGCCAGTTGACTCAATGACAGACCTCATGATACAGCGCGCACATCGTGCTAAGCATTCGGTCTTCCACCATTTTACTTTATTACAAGAAAGTCTGCTGGTTAATATGAGGTAAATAAAATAGCAGAGACTTACATGTGGTTGTATCTAAATCTTCACCTTGTCTTCTCAATTGATCTTTTAATCTGTTTATAACACTATCTTTATATTGTACAGTATCAATTAAACCAGCCTCTCTATAATATAAACATCTAAACATCCAAACATGATTTAAATATATGAGAGAGAGAAGGAGAGAGAGAGAGAGAGTTAACTTCCACCGGACACATATTAGGTCATTTCTGGACTAACACATGGTTCAAATGTATTTCAAGAAATATATACACCTTTTCAATGTAATTTGTAATCTATTAAAGATACATTATAGGAGAATCGATAACAAGTTGGCAGTTCTTACTATAATACAGTAGTTAAAAACTAGATAAAGTAAAGGCAATTTGCTGAAAATTTCATTCAAATTGATCCACTATGAACCGAGAACAAAGCGATTGAATTTCTGCCTAGCCTTGATCATCATTACTAAAGTCAGTACGATAAACAGCATAGTCTTGATTATCCATTTAATCGTTAAATCGTGAAGGAAAGTTATGCAGTAAATCAGTTCACAATTTACTGAAGATCGCAGGCTAGCGATGCCATCTAGAGTTGATTATGGTCTGGATAGGTTAATTAATGTCTAATTAATAATTTAGATAACATTTCAGGCCTAAAGAAAGACCTGCAATAGACACATTTATTTTAGCTCTTGCATAATGTATGTTTAAGGGGTTTAGGAGAGTTGGCAAACATGACAATAGACAAAATAAGCCACTATGGGTCGATTACCCAATGGGCTAAAAATTTGTTACTAAAACACCAACATAAAGTACAACTCACTTTTTTTCAAATTCAATTGTTTCTTTATTGTGTGAATATTTTAGTTGATAAATTTCACGATACATGGCTGCATTACTTTCTTCTAATCCAGCCCATTTTTCTATAAAAATAGAAAGTCTACCATATATAAAACAAAACATCAATATTCAAGATTTGTATACCAAAAAAGCATGTCAAATTCTTTCCATGGAAACACATCAATTCTTAAATCTGGGAAATTTTTAATGATCAACATGCACAACTATTATAACAGGTCGATGTGTGTACAGAGTTTCATAATATATCTTAAATAGTTTATGGGATATGCTCTAAGAGACAAAACCTGGGTGGTAGGAGCCCATTCCAATATCCGAACCTAATTTCGTTCGACCGCAGGTCTTCATGTCAGAGGACTGTAACTGCTCAATCTAAAGCAAACCCAATTAGATTCAATTCCAGGTGAGATTATAACCTCTGTTTGAAGCATCATATTTTATTTATTTTCTTTGATCAGTATTCGTTCTAAACAGCTAGATATATTTTTTCCATTCTGTCCACACATGCTTTGTGGCCTGAAATCCCTCTTTTCACTTGACTGTTGCTCTTCACAAATTCACACTAACAATGGTAACTATTTATAGAATAACAATTACTGGTTTATTAACATGCAACATTTTTATCGTCTTTATCAAGCATAGGATAAAATATATGCTTGATAAAGCTGAGATCATTATCGTCGAAATGTTGCATTTTAAACCAGTAATTGTTATTTCATAAATAGTAGTTGATGTGTTACTGTTCAATTACTGAATGCCACTTAAAGAAATTCTTCACAAATTCAATTCTGGAATTATCAATCAATTATCCTTCATACCTTGTTTTTGTTTAAATGTTTCTTCTAAAGCATTTTTCTCCTTCATTAATTCTTCATTTTCCTTTTCTATTTCCTACAAAATAAAAACATTGGTTGCCAGGCAATGAAAAAACAACAATCACTCCTGATGCTGATCCAAGACAAATAGTTTTATTGTAAGCTTGGAAATAAGGCATCCTGTCACACACATTGTCCAACAAATACACAGACGTTCTCAGGCACATCGTCTCTTATGCCTGTCCGGCACAATATTCAAAATATTACGTAGGTTAAGTCGATGTATTTATGTTATTCTAACAGTGCAGCTGTTGTCGCCAGTCTCATTCCGATAATATATAGTAATATAATTACTATCCCAGTCAGAGCAGAATAGTAGGACGTTAAACCCCATTTCTTTTCTTGGTTACTTACACATTTATTTTTAATAAAGTATCTAGTAATCTAATTCCTTATTCTGTTTAGCCTCATCATCACCTGTATACATCAAGTTTGAACATACTTCTTCGATTAGAAGCAAAATTATTGTTTTTATAAATTGTTCTTATGCCTTTCTATGTTTGAACACACTTCCTCAATTAGAAGCAAAATTATTGTTTTCCAAAACGCAGGATTAAGACCCGAGATTTCAGTGACTTTGACCATCAAAACCCTGGGGAGAAGTTCTCATTTAACAATTCCAAATGCTTTAAAATCCAAACAACTAAAACATCACTCTTTTGAAACTCGTTCTTTAACAAAACAACTCTAGACTGGAACCACCTACAAGATACCTCAACGTATTGCACCACTGTTGAGAGCTTCAAAGAAACTCTCACACTCCAGAGATACTAGAGCTGCACTCCTTTTCCGGTGCACTATATGTCCAGCAGGACCCTGCGATGTATACCCACAGATACAGATACAGAAAAGGTGTGACGGACTGACAAACCCATAAAAATAGTCCCATCGCTTTCTTTGAAAGGTGAGGACAATTAACAGTCAATCTATTTTAAACAAATCTTTTTCATAAATTGTTATGCATTTCTAAAGGATATTTTAACTTTCAGTAAATTCATTAGTCACGTAAAATCATCAACAACTACATTTTTTGTAGGCTACATGAACATACACAAATAATCCAAGACTTACCGCAATTTTAATATCAAAAGCATCAAAACCCCGACCCAATCTTGCAATTTCTTTTTTGGCATCACTGAGTTGCGATCGTAAAGAGAAACGCTGTAAGACAAATAACATATTTTATATTATTTAATATTTCAGTAATTGTATATTTATATTAAAGGGACATTAGGCAAGATTAAATAAAGAGCTAAAAGTTCTCGCTATAATGGTTAAATATAGATAATGTAAAGGTAATTTGCTGAAAATTTTAGTCAAATTGATCCACTATGAGCCGAGAAAGAAGCGGGTGAAATTTTTGCATAGTCTCGGTCATCATTACTAAAATCATTAATATAAACAGCATAGTCTCAATTATCCAATTTTTTTTTATTTAATTATCAATGGCCGTTAGCGGCATATAGGAATCTAATCCAGCTAACATCGAGAGTTTATTATGGTCTGGATAAGTTAATTAATGTCTAATTGATAATTTAGATAACATTTCAGGCCTAAAGAAAGACTTGTAATAAGCAGATTTTGCTCTTGCATAATGCATGTTTAAATAAAGAGCTAAAAGTTCTCGCTATAATGGTTAAAATATAGATAATGAAAAGAGAATATGCTGAAAATTTAAGTCAAATTTCTTCACTCTGCACCTAGATATCAGCGATTCAATTTTAGGCTAGCGTGGATCCTCATTGCTATCTTGCCACGATAAGAAAAAAATGTCTTGATTACCCGTTTTTACAGTTATTTCATCTACAACAAAATGTGTGGAGAGAGAGAGAGAGAGAGAGAGAGTGAGGGGTGGGGGTGGGGGTAACCTCCACTGATACAAACTGAGTCATTTCAAGACTAACATGTGGCTCAATTTTATTTCAATCATTCACTTGCGTGTTTGGGTCTTTAGCGGTGGAGTGGGAGGAAACCGGAGGGCAGGCAACCTTACTCCTGGTCATGTACAAGCGGAGAATCTAACCCACACCAATTGCCTCAATGACAGACCTTTTGATGCAAAACGTGTTAACCATCCGGCCGTCCAACCCCTTTGTAAACTGCCTTATTGTTTCAAATGAACGATGGTCTCGGTTTGATTTTTGAAAAGGCATGTTATTATGCTTTCGATAAATCTATAACATTAAAGTCTATAGTTCAATGGATTAATAAAAAAAAATAAATTAATCTTACATCTAATTTCAAATCTCTAACAGTTTTCTTCCATTCAGTTTCCTGTTCTTCCATTTTCTAAATTAAACAAATTTATAAAAATTGAACAAATTTATAAAAATTGAACTAATTTATAAAAATTAAACAAATTTATAAAAATTGAACTAATTTATAAAAATTGAACTAATCTATAAAAATTGAACTTATTCATAAAAATTGAACTAATTTATAAAAATTGAACTAATTTATAAAAATTGAACTAATCTATAAAAATTGAACTTATTCATAAAAATTGAACTAATTTATAAAAATTGAACTAATTTATAAAAATTGAACTAATTTATAAAAATTGAACTAATTTATAAAAATTGAACTAATTTATAATTGTCTAATTTGATCTCCCATAAATTTCAATACTGAAATTCTCATGCTTATTCTATAGAAATCCTTTGTAGGTCTGAGAAAATTCTATTATGAAACATTCAATCCCATATTTTAGTTCAATAAAAAGAGTGGATCCATTCTTCAAAAAGCATTATAAATTGCCAAACGTTGAAAAATGGAGCCAACCATATTCAGTTATTTAAAATAAAAATATGACAAACCTTTCGATTTTCTTCTTCCAATTCTTTTTTCTCGTCAAGCAGCTGTTGTATTCTCCCCCCATTATCCGTCTGCTCAGCATCTGTCACATTTGATTGTCTTTCTTGTTTTAACCTATCAACAGTGTTAACACTTTCTAATAAATCTTTGCGTAGCCTCGTTATTTGTTCATTATCCGTCGCTACTTCTGCTTGTAACGTCGAAATAATTTCAGTTTTCTTCAGTAAATCTTCCTGCAGTGTTTTGATTTCTCCATGTGAAGCCTCTTCCTTATTTTTCAATTCTGTAATTGTCTCGAATCCATTTGATAATTCTGTTTGTAATTTTGTAATTTGAGCTTGTAATTCACTTTCAGATATTTTTTCTTGACGTAAATTTTTAATTTCTTCTGATTTTGTGAACAATTCTTCTGATTTTGTGGACAATTCTTCTGATTTTGTGGACAATTCTTCTGATTTTGTGGACAATTCTTCTGATTTTGTGGACAATTCTTCTTCTAATGCTACAATTTGCTCTTCCAATTCACTTCCATGATTTTGCAACTTTAAAATCTGTTCTTGGAAATGACTTTCTGAAGCCTTTCCTTCATTTAATCTTGTAACTTCCTCAGATTTTATGGACAAATCATGTTGAAGCTCAAGAACTTTAGCTTCTAATTCACTTTCTCGATTTTTCAGTTCTGTAATTGTCTCAAGACCATCTGCGACGTCAATCTGTAATTTTGTGATCTGTTCCTTGGATTCTTCGGAATCCTGACACAAAGCTTCATTCTCTCGTTTCAAGGATTTTATGGCTTCAGTTTTCTCTTCCAAATCAACTTGCAGAATCGCAATTTGTTCAATATTGTCTTTGATATCTTGTTCCAATTCACATTTCTCATTGGTCATGTCTGCTAACTCTTTTTTCGTTTTATCAAAAGCTTCTAAGTCAGTCGTTAATGTTTCCACTTTTAGTTGCAGGTTGCTCAGTTCCTCATCCTTACCCGCTAACGTATCACGAAATTCCATTTCCATAGTAACGATGGCCTCTCTTTTAGCACTGAATTCTTGTCGTAATTCTGATAACTGTTCCTTCAAGATTGATTCTGTATCTTTACCTTCTGCTTTGAGTATGTCTTCTTCCTGTTGTTTCTGGTACCATGACAGCATGTCTGCGTGGTCCGTGTGTAATCTTTCGTAGTCGTGTTCCAGGGATTTTTTTGTCAATGACAGTTGTTTGACTTGTCCCTCTAGGTCTTCTATCTGATCTCTTCGATCAGAAACCTCTCTTTGAAGATTTGTGATTTTTTCTTTATTCTCCGTATTCTCATCTGTTTCTCGTTCAATAATGTCTTGCAAGTCACCAACCTCATTCTGGAGATTCTCCAACTCTTTCTGTAATTCTGCTAACCTGGGCTGTGTTTCTGCGAGTTCCTCAGTTTTTGAAAGCAGTTCGGCCTCAATTGTTGTCAGTTTTTCTTTTAAGACCATGTTTTCACCATTCAGCTGAGTGACCTGGTCGGAATAATGCTTCGAGGAATGGATGACTTCATCCTTCTTTTCTGCTTCAGCTTCTAACGCTGCTATTTTCTGATTCAAATTCTTCAAACTTTCGTCTCTCTGACTGGCCATTTCGAGACTTGTTACAAGTTTTTTCATTTCAGTTTCTTTCAGGTCAAGTTCCGTCTGCAATTCTTGTACTCTTGAAAAAAGTTCCCCCACTCTTTCACATTTTGGTCTCAGATCTGCAAGTTCACTCTCTAATTCCACTATTTTTTCATTCAACATTTCTATTGTTTCATTAGAGGCTGCTATGTTTTCTTCCAAGCTGTTTATTTCTTCTTTTAATTCTGTATGTTGCTCGGAAGACGTGTTCAATTGCTCTCTCAAATCCTCCATTTCAACTTTTTGCTCTTCAATTAGATCTCGGAGATCTTTCCTTTCATGTTGTAAAGCAAATATTTCTTCCTCAAGTCTTGATGTTCCACCAGTTTTATCGTCAACAGTATCACATTGGATCTCTACTTCACATTTTTCACAAGAAGTCAATTCTTCTAATTGACTTTTCAGCATCTGGATTTCTGACTTCTGGGATTCAATATGTGATTCATAGACGGAAATGTTCTCAGAATTGTTCTTCTTTAATTCTTCAAGTTGCTGATTTAAGTTTTCGATTTCATTCGCTTTTATCGCCACCATTTCTTCAGTGTTGTCATTTTGCTTGGCTTTTTCTTTATTTTCGACTTGAAGTTTCAACAATTCAGTCTTTAATTCATCAATATTGTCTTTCAAAGATTCGACTTCTTCTGACGCTTCAGTCTGGGTGTCTTGTTCCGATTTAGAAACTATTTCTTGTGAAACTTGTTTGTTCTCTTTATTTTTATCGGTCACCTTTTCCTGAAGGGCAGCCATGTTGGCAGATAACTCTGCTTCCACTCTTGAATGTTCCTCTTTCAAATTTTCATTATCTTGGTTGAGTTTTTGTATGGTTACTTCTAAAGTCTGGATCTGGATCTTAAGACTCCTTGTCTGAGATTCTGAATTTGACCGGTCCATATTTTCCAAATCTATGGCCTCGAGAGCTTTATTTTTCTGCTCAACTTCATTCTCAAGACTTTGGATTTGAGATTTGTACTGAATGATCTCTGATTCTATGAGCGTTAATGCATCTGACTTGTGCTGAATTTGATTCTGGCTTTCACTCAGTTCTGATTCAAGTGTTGCAACTTTCTTTTGATATTCTGAAACTTCTTGCGATGTAAAGTTATTTGTCTCCAGGTCGATGTTACTAAGCGCCTGATTCTTAAATTCCAGATCTGCTTCCACTCTTGAATGTTCCTCTTTCAAACTTTCATTATCTTGGTTGAGTTTTTGTATGGTTACTTCTAAAGTCTGGATCTGGATCTTAAGACTCCTTGTCTGAGATTCTGAATTTGACCGGTCCATATTTTCCAAATCTATGGCCTCGAGTGCTTTATTTTTCTGCTCAACTTCATTCTCAAGACTTTGGATTTGAGATTTGTACTGAATGATCTCTGATTCTATGAGCGTTAATGCATCTGACTTGTGCTGAATTTGATTCTGGCTTTCACTCAGTTCTGATTCAAGTGTTGCGACTTTCTTTTGATATTCTGAAACTTCTTGCGATGTAAAGTTATTTGTCTCCAGGTCGATGTTACTAAGCGCCTGATTCTTAAATTCCAGATCTGCTTCCACTCTTGAATGTTCCTCTTTCAAACTTTCATTATCTTGGTTGAGTTTTTGTATGGTTACTTCTAAAGTCTGGATCTGGATCTTAAGACTCCTTGTCTGAGATTCTGAATTTGACCGGTCCATATTTTCCAAATCTATGGCCTCGAGAGCTTTATTTTTCTGCTCAACTTCATTCTCAAGACTTTGGATTTGAGATTTGTACTGAATGATCTCTGATTCTATGAGCGTTAATGCATCTGACTTGTGCTGAATTTGATTCTGGCTTTCACTCAGTTCTGATTCAAGTGTTGCGACTTTCTTTTGATATTCTGCAACTTCTTGCGATGTAAAGTTATTTGTCTCCAGGTCGATGTTACTAAGCGCCTGATTCTTAAATTCCAGATCTGCTTCCAATTCTTCTATCTTAGTCTTGTAGGAAATAATCAATTCTGTACTTTCAAAATCATCCAGGTTGTTTTTGTTGTCCACAGAATCCTGCAACTCTTGAAGTTTCATTCTATATTCCCTAGCCTTGTTCTGTTGTTTCTCCAGTTCAATGTTCTCCATTTTCAAAGAATCGATCTCATAATTTTTCTCTTCTAGAAGAGATTTTAATTTGTTGATTTCCTCTTTCAGATTAGTCTTTTCCTCGTCATCGACGATTTTATTCTTGTTGACCAGAAACTGAAAAGTAGCAAATGAAAGGAATAAATTTCACAGATACGGAAATGAAATGAAGAGAGAGAGAAATGGGGTTTAACATCCACTCGACACAAATTAGGTCATTTTGGGACTAAGATATGTTTTAATTTTATTTTAGCAATGGGAGGAAACCGGAGGACCTGGAGAAAACCCACGAGGTTGGACATGCAACCCTACTCCTTGTCACGTACAACCGAGGATTCGAAACCACACCAGTTGACTCAATGACAGGCCTTATGATACAGAACGCACGTGCTAACCACTCGACCATCCAACCCCCCCCAGAAACGAAATGGAGGTTAACGCCCTACTAGGCTAATGAAATCGGGCATATGCCATACAGTGTGCTATGAGGGAAATTTTGCCCGGACAGCGGCGTTACTGCTTATGTTTATATCGAATTACAACTGTCAAGAGGTTTTTTACGTGCATGCCGATGTGTACAAAGGACCTTGGTTTTTTGTTCCATCCGAATGACTAGACAGCTGTCCTTGTCAGACCCTCCGTCCACCAACACTAACAAGTCACAGATACAGACTGTACATGTATAAAGTAGCTAAACCCTTTTTGATTCAGGTAAATGTAACACTCTTTATCAATTTTCAGCTGATCAATGGGTGGAATGGGACTTAATGTCTTGTCAACACATTGGCATTTCAGAATACTTTTCTTCGAATCCCAACTGTCAAGGGTTCTTTTACGTGCACACCAATGCGTACGCAAGAGATTGTTTTTTCATCTCATCTGAACGATGAGACACTGTATTTTTCCAGGCTTTCGCCGGGATCGAACTGCCGATTGCCATGATGACTAGATCGAGCTGCTGATTGCCATGATGACTAGATCGAATTGCTGATTGCCATGATGACTAGATCGAACTGCTAATTGTCATGTGACTAGATGGAACTGCTGATCGCCATGACTAGATCGAGCTGCTGATCGCCATGACGACTAGATCGAACTGCTGATCGCCAAAATGACTAGATTGAACTGCTGATTGCCATGTGACTAGATGGAACTGCTGATTGCCCTGATGACTAGATCGAGCTGCTGATCGCCACGATGACTAGATCGAACTGTTGATCGCCCTGATGACTAGATCCAATTGCTGATCGCCATGATGACTAGATTGAGCTGCTGATTGCCATGATGACTAGCATGACTGAGTGTTTTGTTTATGTGTACCCTTCATATTTGAAATCATACCTGTCCTGTGGAATGTCTGACGTTGTCTGCGTTTTTTAGCTTAGCTTCTGTCTGTTCAACTTGACGTTCTAACATGGTGATATAATCTTGGTTTACTTTCTCTTTCTGTTCCGATTCTCGTTTTGTCTGTTCAAAAAAATAATATATTAAAGACACTGATCATCATTTGCATTTTACAGGCAACATCTTATCTTTCATTTCTTAATGTACTCAGATTGATTATTTAACATTTAGTTAAGAGAGAAAGAGAAATGGGGTTTAACGTCCACGACACAAACTAGGTCAATTCAAGACTAACACATGGTTCAATTTTATTTCAATAATTCGCTTGCGCGTATGGTTTTTAGCAGTTGGAGGAAACCGGAGGACCCGAAAAAAACCCACAAGGTTGGACAGGCAACCCTACTACTCCTTGTTACGTTCGACGAGGGAATCAAACCCATGCCAGTTGACTCAATGACAGACCTTATGATAAAACGCGCACATGCTAACCATTCGCCCATCCAAACCCTCTATTTAGTTAAGAAAAACAAACGTAATATATCAGTGGTAGTAATCTCCTGGCTTTGAATAATTAAGATTAAAAATAGGACGATCGAAAGAATCTATTGAAGATAAGGTGCCACTCATTTAAATTGTTGACAATTTTGAATTTGTCATATCATTATATACTATTCAAAAAAAGTAGGGGATATTTGATTTTGGGGGCATAATACTAAAATATGCAAATGACTACGAAAAAAGTCACTATAGAACCTAACAGAAGAAACATTTCCAGTTACATGTGACGCCCAAACGCACCAATAGCTACCGCATGGAATGCAGGTGATGCTTGGGATCATCATGGGGGTCCAACCCAAGATTTGCACGACTCTGACTTTGAATGTTACAGTCATTGTGGCATTGAATTCCAGGGTGGAAACATCAGTTTAATTGTTTTAGTGACCAGAAAACAAATTTTGATATGCGTCGGCTTACCCAAAATGAAAGGTTACGTGCCCTTGGCATGCTACAGATCGGCACAACACAGGCGGTTGTGGCGCGGACGATGAATGTTTCTCAGTCTGTCATAAGCAGGCTATGGTCCAGATACCATGATACACAATCTGTACAGGACAGACCACGCTCAGGTCGACCAAGGGCGACAACTCAAGCCCAGGATCGATTTATCCGTACCTTGGCCTTGAGAAATCGTGTCATCACAGCAAATCAGATCAGCGCTCGTCTTCAAACAGACACTGGTGTGAGAGTGAGTGGCCAGACGATTCGGAATCGACTGCATAGGGGTCACCTTCGCGCCCGACGTCCTCGCGTGATCCCTTGTTTGAGAGATCATCACATTCAGGCAAGACGTCGTTGGTGTAGGGATCGTCAACACTGGGATAATCGACGCTGGAGCAATGTGATGTTTTCAGATGAGTCAAGGTTCAATGTTGATTTTTTGGACAGACGTAGGAGGGTGTGGCGTCGTCGAAACGAGCGCTTTCAAGACGTTAACGTCATCAGACATGATCGATTTGGGGGTGGTTCTGTTATGGTGTGGGGAGGCATCACTGTTGCTGGAAGAACGGCTTTACATGTTGTTGCAGGGCGTGTTACAGGCCAGTACTACCGGGACAACATCTTGGCAGTCCATGTTGTGCCGTTCGCACGACGTCATGGCGGCCGTTTCATCTTCCAGGATGACAACGCAAGATGTCACAGGGCCAGGATCGTTACAGGTTACCTCCAACAACAGAACATCACCACATTACCTTGGCCAGCACTGAGTCCCGACCTCTCCCCCATCGAGCATGTCTGGGACATGCTTGGACAGAGGTTACGTCAACGTCAACAACGTCCTGCCAATGTCCAAGAACTTGCTGCTGCGTTGCAACAGGAATGGGAAAATCTGGACCAAAATGACCTTAGACGTCTCATTAGGAGTATGCCACGTCGGATCAATGCTTGTTTGGCAAACAGAGGAGGATTTACCCGTTACTGACTTGGTTGTGATGCTGTGGTAACTTTGCTGTTTGACCCCGGGTATCATTTTACCCTTATAATGGTCAGTATGTGCCTTACTTAGTCTAACGATCATTTGGAATAAATCGATGAATGTGAACTTCATTTCATTTTGTCATTTGTTTCTTCGTCAGTTTCATTAGGTGACTTTAATAACACTTAAAAATCAAATATCCCCTACTTTTTTTGAATAGTATATATAAACTATACTAAACCATTTTTGTCCACTGAAGAACACAAAAGTTTTTTCCTGATTAATTAATGGGAACTGCCAAGATTGGAACGTAAATCTTATTATTAACAACTGTTTGTTGGGCTATACTATATACCGGAAAACACCCCCAAAACACTGGAAAACTATCGGAAAACACCATGTTATACTGAATATCATAAACCACTAGAAAAACACTAAATACCGGAAAACACACTAAATACCGGAAACCACACTAAATACCAGAAACCACCCTAAATAGGTAACCTGGGAAAAGGGCTATACTATAAATCGGAAACTAACTCTAACCCAGGCACAAAGAGGACCAGGCTCCTGGTTACCTATTTAGGGTGCCAGTCTCCGGGTTACCTATTTAGGGTATTTTCCGGTATTTAGTGTGTTTTCCGGTATTTAGTGTTTTTCCAGTATTCAGTATAAAATGGTGTTTTCCGGTTGTTTTCCTGTGTTTTCCGGTATATAGTATTGCCGCTGTTTGTTGAAAGTGATTTTAATTCTTTGTTTTTCTCTTGATTAATGGTAACTGGAAATAAATCTTTGACATACCTTAACAACTTTTTGTTGAAGTGATTTTAATTCTTCGTTTTTTTCCTTTAACTGTTTATTTAAAGATGACTTTTCATCAGCTAGTTTATAAAGTTCGGCTTCTACTTGGTTTATATACAAATCACGTTGATTTAACTTTTCACCCATTTCTTTGATTGAACCCTTCCAAAATAAAAAATAGGTCATTTCTTTAGTTCATTTTTGTCAATCATGACATATGGATGGGAAATGGAGAGAGAGAGAGAGAGAGAGAGAGAGAGAGAGTATTTTGGGGTTTTTTGAAAGGAGAGAGGGGTTTAATATCCACTTGACACAACCTGTGTCATTTCAGGGCTAACGTATTGTAAAATTTTATCTTAATAATTTGTTTGGGCGTAGGACAGGGAACAAAATAACTGTCAACAATTGTTTTGATAAATTTTTGATGATCAAATCAAAATTTTGATTAGTAGTTTAGTTAGAAATAACCGAAACCCCTTTAATTACAAGGATATGTTTGATATATTTACCTTGGGGGTCACGGTGGTTAAGTGGGTATGGGTAAGACGCTGGATCGCTAGTCTGGAGGTCGGGCGTTAGATCCCTGCATTGGCCGAGAAAGTTCATCAGGATTTTCCAGCGTGGCTGCCCCTTGTCAGTGATGTAGAAAGGAGGGCCTCACAAGGACTGCTGTCTAGTCATTTCAGATCGGACGAAAAACTGAGGTCCCGCGTACATATTGGTGTGCACGTAAAAGATCCCTTGCCAGTTCGAACTCGATATAAGAGAAGGTCGTAGTGCTGCTGTCCGGGCAAAAATTTCTCTTTTAGCACACTGAATGGCGTATGCCCCTCTTCATTAGCCTAGTTCGGAGCAGAACAGTAGGACGTTTACACCCCATTTCATATCGATATATTTACCTCCACTTTCTCGTTTACTTCTTTATCCATAATACTTTTCTCTAAAACCGTAAATTCTCTTAATTCTTTAAATTCTTCTTCTTTCTCGTAATATTGGTTACTGAGTTTTTCTATCATTATTTCCCTGTGAAAACAAGAGAAACATACAATATAATATACATTATAGTTTAGATTATAATAGAGGTATGTCGAGCATTGTCATCTATACTAATATTTGTGACTGTCGTTTGTCTGTCTGTTCGGGTCTACACTAGGTCTGCCCCGAGTCTGAAATTTGGGGTATAGGGGTAGCTCCGACCGGGGATTAACATAGGCCAGGTGGCTTCAGTCTACCATTTCCAATTTTGGAGTTATGACCCCGAGCGAAGCCGGGTATCCTGCTAGTTTGAGATATTTTGAACTTTTTCAAACTATAAAATTTTAACAGTTAATTCTCTAAAATGAACAATGGTTCAATTCTGTTCGGTATTTACAATCTGATTAAAATACAGATCTATATTTCATTTCCTTTTGTTTTATACTTTCGATAGCCACTACTACATGAAGATCTGACAGGTTTTAGTGGAAGGTCACATCAGAGGTCATACAAGCGGCTTTTGACCGTATGACGTCAGACATTTGATTAACCAATCAGTATTGATGTTTCTAGTGGGTTACCCACTTGCCGTAATAGACCGTTTCATTGGCTAATCACCCATCTTCCAGATCCTAGTGTAGTAAAGACAAGTAAAACGAAATTTTGAACTACAAAAATCGAAACGAAATAGGATCTGTGTTATAATCAGATTGATATTTATACAATGAATTGAAAATTTCCAACAACAGCCAGATGTTATAAACAAGCCAGCATCACCTATAAATGTTAGCTAAAATCTTTTGATGTGCCTCATTTTAATCTGATTGAATCCAAGCTGGTCAATTATCTACCATTGATATGAATGTTGGACACCTATACTAATATTTGTGCCTGTCGCTTGTTTGTTTGTTTAGGCTTGCCGCTACACTAGGGCTGTCATGTGGCAAAAATTTGGTACATAGGGGTAGCTCGGTCCAGGGAGTAACATAGGCCTGGTGGCACTGCATTACTGCTTCTGAGTTATACTACTTTTGGTCCCAGGCACAACCTGTGCAGAGCCTTATTAAATGGGGTTTAACGTCCTACTGTTCTACTTCGTCTGGGCTAATGAAGACGGGCATATGCCATACAGTGTGCTATGAGGGAAATTTTGCACGGGCAGCGGCACTATGACCTACTCTTGTATCAAATTCCAACTAAGGGATCCTTTACCTGCCAGCTAACGTATACACGGGACCACGGTTTTTCATCCCACCCAAACGACTAGACAGCTGTACTTGCCAGGCTCTCCGTCCTGCACCACTGACAAGGGGAAACCACGCCTGTAAATCCTGACCAACTTTCTTGGTTAATGGCTAAATAGGATAGGAATGGGGTTTAACATCTCATAAACACAACATTATAGGACTAACATAACAAATGGTTGTTGTTGTTTTTTTAATCACATGCATGCAAATGTGTACATGTGTTGACCTTGTTTTTTTTGTCTCATCCAAACAACTATTTATGCAACACTTTACTTGTCAGTCCCACAGATGCTACCCCTGACAAGTTGGGACCGAGGTTAAAAAATGCTGAGATTCTTCTCAGCACATACTGAGATTCAAACCAGTGAGTCCAATACCCGAAAACAAGCACTTACATTTCTTTAATTTGTAATTTAAGCGCCTCTTTTTCTTGATCTGCTTCCTCACTGATGCGTCTCTGTGGTGCAATAGAGTTATCTATAGACAAGATGGTGAAATCTGACTCATCTGTCGTCGTGTGATCTCTGAAGCGCACTGATGAGGATTCTGGCATTTCAAATGTCGAAAAATCCATATCTATTGCCGACAGAATAGATCTATTGGCAGGAACTGTAAGAAAATAAAAGTAGTAAATGAATAATTTTTCAAGAGAGAGAGAGAGAGAGAGAGAGAGAGAGAGAGAGAGAGAGAGAGAGAGAGAGAGAGAGAAATGGGGTTTAAGTCCACTCAACACAAACTAGGTCATTTCGGGACTAACATTTTATTTCAATAATTCGATTGCGCGTAGGAGTCTTTAGCAGTGGGAGGAAACCAGTGATGGGATTTTACCCGTATATTCCGGACTTGTCCGAATCTTTTTTCGAAACGCCCAAAATTGTCCGACCGGGAAGATGCCCAATCGAACATCAAGACATGTACTGAGTGTATAACTACCGTGCAACCCGATTATCGTTGATAATAGGCTGGATTGATTAGGTAATTAAGTGATCGACTATTTATCGTGTTATATCGTCTATACACACCTACCTTGATTAACTACTATTCTGCCTTGATTGGCTTACTTAATCCTTTGTCAGACAATTCATCAAATCAATCCTGAACAGAAGTCATTGCTTCTCCTTTGTCGGATGATATATCAATCCAATAAGAGTGATTATAAACTTAATCTGATTAACCCGTGATTTCACCATTGTCTCACGTTTTAATCTCCTTTGTGTTGGACAATAACACGTAGAAATTAGTCATATAATATGTCACATATCCTGATAGTATATAACACCTCAAATCAACATACATTGTATCCGATAAATTCTCTGTGATATATTTTCGGTGGAAGCGAAGCCGAATTAAATAAAGATATTTCACACACACGCAAATGTCGCTTATATAGTTCAGTAATTAAAATGAAAGTACAAATCTCGCGAGACACGTGAAATTAAGAGATGTATACGTGCTGAATCAAATACGCCTTATGTCCGGGAAAAGATTCAATTTTGATGGCATATTGTCAGATTTATGATCATATTTTGAAGGGAGTTTATGTCTATTTAGACGATAGCGCTGGCTACAGTCGAATGCAATTATTGAGCAGTTGGTGTCACTCGCTCGTTGTATTAGAGGGTCGTTAACTACGGTTTACGGCCAAATAAATTTCGGGATGTCATTTTTTTACCTTCCGTATATAAATCGAAACGGAGTATCAGACGAATGTCGGACTTGGCTGAAAAATGTACCGACGTATGACACGAAAAATACGGTAATTTTGGGGGAGTTTGAAACAGATCGGCAGCAGTCGGCACGCTGCCATTGTATAGTATTACGATGTCATGTAATTTTGTAGGAATATTATTGACATAAATTTGAATGCCGTACGGGTTTTAAACATGAAATATAACAAGGTGCACCTATTTTTTTTTACATATGAATTTGAATATATTTTGTTGACACGTGATTCATAATTGTGTTTTGAAAACGTCTGCTTAAATTACGATAAGAGTTATGCCCCTTTATTTTCAGGAAAAATGTCTGACAAGAATTTTTTTGAAATCCCGTCACTGGAGGAAACTGGAGGACCGGGAGAAAATCCACGAGGCTGGACAGGCGCCCCTACTCCTTGTCACGTACAACCGGGGATTGGAAACTACAGCAGTTGACTCAATGACAGGCCTTATGATACAGCACGCACGTGCTAACCATTCGCCAAGTAAATTTCAGTATCAAATTATATTCAGACAATAAATTTCAGTAGCTGTTATCAGAGTCACATTAAAAGGAATGGCGATCATCTTGCTATGGGTTGATGCAACCTACCTTTCTTTTTATCAAAATAGCTGGTAAGATGGCCAAAAGTGGTGGTGGCATGTGCCTTAAATCCTAATGCCCCTAACATGGGAAATCTATCTGAATAAACTCCTTTCAGTTTAATTTATAATGCAACCAGTGGTAGGAAACTGGAAAAAACCCGTAAAGTTGGAAATACCTCACCCTAAATACATGGTTAGACCACTCGGCCACCCAGGTAGTGAGAAATACCTCACCCTAAATACATGGTTAGACCACATCGGCCATCCAGGTAGAAAGAAATACCTCACCCTAAATACATGGTTAGACCACTCGGCCACCCAGGTAGTGAGAAATATCTCACCCTAAATACATGGTTAGACCACTCGGCCACCCAGGTAGTGAGAAATATCTCACCCTAAATACATGGTTAGACCACTCGGCCACCCAGGTAGTGAGAAATATCTCACCTTAAATACATGGAGATGATAACGTGCTGATCATTTTTGTTTACATTTTGAATTTAACCCATTTTTGACGATTGCGAATCAACTCGCGGACCCATCATACTTGGCAACGGCATTAGCGAAAAAAAGCGCGAGATCAATCAACACATTTCTATTGTTTTTATTTCTTAAATTAATGGTGATTGAGTAATAAAAATAAAATACCTAATGAAAAGGAATGTTATATTCACTAATTATCGAATAAAAAACGTACATTTCAACAAAGGATCTTCCTGTATTTACGTAATAGGTCAGAGGTGAAAATTCACACCGTGTCAATGACTTTGGCATTATTCCAATATTTTCACGTCGTCACCTACGACTAATAATTTTATGATATGGAAAGTGAAATGGAATCAGGTTTTTTATGATTTACTGCCAGGCATATCGTTGAATATGATAATGTCGAAGAAATCAACTATTTATTATTTTTTTTAGATGTTATGAAGCGAAGAATACATGTACTCGAGCTGAAATCAAGCATGTTGACGCCATCTTGAATACGCTTTCAAACAGACGATAACTTACGGCTAATAATTTTAGACTTTGGGAAGCTAAATTGAATCAAAACTTTTTGGATTTAATACAAGCTACATAGGGGAATATTACATTGTCGAAGATTTCAACTATATATTTTTATTTTCGACGCAATGAAGCAAAGAATACGACAATTCCCGTCATATATCCAAAGAATGGCAGAAATGTTAAATGCCGATAGCAATGAAGTGACCGTCATTTGGGGTGATATTTCTTTTTAAAAGTTATAATTATATTTACTTTGACCACTGCTACCAACGCGAGGGACTATATTTGTGTTTTATTTAAAAAAAAAAATTCTTAGGGGATACTTATTCACGTTATTTTACCGTTATATGACAGAAAGTCATAATTTTAGTGGAACTGACTTTTCAACATTTTTTATAGTAATATAATTGCTACTTTGTACAATTGAATTTTATATCATTGGAAAGAACACGACAATCTGTGCATTTTTGTAACAGAGTATTTCTGTGTATAGAAAATATTTTTTTTGTTATTTGCAATTTTGTAGAGGGTATTAGGATTAACAATAATCCACTAATTGGCTTAGGAATATGGGACCTGCTGATTTACTGAGCTTAGGCGTAGGGTAGCTAATCTTTTAATTGGCTCAGGGTTAAATGGGTTAATTTAACCTTTGGCACTTACAATGACTTTGTCTCCTTAATTTGGGTCCACACCAAGTTTCTCTTCGTAATTTTTTCTGAATTATAAAAGAAGGCTTAGATTAGTACATAAAATAAATTCTCATTGAAAAATTCAATTTACAGACTAACATAGGGTAAATCTTCTATGGCTGTTTTAGAACAGGGAGTCACGGTGACTAAGTGGGTAAGACACTGGCTTGCTAGCCTGGAGGTCGGGTGGTCGATCCCTGCATTGGCAGAGAAAGAGTCCATCCAGATTTTCCGACGTGGTTTGCCCCTTGTCAGTGATGCAGGATGGAGGGCCTGACAAGGACAGCTGTCTAGTCATTTGGATGGGATGAAAAACCGAGGTCCCAATGTACACATTGGCGTGCACGTAAAAGATCCCTTGACAGTTGGAATTCGATATAAGAGTAGGCCGTAGTGCCACTGTCCGAGCAAAGTTTTCCTCATAGCACACTGTATGGCGTAAGCCCGTCTTCATTAGCAGGAGTTTCTGTATATAATGTTTAGTTTCAAACCATTGTTGGCAAATTGTTAAAATACATTGAAAGCTACTGAGTTCCTACCGTTGCATAGTTTAAAATGGTGTTGTCTAGATTAGATAATGTGTTGATTTAAGACTATTTACTTTCCTGAACGTTAAATACAGAAACTCCTGCTAAATAAAGTACCCCCCCCCCCTCCCAACGATATACACGTTAAATAACAATAAAGATAGGTTGCCAGGCAATGAAACATACGCCCACAGTGGCTAAATCGTCCGAGTGGTCAACAAGGGTTGTTGCATATTTATTCCTTTGTAGGTAATTGGGGGCCTTTACAAGACAGTTCCATACAGATCAGATTATAATTTTTGCCGTTTGAGGGTTCACACGATTCTACAAATTGAAACAAGGGTCTCAAGTCTGGAAGTAATCTACAGAAATTGTTGAAATTTGACAGGCTTTTTCGTTTCACAAATTTAAATGATGCATATAAATTTCATACATATCGGATGATAACTTTCATCAATCGAGCATTAACAAGGTTGAACAAAGTTAAACAAGGGCAATAACTCTAGAAGTAATAAACAGAAATTGCTGAAATTCAATATGATTCTTCTCTTTACTAATTTAAATGACGCATGTAAATTTCATACAGATCGGCAGATAACTTTTGAAGTTAGAGCATTCACAAAGTTCAATAAAGTGAAACAAGGGCCATAACTCTAGACGTAATAAACAGAAATTGCTGAAATTCAATAACCTTCTTCGTTTCACTAATGTAAACAACATATATCAATTTTAAAACAATTGGATGATAACTTTTGGCGTTAAAGCGTTCACAAGAAATTGTGGACGAAAGACGGGGGCGACAGCAATATGCGTCCACATTTCTATGTGGGCGAATAAAAAGGAAAGTAGCAGGACAGATGTACAGTGGACTCTTGTCAAATCCGACATCGTACGGGATCGTTACAATATGTCGAATTACGCAGAGTGTCAGAATACTCAGTTTTCTCAAAAAAGGAAGTATTATTGTAACTTCGAAAACTGGAAGTATTATTATAATGTATCTTCGAATCCCCAGAACATTATTCCCTTTAAAAATGATAAACCTTTCTGTACATTAAAAATTGAATTACATGTATATTACCTTGACGTCTTTCCTATCTGGATTACCGATACTAGATGATACACAGATCATTCGTTGTAGATTCTCGATCAGACGCTGTTGTTCATTCTGGGCCTCTTCTTTCTCTCGTAGTTTTCTTTCAAGTTCATCTTTCTCCATTAACATATCATTCACTCCCATCTAGAAACAGAGAGAACTAGGGTTTAACACAAGGTCAATTTTGGGACTGACATATTGTGAGAAAACCCATGAGGTTGGACAGGTGACCCTACTCCTTGTCACGTACAAGCTAGGGATCAAATTATGCCACTTGACTCAATGACAGATCTTATGATCTAAAGTGAGCACATCAGATCACTTGACCATCACCCACCCATCTATAAACAAAATATTGTTTAAACTCATTAACATATCATTCACACCATCTATAAACAAAATATTGTTTAAACTCATCAACATCATTCACACCCATTTATAAACAAAACATTGTTTAAACTCATCATTCACACCCATCTATAAACAAAATATTGTTTAAACTCATCAACACATCATTCACAAACATTTATAAACAAACATTGTTTAAACTCATTAACATATCATTCACACCCATCTATCACAAACTCAGCGATCAATATCCTATAAATCCACAGGTCTAGCTATTTGTTTTTTACCGCATTAAGCAAGCGGATTCTTTTACCCCATATGCTTTTTTCTATTCGCCCTAATGACACCAACCATCAGTCAGCTGGACCTCCTGTTTTAACTTGTTTTTATTATGACAAAGGGAGAAGATGACCCGTCCTCTCTTCTCACGACAGCAATTTTATAAGTGTGTTTTAAGGTGACTTTTTTTATATACAAGGACTTTCTTATCTTGTGTTTTACCAATTTTCAACCCTTTAAATGTAAAAAATTTAATTAAATCAACCTGTCCATAATATCATATTTAATGTATTGGACGCTAAATCTGTAATAAACAACAACAATATTCCATAGACCAATGGAAAAAGCTGTCGGACCAGGTAAGGGAGAAGACTCTGTAGTAGAAGAAAGGAGAAACTAACCTCACTAGCTGTTTGTTGTAAACGCTGTATTTCCATTCTGTATTTGTTTAATAAAGCTGCGTCTCCGTTAAATACTTCGTTAAGATGGGGTTTATTCTTGATCTTTTTAGCTCGAGATGCAAACTGTAAAAGCATGTTTACATTTTAACACAACTATTATCAACTAATTTACTCCTAAAAAATAAATCAGCACACGACACCAGGATTGATATCTGGGACATTCTAGTCCAGAGATCAGTGTGGCCTCAAACTGCTCCACAATGTCTGTGTTTCACACAACTTCTGACAATTCCATACCTTAGAACTTGACACGTTAGCACACAAGTATCTGGTTTCAACATACTGCAAAGCTTTCATGCAGCTAATCTTGAACTGGGGTATTTTAAATTAGGCTGCGACAGGCTGGGCGAGGTTAGTTTCAGTCACCCAGAAGCTCCTATTCTTCAATGTACGGACGGTCTTGCGGAGTTTGTTTTTTTCATGTGGTTGATTATACAGTATCTTTGGTCAAGTCAAGTAAGAGTTGTGCCACTTCCCGAAATAAATCGCATAATTCTTGCATTAGTATAAACAAACATGAATCGTGACGACAAATTAGAATTAATTAAAAAAAAAAAACCCCATTGATATGGCACATGAAGAGAGAAATATTACACTAAAAAAAAAAAAATTAAGAGTGTTGGATAATGAACTGAAATGGCATTCTTAAATAAATTTCATCTTGTTTTTGGACTAGTTACCTCCCTTACACTTTGTTTATGATAATGTAAAAGACTGGATAATCTAGCCAATGATCTATTATTCTCAAATGTTGAGAAGGCATCCAGACTAATATTCATAGAATATTTTTCTGGATGATAGAGACTAGGGCGGGCTCTGCAGCAAAGTGTGTTGTCCATGTGACCGGCAAATTACAATGTTATGAAAGTTGCATCTTCAAAAGAGAGAGAGAGAGAGAGAGATGGGGTTTAACGTCCACTCGACACAAACTAGGTCATTTCGGGACTAACATATGGTTTAATTTTATTTCAATAATTCGCTTGCGCGTAGGGGTCTTTAGCAGTGGGAGGAAACAGGAGGACCCGGAGAAAACCCACGAGGTTGGACGGGCGACCCTACTCCTTGTCACGTACAACCTGTGATTCGAAACTACGTCAGTTGACTCAATGACAGGCCGTATGATACAGCACACACATGCTAACCATTCGGCCATCCAACCCCCCCCCCCATCTTCAAAAGGAATCTCAGTCTAAATATGTGTTGAATTTTGTTCAGTATTTACAAAGATGTGATAAAATGAAAATTTCAAAACATTCAGCACCCTCTGCAGACGATATCAACAAACCATTGCCCAAATCTTTTGATTGCCCTCTTCTTAATCCATGTTGTTACTTTGTTTTGTTTCTTAATTTGATTAAAGATTCATTATGTAAGATTTAGATAGAACTAGCCATTCACATTCATACTATAATAGTTCAAAAATAGATAATGCAAAATGAATATATTGAAAATTTCATTCAAATTAATCTATTAGCAATTGAAAGTTTGACTCAATTTGAGTCATTGATTATAACCACCGTACTGGTTGTTCGAAGCTGAGCTCTGATTCTCAATTTTTAAATTAAATCATTAAATGGCCAAACCGTTCTAATCTACTTAATATCGGAGATATCTGGATGGCATTGAAAGTTGATTATGGTCATTGGTCTTGTCATGTTAATAAGTGTCTAATTTATAGTTTAGATAACATTTAAGGCTTAAAGTTAAAGAACGATCTGCAATAGGCAGATTTAGCGCTTGCATAATGCATGTTTAAGCTTATCTTTTTAGTATGAACTAAGTAGATAAAAATAAGATATTGCCGCAACAATGACCATGAGTGGCTTTAATTACTTGAATCAAACCAATTCTTAGGCCCAACCCTTTTTACCTGTGCCACTGCAACCCTAACTATTTTTACCTGCACTCCAAGACAAACATATTATGGTAACATTTATGTCTATGCTTACATGTGTAATGTGTGGAAGAAGAATTTTGTCCAAACAGCAGCATTTCCGCCTATCATTTTTCATTGTATAAGTTTAATAAAATGAACTAGATAGTTTACCTTTAAAGTAGAATGACTTTCTTCTATAGATGTAGGAGATATCGTACATATCATGGCTGTTTTTGAATTACCACCTAAAGCATTCTGTAAGATACGCGTCAGTTTAGAATCTCGGTATGAAATATAACCCTCACTGAAAAAAATAATAATTTATACAAACTGAAACAAGAAATTGCTGAAATTCGACTTCTTCGTTTCAGTAATTTAAAGGATGCATATAAATTTCATACAGATGGGATGATAACTTTTGTCGTTCAAGCGTTCACAAGGTCCAACAAAGTGAAACAACTACCATAACTCTAGTAACGGATATTGCTGAAATTCAATAGGCTTCTTCGTTGTACCAATTTAAATAATGCATATATAAATTTCATATAGATCGGATTATAACTTTTGTTGTTAGAGCATTCACACGGGCCATAACTTCAGACATAAGTAACGGAAATTCAATCGACTTTTTTGTTTCACTACTCTAAATGATGCATATAAATTTCATCCAGACGTTCACAAGTTGCAACAAAGTCATACTCCCGAAGAAATTAACGGAAACTATTGAAATTAAATAGGATTCTTCATCTCACTAATGTAAACAACATACATCAATTTCAAATCAATCAGATAATGTAGTCTGTAGAGTGTTACAAGAAATTGTGGACGACGGACAGACAGACGGCAATATACAACCACATTTCCATGTGGGCTTAAATCTAATTCACCAAATCGATGCAGAATTGATCAAAGAAAAAGCATGTCGATGGGACTTACATTGCCAAAGTCTTATGCTTTTTCAAAGAGCATCATCCCAAGAACAAAAAAAAACCCAGATTAGTTAGTGGCCACTTCCTGGTCCAAAATATAGATATAATTAAAATGCTGATCTACATATTATAAAACATTTGGATTGTATAAGACAAGTCAAAATAAAATAAACATCAGATAAAAGCTCTAGTACAGATAACTGTATATTCAGGATTTTAATCTTTGCAAACTTGCAGGTTTTTTTTTGGAGCGAATTTGTGATCAAGACAGTCAACTCACCCACCCTGCTTGCATAAGTTACCGATAATATAACTTACTTAATTTACTGACAGTAGTGATTAGTGATCAACAGTCAACTCACGCATCCCACATTGCTTAATTTACTGATGACTTGTGATAAAAACAATCAACTCACCCGTCCCCCTCACTTAATTTACTGATGACTTGTGAAAGAGTAAATAAACTTTTGTTTATAGCACAGCCTTCCTTAAATACTTTACCAGTATTATCTCCAGCCTTCTCAGAACCAGCCAAATCTACAAAATTCTACAAATAAAAGAAAAATGTGTAAAATCATGGATTAAGGAAAGGCGTGCCGCGTGGGGGGGGGGGGGGGGAGAGAGAGCGTGACAGAGATGATTGGGTTTAACGTCCACTCCACACAAACTAGGTCATTTCGGGACTAACTTATAGTTTAATTTTATTTCAATAATTCGTTTGCGCGTAGGGGTCTTTAGCAGTGGTAGGAAACTGGAGAAAACCTACGAGGCTGGACAGGTGACCCTACTCCTACTCACGTACAACTGGAGGATTGAAACCACGTCAGTTGACTCAATGACAGACCTTATGATACAGCGTGCACATGCTGACCATTCGGTAATCCAACTTCCATTAAGGTACAAAAGCCAAGTACGATAGGATGGTGACTATCAACAACGGCTGTTGAATGGGCAATGTTTTGATCAATTCATAAATAAACGATGAAAGTATTTCTAAAGGGGAGATTTATTGTGACTGCTGAAAAGGAGATGTCGCTGAAAAGAAGTGATTACTTGTACTGTATTAAAGTTACGACAGACATATCCTGTGAGATAATAAAAGTTATAGGTTTCTCAATCTGATTAAAATACAGATCTATATTTCATTTCGATTATTTTATACTTTCGATGGCCTCTACTACATGAAGATCTGGCCCGTTGTAGTGGGAGTTGCGTCAGGGGACGTACAAGCAGTTTTGACCCTATGACGTCAGAAATTAATTATTCAATCAGCGTTGACCTTTCTAGTATCCATGTGAATAATGAATTATAATATATGCAGAAGAAATGGTATTAGGTGTTCTCTGATTTATATAAAAACTGAACGATAGTTTGGACTTGGATTTCATAAACTCAAGAAATTGGGCATAAGACAACCTCTGATTCAAAGGATGTCAATGGTTTGCATTAAATTTTTTTACCAAATGTGACACCATAACAGCATCCTCTTCTGCTGTTTCACGACTCTCAATAATCTGTAATATAATCAACGAATGAAAAGAATTACACTTTATAGATTATTTCAACGGCATTGATTATTTAAACTTTTTTTGTGAAACCGGGCCATGGATTGTGGAAAACAGGAATGATGAAAATGGTGCTATCAACACAGGAACAAATAAAAGCTTTACAGGGATTCTATTTAAAGTTACGTAATGGGAAGTGACTGTCACTTTTCATACTGACTGCCACAAATATCCTTCACCTAATAAAAACACCTACCACTCGTAGAATACTGTGTGACCTTGAACTTCTGTCATTCTGTGCAGTTGCTGCAGTTCTTCTCCTATCTAAGAATAAATTCATCATAATGAAAATAGACAAAAACAAGGATTAGTAATGTTGACTTCTCCAACAAATAACACATTCTCTGGTCATTTTGAGAGAGAGAGAGAGAGGAGAGATAGAGGGGTGATGGAAGGCCTGGCAAGGAGAACAGCAACTAGTTGTTAGGATGGAACACAAAACCAAAACCAAAGTTCCGCATGCACATAAAAGAGGCAGAGAGAAATGGGGTTTAACGTTCAATCGACCAAAATATTTCATTTCGGGACTAACATATGGTTTGATTTTATTTTAATAATTTGCTTCCACCTAGGGGTCTTTAGCAGTGGGAGGAAACTGGAGGATGCAGAGAAAATCCACTAGGTTGGACAGACGATCCTAATCTTTCTCACGTACAACCGGGGAATTGAAACCACATTGGTTGACTCAATAACAGACCTTATGATACAGTCAATGTGCACGCGCTAACCACCACACCACCCCCTCCAAGTCATTTTCAGACTAAAATATGGTTAACAACTCTCTGAAGTCACAAGTGGAAAGCTATGGAAGTTAATTTTTCCCAGACAGCAGTGTTCTGCCGTGTTCCTCCTACTCTCCATTTAATCCCAACTGTCAAGAGTTATTTTAAATACACACCAATGCGCACATGGGTAGACCTTGATTTTTTGTACCATCCGAACAACTAAGGAACAACAGAAAAGGGGGAACCAGGTTCGAAAATCCTGAGTTTCTCGAGAGTCCAGTACCCTTACAGCTTGACTCAACTACCACGCACCTCCCTCTCAAATGAGTCGGTATTCTTGATAGAGCAAATGAAAAGAAATGAGGTTTAACGCCCTATTGTTCTGCTCCGACTGGGCTAATGAAGGCGGGCATAGGGCATACAGTGTGCTATGAGTGAAATTTGGCCCAGAGCAAGGTAGTGTGTCTTGTTCCTTTGATAAGATGTACTGCAGTATGGATAACATTTCTGTAATCCTTTGAAAAGTCAGTCCACTTTGGATCTGCCACCCTAATGTAAAACATGTCATCCATTACCAAGTTGTTGGATACTAAAGTACAACTTACTGTCTCCTTGTTTAACAACTGAAAATACTTCTTCTTTACAAGTAACATGTTGTTCTATCAAACCTATCACATTTATCTGATGATCCTATAAAATATATAACATGTTGTTCTATTAACCCTATCACATTTATCTGATGATCCTACAAAATATATAACATGTTGTTCTATTAACCCTATCACATTTATCTGATGATCCTATATATTAAAATATATAACATGTTGTTCTATTAACCCTATCACATTTATCTGATGATCCTACGAAATATATAACATGTTGTTCTATTAACCCTATCACATTTATCTGATGATCCTATATATTAAAATATAGAACATGTTGTTCTATTAACCCTATCACATTTATCTGATGATCCTACAAAATATATAACATGTTGTTCTATTAAACCTATCACATTTATCTGTTGATCCGATAAAATATACAACATGTTGTTCTATTAAACCTATCACATTTATTTGATGATCCGATAAAATATAAAACATGTTGTTCTATTAACCCTATCACATTTATCTGATGATCCTATAAAATATATAACATGTTGTTCTATCAAACCTATCACATTTATTTGATGATCCGATAAAATATATAACATGTTGTTCTATTAAACCTATCACATTTATTTGATGATCCGATAAAATATATAACATGTTGTTCTATTAACCCTATCACATTTATCTGATGATCCTATAAAATATATAACATGTTGTTCTATCAAACCTATCACATTTATTTGATGATCCGATAAAATATATAACATGTTGTTCTATTAAACCTATTAAATTTATCTGATGATCCTACAAAATATATATCATGTTGTTCTATTAACCCTATCACATTTATCTGATGATCCTATAAAATATATAACATGTTGTTCTATCAAACCTATCACATTTATTTGATGATCCGATAAAATATATAACATGTTGTTCTATTAAACCTATTAAATTTATCTGATGATCCTACAAAATATATATCATGTTGTTCTATTAAACATATCACATTATAAAGTCTCCGCACATCATTTGACTGATTATTTATCCCTTGCAAACTACAATATTGTGAATGACGAGTCTCCCTTCTTTAATAGGAATATCATACCAAATATGGGTCAAGTCGGTGGATCATCCTAGCCAATGAAGATCATAGGCTTTAAGAGAGAGGTAAAAAATTTGTATTTGAATTAAGACTGTTTTGTACACATTTTTCTTTGGTAACAAAATTATTCTGGTGGCAATCTACACAAAAACACACAACCAGACATCTTTAATATTATACAGCATTACAAATGGGAGTTCAGTTTTTTGGGGAAGGAAAAAGGGCTTTGTGTATTGATTAATTGATTGTATTTGATGCCTTACTGTATTTTCTTGTATCTTGATTACTTTGTCCTCACTAGACAGAAGATCTGATATCTTTTCGTTGTAGATCTCCATGTAGGTGACTCTTAGTAAAAATTCCTTGTTTGGTGCCTAAAAATAAAATAGTTTTCTTTGTTGGAAATGGCAATTGACACACAATCACAGAACCAGCAACTTACACACTGTTGAAGTAACATAATATGAATATAATTAATTCTCATTAATGCCAATTTGCTTGCTAGACTGGAGGTCGGATGTTCGATCCCTGCATTGGCCGAGAAAGTTCATCCAGATATTCTGGTGTGGTTCCCCCTTGTCAGTGATGCAGGATGGAGGGCCTGACAATGACAGCTATCTAGTCATTAGGATAGGATGAAAAACTGAGGTCCTGTGTACACATTGGCATGTACGTAAAAGATCCCTTGACAGTTGGAATTTGATATTAAAGCCCATTTCATTTTCATGCCAAATTTCTATGATGGTATGAAACAATTGACTATTTCAAAAAGAAATCATTTTATCACCATAATTCATTTTACTAAAACGAGAGATACTAACTTGATTAATATACTCAAATATCTCATCTATTGCTAAGGCAATAAGTCCAGGAGACATGTTGTCACCTGACATTGAGTATGTTTTACCGGAACCACTTTGTCCATATGCAAATACCGTTCCTGAAAACACACAGAGGAAACAGATAAACTGAATGGTCGAAACTATTTCTTTGAAAATTAAACAGAAGATGCATTTCTGATTTCATCAAATTAAAGATACATTGTGTAAGATTTAGATAAAGAATTGTCCGTTTTTGCTTTAATAGTTCAACCAGCGGCTGCCAGGCAGGATACGCCCACATTTTCGAGAGATGGATAGAGAACAAGCTAACAAGAAAGTGATTTTTCCTACAATCAAGGGCCATAATTCAGGAAATTACCATTCGATATATATGCGCAAATATCGAAAGGAACTGAGATCTTTGTGTTATAAACTTACATTTCAAGTTTCAACAAAATCGGATAAAAATTGTGACCTCTATAGGGTCCACAAGCTAAAAACGTGATTTTTCGTACAAACAGGGGCCATAATCCATGAAGTTTCTATCCGATACATGCCAATATCGAAAGCAGCCCAGATCTTTGGGAGATAAACCTATATTTCAAGTTTCGTCAAAATCGTATAAGAATTGTGACATGTAGAGTGTCCACAAACAAATTGTGGACGGACGTCCGGACGGAAAGGGGCGATGGCATAATACGTCCACATGAAATTGTGGGCGTATAAAAATACATCATGCAAAATGAATATTTGTAAATTTCATTGAAATTACATTATCAATGTTCATCAATTTGACAAGATGTTTGTATTGATTGTTTATTATCGTAATCACGGTGCTGGTAATTGAATTGAAAATAAGTCAACACCATTTCTTCAAGACCTCCAACACCAGATAATGTCGCGAAATATTGAAGTGTATTAATATTAAATATTTACCGTGGAAACCGGTCATGGCAGCTTGCACAATGGGTGAACTAATCTCATCGTTTATTTCATATGTGGTTGCATTTTCATCATACACACAGTCTACAAAATAATGTAAAAAATAAACACAATTTTTCATCCTGAGTTTTCTTTAACCTTATTTAAAATAGTCAATAAGAGAGAGAGAGAGAGAGAGAAATGGGGTTTAACGTCCACTTGACACAAACTAGGTCATTTCGGGACTAACATATGGTTTAATTTTTTTTCAATAATTCGCTTGCTCGTAGGGGTCTTTAGCAGTGGGAGGAAACCGGGGGACCCGGAGAAAACCCACGAGGTTGGACAGGCAAAAATAGTCAATAAGACAGAAATAATTCTAATTTTTAAAATCGTTTCGATTGACTAATGGGAGGGTCAAGCTAAAAGCAACAAGCAATGCCATGTTAAAAGTCAAGTTCAAAATTCCATTCACTAATTCTTAACCTGCTGGTATAGTCTACAATGGACAATGTATAGTTGTTCAGATGGGACGAAAAACCAAAACCCCAATGTGTACACATAAAAGAATTCTTGACAATTGGAATTTGATAGAAGAGTAGGCTGTGGCTAAGATAAGATGTGCATCACGATTCATAGCCTACATGTATGATACGATTAATATCGAGAAATCTGCAGGTGACCTTAACGTGTATGATACAATTAATATCGAGAAATCTGCAGGTGACCTTAACATGTATGTTTTATAGAACATACATGTACACTTACCAAACGTATACAGCGGTGAAGATTCGTCCCTCTGATGTACAGTTTTTTCTATTGCGTTCCACATACAAATTCTTCCATTTTGTCTTTCTCTGTAAATTAAATAAAACAATAATTAGTATCTGACTGTCATTTGTAATCCCCAGTAAACTACAATATTGTGATAGTTGAATCTCTAAAAGGGATAACAGTCTGAAGCTTAAAAGATTAGAACTAAACTAATAGAACTAATGAAAATAAAGAAACATTTTGAAATAAAATTTCACAAATCCATTCTAAGAATAATATGTCAGCAAGCCTGGACAATGACATCTGTCGCAGACTTTGTCAAGTACAAATTATCACACAAAAGGATGGACAACTGTCACAGATATTGTCAGACACAAATTATCACATAACGTGAGAGAGAGTGAGAAATGGGTTTTATCGTTCACTCGACACAAACTAGGTCATTTTGGGACTAACATATGATTTCATATTTTATTTCAATAATCCACATTTTGCAAGAGTTGGCCAGAGAACAAGCAGAGAAAAAAAGGAAGCAATTTTTAGTACAATCAGGGGCCATAATCCAGAAATTAAGGTCCAATACGTGCAAATCAAATAGAAATGAGATCTTTTATAGATAAAATTATATCTCAAGTTTCGTAAAAATCGGATCAAAATTGTGACCTGTGATGGACGGACAGGGACGATAACAATTTAAGTCCACATGAAAATGTGGGCATATAAAAAATGATAATTTGTATCTGCCAAAGTCTCCAGACTTGTACATGTATGTCGGGTAGGTAGAACTTGTTGCTTTACATACTTTTGTAGCAATGGTCTAATTCTTACTGCTACTTTGACTGAATCCATTTTGCTACTGGTTCTGTAATAAAGAATAAAGATACAATTTTAGCTTTTAATTTGATTGCATCTATAGATTGGTATTGTTTCAATTTTTATTGTCAATTTTTTTATTTTTCAATTTGAGGGCAAGTTTGTTGCTGTCAGGCCAGCTTTTATGCCATTTGTACATCTATAAATTGGATCTAAATGTTTGATGACAATTGACATCCTCCAGAATCACAGTATACCGTACTAGATAGAAGTCTGAAATCAGCCAATAGAATACAATGTCTCATTGCGTTGATTATCGCTATTTCTGCATATGGACAAAACAGTCAAGTACCGTAAGGGACATTTTTAAATCAGAATTACTGGAGGGCAAATAGCAACGGAGGGGGACAAAAGTGTGTTTGTAAAATCGATTTGGTCAACTGGTGCAAATTGTGCGCTAACTCAGTAACTGACACAAACTGATCAAACTGATGAAAACTCGTGGAACATATAAATGACAAATTTTAAAGAGAATACAAGACAAGACTAAAGCATAAATACAATTTAACTCTCCTTAATTTAAGACAATTAGGGCGACCTTCGGTTATCGTGATTTCTTGACTATGGTCGAACTAACTGAATTTGAATTTCATTTAGTCCGGACCATAGCCCGAAAATACTGAACCATGCTATTGTGGCATGGTCTCGGAGTAGTTCCAAGATGGCGGTGTCGATGAAACGAAAGTGTAGAATATGTAGAAAGAATCTATTTTTGTTAAGTATCTGATTTTAAGAAAGCTTGAATGAATTTTAAATGGTTGCTACTTCTATGAGCAGATATTTTTTGTCGCATTATTTCAATATTTGCACTATGCAAAAAGTAACGTCAAGTTACAAGGAATTTTGTCATCTCTAAAATTAATTTGAGTCGCGCAAATTTAACTTCATGAAAGTATTATTTGTTTATTAAACTATGTAACACAGCGATTCATTAGGCTATCCTCCATGGAGAGATGTATAGACCTTCCTTGGGGTTAAGTTAAGGGTATTTTTCGTTTTTTTTTCAGGGTTATGCTCGAGGTCTAAAGCAGAGTATAATGACATCACCATGTCCCTGGGGGCAGTAATCTTTGAACAGACGATGGTCCGGACCATTCGCGTTCGGTTTCTGTTTCCGACCACTAGTCGTGAAAAATTTATAACTGAAGGTCGCCTTGAATGCAGAATTACTTTTGCAATACTAATCCTATAAATTATAAATACTTATTAGGCTAAAGTGAGGGTTTTTTTACGGGAGCTTTTTTCTCATTTTTGAAATTGGGAGTTTTTTGATGGCTCTCGCAGCATTTCGTGAACCTTTCCATGATACACTTTTTAATTCACTCCAGCTTTAATTCTACAGCTTTCAAATTAACTAATTCTCCGATCATCTCCGAGAATAAATTCTGAAACTATAGTACAATGTCAAATTTAAAGTCTTTTTGATACATTCAATATCTCTAGTTATTATTTTGAAATATTGTTTTTACCTGTCTTCAGTTCAGGTCTTTCGCATCCACGGTCTTCTTCATGATATGAATTCGAAACTCCCTGTAATATTTGCCGTGTTTTGATTGGCCAATGAAGAAAATATAATAAGACTGGATAACCACGATCGTTTAGTTTATAAATGGAGTTATCTACCTTTAAATAATGAACGTGAAATGGGCATTGATATCCTATAATAAAGGATATCTACGGAAATGGAATTGCTCTACCAGCATCAGTGCTAAATCAGGCGAGTGAAGTGTTCTATCAGGGAAACTTTGCTTGGATAGCAGCACAACGACCTACTCTCATTTCGAACTCCAACTGTCAAGTTTTTTTTTACGAGCACGACAATGTAAAAACGTGACCTTTTTTTTTCGGCGCTATTGCACTTTCGTACCTCTACCAGTTCCCGTGGTCATAGGCACTTGAAATTTTCAGAGGATGTTAAGGGTGACTAGCAATGACCACACACCAAATTTCAGCCAAATCGATAAATAACTTTTTATTTTACCGACCTTTTAATTTCTAACGAGAGAGAACTTCATCCGTTTGACGCCATTTGCTTTGTTTACTAATTAGACTGGAATAACAAGACACTAAGACGGAAACCGACTCGAATAACAAGACACTTAGACGGAAACCGACACACTGCACTAGCTGCCTAACACTGCAGTTCATAAAAATTAATATAATTTTCGTATACTTTAATTTTTGCGCGAAGCCACCATTTTCTATAAAATACTATTTGGTGTTGATCAGTGGATTGGCCTTTAGGTGTAAATATTGCCGTGACCTTGATTTTGACCTTGAGGCCAAACTTCCCATCCATATCGGGGCCTTTGCGTTTATGCTTGCCGTGGCCTTATTTCTTACTGTATTATCAAAGTTAATGTTCGAGGTGAAAGCAGAGATGACGTCCTTCAGAAAAGATAATTGGGTCAAAGTCGTAGGTCAAGGTCATGTTACAGAAAACTAAACTCAAACTTTTCAAAGTCATTTTTGGGACATTTGACCTTGACTTACGACCTTGACCCCGTAACCATTTTCGAAGGCTATCACATTGGCTTGAATCATGAACGTTTAACTTGGTCCTGTCGCACACTGCTTGGTCAGTAAACGGTCAAACGCAGAGGGTCCGTGTCCGAAAGGAAGTCAATGGGCGTGGTCAATGTGAAAGGTCGTGGTGACCTCCACTAGTCACCGTTAACCATCCGTAACCTTGACTCTGACCTTGAGTCCAAACGTCCCATCCATCTCGGGCCCTTTGCGTTTATGCTTGCCGTGGCCTTATTTCTAACTGTATTATTAAAGTTAATGTTCGAGGTGAAAGCAGAGACGACGTCCTCCAGAAAAGATAATTGGGTCAAAGTCGTAGGTCAAGGTCATCTTACAGAAAACTAAACTCGGACTTTTCAAAGTCAGTTTTGGGACATTTGACCTTGACTTAAGACCTTGACCTCGTAACCATTTTCGAAGGCTATCACCTTGGCTTGAACCATCGACGTTTACTTTGGTCCTGTCGCACACTGTTCGGTCAGAAAAGGGTCAAACGCAAAGGGCCCGTGTCCGAAAGGAAGTCAATGGGCGTGGTCAATGTGAAAGGTCGTGGTGACCTCCACTAGTCACCTTTAATCATCCGTGACCTTGACTTTGACCTTGAGTCCAAACTTCCCATCCATCTCGGGCCCTTTTCGTTTATGCTTGTCGTGACCCTATTTCTTACTGTATTATCAAAGTTAATGCTTGAGGTGAAAGCAGAGACAACGTCCTTCAGAAAAGTTAAAAAGGTCAAAGTCGTAGGTCAAGGTCATGTTACAGAAAACTAAACTCAAACTTTTCAAAGTCAGTTTTGGGACATTTGACCTTGACTTACAACCTTGACCCCGTAACCATTTTCGAAGGCTATCAACTTGGCTTGAATCATGGGCGTTTATCTTGGTCCTGTCGCACACTGCTCGGTCAGAAAACGGTCAAACGCAGAGGGACCCGTGCCCGAAAGGAAGTCAATGGGCGTGGTCAATGTGAAAGTTCGTGGTGACCTCCACTAGTCACCTTTAACCATCCGTGTCCTCGACTTCGACCTTGAGTCCAAACTTCCCATCCATCTCGGGCCCTTTTCGTTTATGCTTCCCGTGACCCTATTTCTTACTGTATTATCAAAGTTAATGCTTGAGGTGAAAGCAGAGACAACGTCCTTCAGAAAAGATAAATGGGTCAAAGTCGTAGGTCAAGGTCATGTTACAGAAAACTGAACTCAAACTTTTCAAAGTCAGTTTAGTTTTCTGTAACATGACCTTGACCTACGACTTTGACCCAATTATCTTTTCTGAATGACGCCGCCAGTGCTTTCACCTCGAACATTAACTTTGATAATACAGTAAGAAATAAGGTCACGGCACGCATAAACGCAAAGGGCCCGAGATGGATGGGAAGTTCGGACACTAGGTCAGGGTCAAGGTCACGGATGGTCAACGGTGACTAGTGGAGGTCACCACGACCTTTCACATTGACCACGCCCATTGACTTCCTTTCGGACACGGGCCCCTCTCCGTTTGACCCTTTTCTGACCGAGCAGTGTGTGACAGAACCAAGGTAAACGTCCATGATTCAAGCCAAGGTGATAGCCCTCGAAAACGGTAACGGGGTTAAGGTCGTAAGTCAAGGTCAAATGTCCAAAAAATGACTTTGAAAAGTTTGAGTTTAGTTTTCTGTAACATGACCTTGACTTACGACTTTGACCCAATTATCTTTTCTGAAGGACGTCGTCTCTGCTTTCACCTCGAACATTAACTTAGAAAATACAGTAAGAAATAAGGCCACGGCAATCATAAACGCAAAGGCCCTGATATGGATGGGAAGTTAAGACTCAAGGTCAAAATCAAGGTCACGGCAATATTCACACCTAAAGGCCAATCCACTGATCAACACCAAATAGTATTTTATAGAACATGGTGGCTTCGCGCAAAAATTAAAGTATACGAAAATTATATTAATTTTTATGAACTGCAGAGATAGGCAGCTAGTGCAGTGTGTCGGTTTCCGTCTTAGTGTCTTGTTATTCGAGTCTAAATAGTAAACAAAGCAAATGGCTTCAAACAGATGAAGTTCTCTCTCGTTAGAAATTAAAAGGTCGGTAGAATAAAAAAGTTATTGATCGATTCGGCTGAAATTTGGTGTGTGGTCATTGCTAGTCCCCCTTAACATCCTCTGAAAATTTCAAGTTCCTACGACCACGGGAACTGGTAGAGGTACGAAAGTGCAATAGCGTATTAGCTAGACCTATAGCCATAGGCCTATATTTATTTCGATATTTATGTAGATCTGTAATTTAACCCAAACTCCTTGTTATGGGTGCCAGTTAACTCCTCCACAAACAAACTTATTTCCAGAAGAAAAAAAAACTGTTTCATTGCAAAAATGGCCCCCTCCATCGGTCAGGGGCTAAGTGAGAGGGACGCAATGATGAGCTTTGCATCATTGTTTTGCCCCCTCGCAAATGGCAAAATATCACGCTGTTTCAATTTAGTTTTCTGACCAGTTGTTTTGGGAAGTCACGTCAGAGGTCATACGAGCGGCTTAATTTCGACCTAACTTTCCATTTATTAGTAGTAACATACCAATATCACCAGCTTATGGAGTGTTTGTGTCTCAACTAATTCGTTACGCGAGAGCTTGTTCATTTTATTCTGATTTTTTAAAGTTACAATTTCATATTTTCTAAGAAAGTCAAAACATAATTATTTCTGTCTTTTGCTCAATAGGTTGTCAACTTACTAGTATACGATCATAGGTTTAATTCTCACACTTAAAACTCATTTACGCCGGAAATAATAACACAATTACCTCCCTTGTTTTCTATTCTCCACCATGGAGTAGCTATCTTCAAACGTTTGAATTTGAAGATGAAAATGATATTTTTGACAATTTCTCAACTGGCAATAGTGAATTATAGGAATAAAATTATTATTTTTTAACAAGGTAGGACTGTTTATAGATACCATCTATTTTAGGGCTTTATTTTAATACATTTTAAAAATATAACTTAAAAATATGAAATTGTAACTTTAAGTAGATCGAGGCATTTGTCATCTAAGCTTCAACTACGGGGGAACTTGCGAACTAAACTTATTAAAACCTTTAAAAAGTTTTATGGCCGTCATATTGACTTGATTGGTAAATATAACATGTCTCTCTCTGCTATTATTCTAGATATATTTAATTGACGCGTATACTATCTCCCTGATAATGTCTGTCTACTACATCGTTAACACTGTTCATCACGTGCATTTTGCATACCGATAGTTCATTGGTCAATCACGCTATTTTACCGAGATTTCGCCTAATAGTTTGGATGCAGCTATGGCGGGTGTGGCGCCAGGCAGGGTAAGCTTACTCTTCCGGACACCTGTTACCACTGTTTGTCGTGTATTTTGTACACGGTGAACAGTCCATATGCTGATTACACTATTTTGCCTTATTACACTATTTTGCCTATACCGTTTTTTTTAGGACTTCAAATTTTGTCTAATGGTTTGGATTGTTCGTACTTGGTTTTATTTTATCAGACATTTGCAAGCCTGGAAATAACGGTTTTAGATGTGCCTGACAAAATGTCAGGCATTAATGAAATAGAACCCGATATTTTCAACTTAGTGCTGGACATGTATTAATAATATCAATAAAAAAGACAAATCAGTGCCTGACAAAGCCTGCATCAGTGCCTGACATTGTCTGTGACAGGTGCCTTATTTCCAGGCTTGGACATTTGATTGACCAATCAGCATTTATGTTTATTGTGGATTACCCACAGTTCCGTGCACCTCACGCCAAAAGCTCGCTGTAACAGACCGTTTCATTGGCTAATCCCTCCCATCATCCAGAACACGTCAATGATAACAACTCTTTCAGATTCTAGTGTAGTAAAGACAAGTAAAACGAAATTTTGAACTATAAAAAACGAAACTAGTGATGTTTCAATATATTACTTAATGTCTTGCTCTCGACCATTAAACCACACTTATTATATTTATTTGTTTGGTTAATTTGGTAAAACGTATTATGTAGCATAATAAGAAACCAATTCTTTGTGTACATTGTAGGGAAGGAGATGTTCTGGTCAGTTATGTACAGATTTCGATAATTCATGATTATGGTGATAATGATTACATGACATGAAACAGGGTTTAACATCCTACTTCTATGCATTGTGATGTGATGCAGGACGGAGGGCCTGACAAGGACAGCTGTCTAGTCGTTCGGATGGGACGAAAAACCAAGGTCCCGTGTACACATTGGCGTGCACGTAAAAGATCACTTGGCAGTTGGAATTCGATATAAGAGTAGGCCGTAGCGCCGCTGCCCGGGCAAAATTTCCCTCATAGCACACTGTATGCCCGTCTTCATTAGCCCAGGTTAGGAGCAGAACAGTAGGACGTTAAACCCAATTTCATTTCATTTCATTTCATTATGCACTGTGATGATGATGATGATGATGATGATGATGATTGGCCTGCTATATAAAAACAGGATATAACACAAAAAATAAATTCTATATAATAAATACAATATATTTTTATTTTAGCAAAGAGTGAAAAAGACAGAATTTACATAAAATAATAATTATTTGACATAAAACATAATATTTTGCCCTCCTTTTTTTCTCTGTCAACTCAGACAGACAGACATGAAAAGAGTAAATAGAATATATCTACCAATCAGAACTGCTAAAACATATTAGCCATGTTTGATCGTTCACGACTTTATCCACACCACATCTGTGCTTTCAGGAGTCACAGAACTAAAATAAAGGATATACACAGGTCACAATTCTATGGAATACAATTACTGCTTATTACTGAGCGACCATGTCTAACTAGGCTTCTCTAGTCTTGATCAAGCCTAGTTGCAAAGTAGCTCAGTAATGCGAGGTTCCCAATGTCGTGTTATGCGTTGTGAGTGTCCCTATTGAGTCCACGCTCTGGTACGTGCAGATGCGTTTCGATACGATCAACACGATTGCTACAACTGACATCAATATATGATAAGACCTGATAAGATCACCACGATTACTCCACAGACAGATGTCACTATTGACACTACAGATACCCGTCTTTTAGTACAGGTGTGAACAAGTGATTTTGATTGGACAAGAGAGGAAACTAATCCAGGTACACACTAGTTTATGAAAGCTCTATATTTCCCACCATTTGCTTTCAAAATCCCAAAACTTTTGTGGGGTTGAAAAGACCTTCTAACAATATAATTACAAAGTTTCCACTCCCTTCATTCTACTTTCCTTACAATATCAAGGCTGGATTTCATATTTAAATCTTCACACATTTACATTCAAGCCTGAAAATAAGCACCTGTCATAGACATTGTCCGATAAAACTTTAAACTTTGTCAGGCAAAAATGTCAAAATATCCGGTACTGATGGCTTGTTATCTTTTGTAATATTCTTATATCAAACTCCACTTTAACAGGAAAAGAACTTAAAGATACATTATGTAAGATTTAGATAAAGAGCTGGCCATTCTTGCTATAATAGCTCAAAAATAGTTAATGTAAAATGAAAATATTGAAAATTTCATTCAAATCACTCTATTCTGAGCCAAGTTATCACTGTTGGTAGTTTTGACAAGATATGTGCATTGTGGTAACCAGGGCACTGGTATATTCAAGACTTAGCCTTGCTTTCCCATTTTTAAATTAAATTTTTAAATGGCGAACTGTTCTAATCTAGTTAAAATGTTGAGTATTCGATGGCATTGAGAGTTAATTATGGTCTTGTTTTGTTAATTAATGTCTAATTAGTAATTTAGATAACATTTAAGGCCTAAAGAAAGACCTGCAATAGGCAGATTTAGCTCTTGCATAATGTATGTTTAACTTATATTTACCAAGATATGATTATTTTTCCTGAAAAATGAAATTAAAACGGGACTTTAGTTGTTTAATGCTTTTGAGCACACTTTGTGGAAATGGAGCACAAATTCTTATTAAAGATGCATTATGTAAGATTTATGTAAAAAATTTTGGGCATTATTGCTATAATAGTTCAAAAATAGATGATGAAAATTGATTACACATGTATATTGAAAATGCCAAAAAATAGACCTGCAACAGGCAGATTTAGTTCTTACATAACGTATATTTAACAAAATCACTGTCTAATTACTAATTTAGAAAACGTTTCAGGCCTAAATAAAGACCTTTAATAGGCAGATTTAGGTCTTACATAATGCATCTTTAATAGTACTAGTTTATTAATTAAGTATCTAATATTTTGTCATGAACAACTCGATTCATTATTTCCAGGCTTGATTACATCACATAATACTACAAAGTGTTTACAGTACAACCAACATACAATAGCCTATTGTACAACATGTACATATTTTTTTAGAGTTAATTTAACTAAATTATCATTACCATGTCACTGTGCAATTTTGATCAAATTAAGACAATTAAAGGGACAATAACACTCTTGCTGGCTTGACAGCTCCAGAAAATAAAAAATAGCCTTATTCTAAGTACTAGATGGGTTAGTGTCCTACCTGTTGTGTAAATTATCCATTAAATCCTATTTTACTTGTCCAGAGGGGTCAAAAATATTTTTAAATCCAAGTCACATTTGAAAAGCTTTACGTCAGGCTTTTCAAATCATTTAGTTGAATTTTTCCAATTTTTTAAATTAGGTGTGTTAAGATGAAATTTTTATCATCAATTAATTGGAATATTGTAAAATAGTACAATTTGTTGACCAGAATAAAGATTGTGACATATTATTCAGTTACAACAAGAGTGGTATTGAGCCTTTAAATCACCTGTTAACATTCAATAGCTTGCAATTCAAAATTATATGTATTCAATTTTGAAACAATTAAAACAAGTAAAGACTATGGCCATTTCAACATTCAATAGCCTATTACATTTGATGTAAAAGTTACAAATTTATAAGCAAAGAGCCAAGTAGCCCCAAATCTATGTCAATAGACAAACAGTGATAGTGAAATAAGTGGTGAAAATATTGTAGTACTACATTTTGACCTTTAAAATTGTGAAAATGAACTTTTTCAGAGACAAGATTTTAAGATTCAAGTAAATAAAAATATATAAAGGATTACACAGAGTATTAAGCACATATAATAAATATGTTATAAAATATTAATATATAATATCACACAGTTAAAGTAGCTAAGTCTTTAACTCAATATCATCCAAAGTCTTCGACATTGAAAACACGAATTATTTGTCTATTTAAATCAACATTGATAATCTGATCTTACTGGGAAAAGATGGGCTTCTGATATTTAAGACAAAATAAAAATTTTACCATTGGTAAAATGATTCGTGTACCAGAATGCGTTTCAGCACCATTTGTAATAAGGGACTTGAAGAACGAGGCTAGACATATTCCACAAGTCATGTCAAACGGTGAAGCCATATTCTTATCTGTAGAGCATGCGCAATAAATACTACCTGTGTAGACTGAAATAACCAGACACTAGAGATTGCCATTAGATTGAGACTGCTAGCGTATTTTGTCGAACATAACTGATTTGAAATTAAGAGTAAAAACAGAAACAATTGAATGTAAATCAGTTTATATACATTTATATTACATATTATATGGGTTGCAACCCATTTGTGTCAATTTCTAGACCTCAAATATTAGCGATTTAGCTTCTTTAAGTATAGTATTATGAATTATTAATATATAATATCACATATAAATAATTCTATCAATCTCTGAGAAATTGGTGGATATGTTTTCAAATGATTAAAAACATGAAAAGCCATTCGATCGGTGGAAATTGTTTTCAATTATAAACAAGAAAAGCCCTTCAATTTAAGATAAATATTGGGGCTGTTCCATTTCAAAACACCTGGTAGGATCGGGTCTTCAAAATTTGGAATAACTGAGTGGAGAGGGGTCTTGAAAAGGGTCCTGCATATTTTGCCTTAAACTTCTGTTAGTAGAAGTGTTGATCAATCTGATTATAACACAGATCCTATTTCGTTTCGTTTTTTATAGTTCAAAATTTCGTTTTACTTGTCTTTACTACACTAGGAACTGGAAAAGTTGTTATATAACCCGCATTCTGGATGGTGTGACAGATTAACAAATGAAACAGTCTGACATCATAGGGTCAAAAGCCACTCATATGACCTCTGATGCAACCTTCCACTACAACCAGTCAGATTTTCATGTTGTATAGGCCATCGAAAGTATAAAAAAACGAAACGTAACATAGATATGTATTATAAGCAGATTGAAGTGTTGATACATACAAATGTATATACAAATTAATGGTTGGGATCTTTCCAAAAAGCATTTTCCCACCTCCTGAGGTATAGTATTTTTAAATAGAATTGCCCTCCTTAGATTAAAGCATTATAAAAATAAAATTTGGTTGTAGCTTGTATTAACAATTCATGTCTCTGAGAGCAGTTTCTACCCGTAATTTAGCTACACCTAACCCATCTTTCCACTTCTGTGGTATATTGGCTCCGTATGTGACACTGGCGGCTCCTAATAATGCACCAAGCGCTCCACCTCTGTGACAATTTTCTCCTAAAAAGATAACACACGAAACAATAAAAATTGATTTTACAAAGTGCGTCATTTACATTTTTAGGAAAATATCATCATTACTAAAGTCAGTACGATAAAAAACATAGTCTTGATTATCCATTTATTAAATTTAATCATGAATGAGCGTTGAGCAGCAGATCGGATTATAATCCAGTAATTATCGCAGGCTAGCGATATTGACATCGAGAGTTGATTATGGTCTGGATAAGTTAATTAATGTCTAATTAATAATTTAAATAACATTTCAGGTCTAATGAAAGACCTGCAATTGGCAGATTTAGCTCTAGTATAATGTATGTTTAACAAAATAAAAATACAAAAACAAAACCTCCCTCTCGCATCCGATTTTTAAGAAGGATTGTCGGAGAAACAGAATATGTTTTGGTTTCAGCTTATTATTCTATATATTGAAACATGGCAATAATTTCAGAAAAGTTTACCTCCACAGTTAGCATTAGCCAAAACCCCTCCTTCGAAATCATTACTAAATTCATAGGCTAAAAATAGCATCGATGTCATAGCACCTTCTATATAACAAGCCATACCAAGATCCGACAGTGCATTTTGATATGCTCGTAGTCTCTTTTCGGAGCCTTTAGGGTGCCTGAAATAAGTATTACAAATACAAAATGTTTAGTTTTATACAAAGTTTTTATACGCCCACATTTTCATGTGGACGTATTATGCCGTCACCCCTGTCCGTACGGACGTCTGGACGTCCGTCCGTCCGTCCACAATTGTTTGTGGACACTCTACAGGTCACAATTCTTATCCGATTTTGACGAAACTTGAAATATAGGTTTATCTCCAAAAGATCTCGGCTGCTTTCGATATTGGCATGTATCGGATCGAAACTTCATGGATTATGGCCCCTGTTTGTACGAAAAATCACGTTTTTAGCTTGTGGACAATATAGAGGTCACAAGTTTTATCCGATTTTGTTGAAACTTGAAATGTAAGTTGATAACCCAATGATCTCGGTTCCTTTCGATATTCGCGCATATCGGACCGTAACTTCCTGAATTATGGCCCCTGATTGTACAAAAAATCACGTTTTTAACTTGTGAACCCTATAGAGGTCATAATTTTTATCCGATTTAAAAAACTGTATTATTATATCACCGTTACACTCTAAGGATGGCTGAGTTCGAATTTCGTGAAAATCGGCCTAAAATTGACAGACAAAATGGCCGCCGTTCGTTCTCAAATAGCGTAAAAATATGGTATATTAAGGTTGTGGACCCTATAGAGGTCACAATTTTTATCCGATTTTGTTGAAACTTGAAATATAAGTTTATAACCCAAAGATCTCGGTTCCTTTCGATATTCGCACATATTGGACCGTAACTTCCTGAATTATGGCCCCTGATTGTACGAAAAATCACGTTTTTAGCTTGTGGACCCTATAGAGGTAATAATTTTTATCCGATTTAAAAAAACTTATAATTATATCACTGTTACACCCTAAGGACGGCTAAATTCGAATTTCGTGAAAATTGGTCCAAAACTGACAGACAAAATGGCCGCCGTTCGTTCTGGAATAGCATAAGAATATGTTATATCAAGGTTGTGGACCCTATAGAGGTCACAATTTTTATTCGATTTTGTTGAAACTTGAAATGTAAGTTTATAACCCAAAGATCTTGGTTCCTTTCGATATTCGCACATATCGGACCGTAACTTCCTGAATTATGGCCCCTGATTATACGAAAATTCACGTTTTTAGCTTGTGGACCCTATAGAGGTCATAATTTTTATCCAATTTAAAAAAACGTATTATTATATCACCGTTACACCCTAAGGACGAATGAGTTCGAATTTCATGAAAATCGGCCCAAAATTGACAGACAAAATGGCCGCCGTTCGTTCTCAAATAGCATAAAAATATGGTATATCAAGTTTGTGGACCCTATAGAGGTCACAATTTTTATCCGATTTTGTTGAAACTTGAAATGTAAGTTTATAACCCAAAGATCTCGCTTCTTTCGATATTCGCCCATATCGGACCGTAACTTCCGGAATTATGGCCCCTGATTGTACGAAAAATCGTGTTTTTAGCTTGTGGACCCATTGGAGGTCATAATTTTTATCCGATTTAAAAAAACGTATTATTATATTACCGTTCCACCCTAAGGACAGTTGAGTTCAAATTTTGTAAAATCGCCCCAAAATTGACAGACAAAATGGCCGCCGTTCGTTCTCAATTACCGTAAAAATATGGTATATCAAGGTTGTGGACCCTATAGAGGTCACAATTTTTACCCGATTTTGTTGAAACTTGAAATGTAAGTTTATAATCCAAAGATCTTGGTTCCTTTCGATATTCGTGCATATCGGACCGTTACTTCCTGAATTATGGCCCCTGATTGTACGAAAAATCGCTTTCTTTTTAGCTTGTTCTCTATCCATCTCTCGAAAATGTGGGCTGGTTATAATTAAAATTTCTCTATAAACAGCTATTAACATTCTGTGCCCTTGATTACCAAATTTGATATTAAATTTGTATCCATGGAAACACAAAATTAATAAATCAGAGAATTTTTGATTTGCACTGGAAATAAAACTGGGACGGACGGAGACCATTTCAGTAACCCTCCCTAACTTCATTGGTGAGGAATAATAACCTGAACAAGATCCAGGAAGCTTTCAGGAGGTGGACACATTAGCCGAATTAAGCGGCGATGAATTCATCCTGCCGAATGACTGTACAGTGTACACACTAGACGAACCCTTCGCCCGATTCACCAGTCGACTGCAGCACCTATCATGTTGCATGATTAACCTTTAAACAATCACGTGACTTCGCGATATGAGTGGTGATTGGCTAATGAATTCTACAATCGGGCGAATGCTTCGGTGAAGCAAGCACACTAGGCAAATATATCAAACATGTTTGATTCAGACGAATCATTTGACCGAATAAAAATTTGGCCGGTGACAGTGGACACACTAGGCGAATTTTGGCGCTGATTGATTTGGCCGAACGACTCGGCTGAATCATTCGGCTAGTGTGTCCACCTCTTTAAATAATTTATAGGAGCAACATCTCCCCTCAGCAAGGGTTCTTTAAGTTTCCAGCATATTTTTCATCAAGATTGACTAAGTTTTTAAACTTCCCAAAGCTAAAAGGACACAATTTAACAGAAATTCATAAAATTTGCTGTTGAAAGCGTTGTTTAAAGGACTATGAATACATGATTTAAATTTATGTTTAGCTGTTTTCATTTTTTACTAATAAAACCTACCTTTCTGCTTCATCAATTAATGATAAAAGTTCCTCTCTTGTTTGTGGCCCACCTAAAGCTGAATGACCGGACACCTCCAAAACCCCCGCTCGTAAATCTTTACCGTTTAGCACACCATGTAACAAACGTGCGTAGAGATCGACAAATGGATAGAGAGAAGGTGTAGGATGAGTCAACTTGATTAATTCAACAGCAGAATTGGCACATTCTGTTTCCGAACGATGAGCAGTTCTTATAATCCAGGGAATAGTGGGAACTAAACCACCAATAGCCAGAAGTTGAGAATCTTCTGATTTGTTCTGATAGTTATTCAACCTTAAATAAATATCAAACATACTGCATTTTTGTTGACAACTAGTTCATTAATCTTTTGATAACCAGGCCCCCCCCCCCCCCCCCCGAGTTCACAAGGCATTCTCAGACTTAAAGATACATTATGGGAGATTCGATAACAAGTTGGCAGTTCTCACTATAATTGTTAAAAACTAGATAATGTAAAGGAAATTTGCTGAAAATTTTGTTCAAATTGCAGTTATGCAGCAAATCGGCTCACAATCCACTAAAGATCGCAGGCTAGTGATGCCATCTAGAGTTTATTATGGTCTGGATAGGTTAATTAATGTCTAATTAATAATTAAGAAAGACCTGCAATAGGCAGATTTAGCTCTTGCATAATGCATGTTTAAGTAAAGAATTTATTCAAAATTGTTCACCTTATTTTAACTAGAATATAGTCTTTATAAAACTTTTGTTGTTTTAATGTTTCATATACATCAATTAGAAACTATGTGCAAAGTTTGGTGTTTCTGGATCAAGGATATTTCTCATAAAGAAAGGTTGAAAGTAGAGTATATTCTTAAGTCTGAAAAATGCTTTATGAATTAGGGCCTGATCATCACACATGCAATGTTATTATTTAGGAAATTCAGATAGCTAACACTTCTTGTTGCACTTGACAATATCTTCAAATCTTTCAGCAACTGAGCTTGCAGCTTCCTCGGTCATTAGACAAGTCTCTGAAGACTAAAGGGGGATAACTCTAGATTCATAAAAATCCCTTGAAGACTAAAGGGAGATAATTAAGTAATTAAAGATATCACTCGGCAAATCTCGACAGATTCTGTTACCCTACATCTAATCTCGGCTGTATGACAGTAAGTGATATGTACCTACGCCCATACATTTGCGATGCGGCTGCCGGTTTACTTTAAACAGGAAAAAGTGTCGCTTTTACAAAAAAGTCCCAAATTGCGTCTTTTGTAGAGTGTATATACCTAAATGAGCAGAGATATTGTCTCAAGGCTGCTGGTTTGATAAAATTCCCTGGTAATTCCCCAAACCCAATGCCAAACGTGACGTTTGTTGATATAATACACTCTCCACAGAAATCTCCATGGGGGCAGCCATTTTTCATTCGGACCCTTTAAAATAGTTCAAATATGGCGGAAATGGTCATACAGCCGAGATTAGATGCATAGAATCTGTCGAGGTTTGCCGAATGTAAAGATATCTCTAAGTAAGATAAAAAGCTGTGTATAATTATAACCTTTTAAACTTCTAACAGTGAATCAATCTCAAAACAGCAGTAATTATGTTACCTTACAATAAATTCCAGCCCTTTGCTTGTTATTTGATTTCAAAACATTTTGTACCTGGTTTCAGCAAATTTGACTATGTCAGCTCCTAATTTTGGTGGTTTTGACTCAGTCACCCAGTCCTTGAAGAAAGAGCGATGGAAGGATTCACAGTAGGTGTCCTGGTGTGATCCTGGTGTAGTCATAAATTTGACATAGTCTTCTATCACAGCTTCTCGTACCAGGCTATCTGGTTTGACAGCCTGCTTATCAACACGTATGATGGTTTGTAACATCCGTAGAGCCATTAGTGTATTTAGTGTATTATCACCAGCACTCATACCTAACAAATATATCAAACTAAGAATAAATTTAAATTTTGGTAAAAGATAGAGGGAGAAATGGGGTTGAAAGTTATTTCGGTACAAATATATGACACAATTTTATTTGAATAAATGGCTTGCGCAAAGGGGTCTTTAGCAGTGTGAGAAAAACAGAGGACATGAAGAAATCACACAAGGTTAGGCAGGCAACCCTACTACTTGTTACATGGGATCGAAACCACGTCACTTGACTCAATGACAAGAAAGAGAGAGAGAGAAATGGGGTTTAACGTCCACTCGACACAAACTAAGTCATTTTGGGACTAACCTATGGTTTAATTTTATTTCAATAATTCGCTTGCGCATAGGGGTCTTTCGCAGTGGGAGGAAACCGGAGGACGCGGAGAAAACCCATGAGGTTGGACAGGCGACACTACTCCTTGTCACGTACAACCGGGGATTCGAAACCACGCCAGTCGACTCAATGACAGGCTTTATGATACAGCGCGCGCACGCTAACCATTCAGCCATCCAACCCCCCGACTCAATGACAAACCTTATAATCTAAAGTCCGCACCTTAGATCATTCCGCTACCCAAAATCCCAAATACTAAGAATAAATTTTAGAATTTGTTACATGAACTAGGATTACATTTGAATATCTTACCTTGATGATAATGTATGTTTCTATCTCTACTAGTCCAATATGGTAGTTTATCGTGTAGTATAACATTACCTATAACTTGTTGTGATTTCTGACCATATGCTCGGCCACTACCACCTTTGAAAACAGAAAACATCATTTCTTAATTAATGGTGTTATAGAGAAAAAGTTTGCAGAATACCGACTACATGTATATTAAAAATTCATCATGATAAATTTCAAACCTTCTGGATTGTCCATGACCGTATCCAAGCTGGATATAGTTAGAATACAAGTCTGATTTATATTTTACTTTACATCTGACAACCTTTATTATTTGTGTCCTGCTCTTACTTGTGTACAGTAAACAGCCAATAAGAATGCTGCTTTTCCAGTCACACCAAGATATCGTCCAATGAACTATTTATAAACTCAATAAAGTATTGTGCATAACACAGCCATACAACACAAAAAAAATGAAATGAAATGGGATTTAATGTCCTACTGTTCTGCTCTGACTGGGCTAATGTGAAGACAGGCCTACGCAATACAGGGTGCCATGAGGGAAATTTTGCCCGGACAGTGGCACTACGGCCTACTCTTCTATTGAATTCCAACTGTCAAGGGATCTTTTACATTGCATGCCAATGTGTACATGGGACCTCGATTTTCTGTCCCATCCGAACGACTATAAGCTGTCCTTGTCAGGTCCTCCATCCTGCATCACTGACAAGGGGGAACCACGCCCATATAACACTGGATAGATATTATGTAGTGTAGAAAATCAGAATAAAAAAGACGAGAAGAAACGAAACAAAGATATAATTTTGTTTATATTGTTTTGCATTATTTCCAGGTCTGATAAGCATTAAACATACATTATGCAAGAGCTAAATCTGCCTATTGCAGGCCTTTCTTTAGGCCTGAAATGTTATCTAAATTATTAATTAGACATTATTTAACCTATCCAGACCATAATCAACTCTCGATGTTTATTGGATTAGGTTCCAATTTCCTGTTCAACTTCCATTCATAATTTAATCATGAAATGGATAATCGAGACTATGTTTTTTATCATACTGACTTTAGTAATGATGATCGAGGCTAGGCCGAAAATTCAATCGCTAAAATCTTGGTTCAGAGTGGATCAATTCGACTGAAATTTTTCAGCAAATTCCCTTTACATTATCTAGTTGTAGTACCGGATATTTAAAAAAAAGAAGATAAATCTGAGCAGAACAAAATGGCAGACACGGGTGAGATTGTCCCTGAAAAAGTCTTATATTTGTGCATGACAATGTCTATGATAAGTGGCTTATTTCCAGGTTGGATGCCCATGTGGCATGTACGTACCATAATTAGATATAGTTAGAATACTGGTAGGATGTTTTTTATTTGGTGGGCGATATCCAGTCAACCAACCTCCATAACCCCATTTGATATCTTCAGCATTATAATACCAGTGTACAGGCATAGCTAGAGCATCAGCGATATGCATTCCCCATATTGCCTCTTCTTTCGCTTTCTTCAGTCGATCTGATATAGGAGGAGGTTTCTCCATACTCCCTTCTCTAAATTTATGAAAAATAAAAAATACAATAGTTAAAAAAATAGAAATAGAGTTCTAATGTTCTAATAGAAATCTCCTACGGACAAGCCTAGGAATAAATCACCTGTTACAGGTACAAATTCAGGTTTTGTCAGGTACAACCCCTCTGCTGCCTGTCATTTAGTCTACAACAGATTTGTCTTTTTTCTACATAAAGATGTTGGACTACTGTTCAGTGGGAATTATTCTCTTTACTCTATCTCTGCCTGCATCAGTTTTTGATTCAGCTTTGGGTTGTCCGGGTGCTGCCATTCTTTTACGGGAGTGTTGCCAGTTCCTCCATATCCAAAATAAGACACCATTTAAGACTTTAGACAATCTGTGTTGAACCCTGAACCCCCGAAAAATTAAGTATAAAAAGAGAAAAAGGAAAAAATTATACTTACATGTTACTGATATGGGTGTTAGTTCTGGTGGACGTTGTGTGGTATGTATGATAAATAGAAGAGCTGAAACATTTAGTGGGTGTGTCACAATTTGGAACAGCCTTCAATAACAAAACACCTATCAGTTTGATCAATTTCATTAAGCTGTATGTATCAGCACTAATTAACTACGACATCTGAAATTAAACAATTTGAAACATGTCTAAACTATATAACAATTAATTATTAACAATCAAATTTTTAATATCATACATGTATTCAGTCATAAAGGGACATATTGAACTATTTTGTAAATATAGGCCTACATGTAGGCCCCTACTAATCATCCAAAGTCATCTACATTGAAAACACAAATTATTTGTCAATTTGAATCAACATTGATGTTGTGATCTTACCGGGAAAAGATGGGCTTCTGATATTCAATATTTAAGACAAATAAACATTTTACCATTGGTACATGAATTGTGTATCATAATGTATGATATTTGTAACAAGGGACTTGAAGAACATGGCTAGACATATTCCACAAGTCATGTCAAACGGTGCTGCCATTTTCTTATCTGGAGAGCATGCACAATAAATACTATCAGTGTAGATTGGAAAAACCAGACGCTAGAGATTGTCATTTGATTGAGGCTTCTGGCGTATTTCGCCGAACATAACTGATTTGAAATTTGGAGTAAAAAAGGAAACATTTATGTAAATCAGTTTACATACATTCATATTACATAATTGTATGCGTTGCGACCCATTTGTGTCAATTTCTAGGTCCCATATATTAGTGATTTAGCTCCTTTAATAACTGTTTTATCAATTAAGGACCAATTTCTCTAGTTCACATCATAATATTATTCAGTTAAAAAACGCTTGAAATTTTGAAAAGGGAATCAAACAGAATCCGTCCATCACTCAGCAGCGAATATGAATTAGTTTTTTTTACTGACAGCTGTCATGAACAATTTATATGGACGTCTACATTCCAAAATCATTCATCTGTATCTTTGAGTTTTGTGCACAGCTACTACATATAGCTTGCAATATACAAGCTCTATGTGTATAAGCAATAGGCTATGTATAAAATAACACTTGATTTCCATTGTATTGTACTAATTAAAACATCATCATGCAAATCCCCTTTACTTACAATTAAATTATTAAAACTGCATAATTACTTTTCATTCATTGTAAAAAGTGCTGATAATGTACACTTTAGCTTTCCCTAAGTCACTCACCTGACTGAAGGCTGCAGCATCGCAAATCTTTCTGGATACCCCGTATATAAGTAACGTGGTTTATGTAAGCGAAAAGTGGCATTTTATGTAACACCAGTCCTACTTTCGTTTTAACTATTTATAAACCGTCGTACTTGTTTAGGTAGTGTGTAAAATCTGATAATTGTAAATGTTTACATTCATCTCATCTATTCCATAATGAATTACCCTGATATCGTTGGGATCGATTGACTTAGATGTATATATCTATTATAATAAGATTAATGGAGAAAAATACCATTATTCTATAGAATATCTACGATAAATTTGAGTTTGGTCGCAGCAGTTACTCAGCGTGTACTTTCCAACATTGTTGTCTGTGCCTATTAAATATTGCTGTAATCTAGTTCGCCCGTAACGGAAATGCCCTTTGACATCACGACCAAGCGAAAAATATAATGCCGGTCAAGACAAAGAACATGATGCAGATCGAAGTAGATTGATTTTAATCAATTAATTGACTTGGATCTAATAAACCTTTATCTCTTGCTTATTAGTATTTAGAATTCTAGTCAATGGCCCGAAAAACTGGCGAGATTAAGACATGATTTATATAATGCAGGCACACTAAAGATTTTTCGAACAAAAATTAAAAGTAGAACTACCAGTACCAGCAATTTGCACCACGATCTATGATTGCACTATGGCAGAAGAGACCAAATTATTGAAGATGGATGACATAAAACTGGATGATATGAAATTAGATGATATCAATTTGAACGATCTAAATTCATTAATTGAAACTGTTTTTGAAGATGTTATCAAATCAGATGTAGTCAAGAAAAAATTTGAAAGTGATTTACAACCATTAAATTTACAATTAAGATCGGTGGAAAAAAAGAAAAAAGAGATAGATAAAATATTTTATGAATGTGAAACAAGCTTGGTAGCATTTAAGAAAGAAATTGAAAATGAAGAAAAGGAAGAAGAAGACCGAAGTAATAAAGCCAAAATAGCTGCCAAAGTTGCAGCTGATGCTCAGCGTAGAGTTGATTTAGTCATAGATGACGATGATGACGACATTAAATTTGTCAGCTCGACGTTTGAACCATCTTCTAATCGCAGATCATCAATGGAAGCCAGTGCACGACATGCTGCAACACAGAATACTTCTATGGTAAAACACTCTAGAAGAGATTCCTTAAAAGAACCGCCACCCAGTGTTGCAAATCTTCGTCAAGCTCTGACACAAGCCATACAGAAGCAAATTCCTCCTGGAGGAGTGCCACCTGCAGGTTTAGGTATGTCAGGTGCCAAACCCAACCAACAGAAGAAAGCATCAAATATGGATGATCCTACCAAATGGCCAGAAATCAAAGAGGGTAAATTGGTTTACGCTAAAAAGTACAACGATATTTGGTATCCTGCTACAGTTTTGGAGTTACAGGGATCAAGAACAGATGCTAATGGCGTGCAGTATCGAGTTCGGTTTCAGAGTCGAGGACATAAAGTGTTGACGGGAAAACATATAGCATATTATGAACCAATACATGTTATTCTGCGTGTTGGAAGTAGAGTTATAGCGTTTTATCGGGATGATGATTCCCCAGGTGGTAATTCATACTACGCTGGTATAGTCGCAGAGGCACCGAGTCTGAAAAATCAGAGAAGGTTCCTGATATTTTTCGATGATGGCTACGCACAATACAGCAAGGCCGACGAAATACACAAGGTTATCGCACAGAGTGCCAACGTTTGGGAAGATGTTTATCCGGAATCACAGGATTTTATTCGTGATTATTTAAAACAGTATCCAGAGAGACCAATGGTTCGACTACAGAAGGGTCAGGGAGTGCAAACAGAATGGAACGGAAAATGGTGGACGGCAAAAGTAATGGAGGTGGATGCTAGTTTAGTGAAGATGTATTTTCAAGCGGACAGAAGGACGGAATGGATCTATCGTGGTTCCACAAGACTCGAACCCCTATTTAAGGCTCTAGCTAATCTGGAAGCTAATAAAAATATGTCGAGCAATAAGGGTCGAAGACTTGATCCTATTAACAGTAGAAAACCGAGAATTGTGTATTCCCATGGAAACGACGATGACAAAAACTCAGATAAAAATCGTTCTGTGGCTAGGAAGAGTACAGGAGGCATTAAGCAGCAGAAGGAGCCTCCAGCTTGGGAAGCGCCATGGTTAAAATTACAACGTAAAACAACTGTCGCGGCTCCATCTCACACCATCCCTTCTACAGCTACTACCAGCTCTACCAATAGAAAAGATATTTATGCAACGAGCAGTATCAGCAATAAGGTACAAACTCAGGATATGGCCAGCGTTCTACAGGAACGTCTAGCTTCGGCTGAATCTATGGATATCGACGAAGAAGCTCGAGGGGAAAGGCTGAGTACAATATTAGACATCAAGGACAAGACACGTAAAAGGCTCATACCTCATAGTTGTTCGTCAGCATGTTTAAAAGATGTTGATGAAGACATATCAAAACATAAAGGCAGAAATCCGCTACTTAAACCGTTATTATGTTCATGGGAGCGACATGTTTGTAAGGTATAGTAATTGTGAGGGATTTTACTTTTTACACACCAACATTAAGATGGGGAGGGTTGTATACATGTATATATTGTCGTGCCTTGCCAGTCTGTTTTGAACAAGTTGTTTTGAACAAGTTGTTGACTCTAATCATACACAGATTCTCATTCATGAGACGAAATGGGGGGGTGGGGGGTGGATGGCCGAATGGTTAGCACGCACGCGCTGTATCATAAGGCCTGTCATTGAGTCAACTGGCGTGGTTTCGAATCCCCGGTTGTACGTGACAAGGAGTAGGGTCGCCTGTCCAACCTCGTGGATTTTCTCCAGGTCCTCCGGTTTCCTCCCACTGCTAAAGACCCCTACACGCAAGCAAATTATTGAAATAAAATTAAAACCATATGTTAGTCCCGAAATGACCTAGTTTGTGTCGAGTGGACGTTAAACCCCATTTCTCTATCTCATGAGACGAAGATCCTATTGATTTTCAAAGATTTCTGATCATTAATTGTTATTCCTTGGACAAATCCTGTCGACATTCTGGAGGCGAAAGTTATCATCCTCTGCAATTGACAAGGAGTAGGGTCGCCTGTCCAACCTCAATGTTTTTCTCCAGGCCCTCCTCCCACAGCTAAAGACCCCTATGTGCAAGCAAATTATTGAAATGAAATTGAACCATATGTTAGTCCCAAAATGGCCTGGTTTGTGTTGAGTGGATGTTAAACCCAATTTCTCTCTCTCCCATTAGCCAGGTTAGCACAGAGAAGCAGGATATTATTATAAGAACCCACATCATATTATGACTCTACATGTACATTATGCTAGGGCAATTCGTCCCCCAAAAATTGGTCCCCTGGGAATGTTCGTACCAGGCTGTATCGACCCCGAACAATTTGTTCCAGAACTATGCAAGGGACGAATTGTCCTCTGGGACAAATTGTCCGGGGACGAATTGACTGGGTACAAATAGTCTCATAGTACAAATTGCCTGGGTACGAATAAGTCCAAGGGGACAAATTGTCTGGGGACCAGTTGTCCGGGGACGAATTGTCTCATACACATTATTTCTTTTTTTAGATTAAACAGAGTGGTAAAAGAGTTGTCCTATATCGTACACCATGTGCCAGACGTTTACGTTCTATTGAAGAAGTCGACAGATATCTACAGATGACTGATTCTCAACTTACCATTGATCTCTTCTGTATGGATCCATTTTTACACACACATACCGAATTCGTCCCTGTTAAGACATTTTGTGACATTAAAGATTTGTCGTATGGTAAAGAGAACGTACCGATATCTTGCGTAAACGGCATTGATAGACAGTATCCTGATTATGTTGAATATTCAACCGTTAGAATTCCAGCAAAAGGCGTGAAACTGAATTTAGCGCCTGAGTTTTTACCAGGATGTGATTGTACAGATGGGTGCCGTGATGCCAGTAAATGTGCCTGTCAGCAGTTATCTGTAGAACATTCCAGTGCTTTAGGAGAAAAAGATGCCCATACTGGTAGCCTTGGTTACACTAATAGACGATTAAATGAACCAATATTTACAGGTATTGTATGGTTTTTATTTTAATTCAATTCAACTATGTGTATTATTTTGCTGCAACACCACAGCCAAAAAGTCAACCAACTTAGCGAGGGCTATTTTATCTCTGGAGCTTATCTCGTAAACCATTCAAGATATCTTTCGGAAAGTTTGTGCAAGCATCAACCTTTTATAGAAGTTTGTGCCATTTGCTGATTAGGAATTTCTTGGATTAAATAAAATTTTGGGGGTTAGATGGCCGAATGGTTAGCGCATGCGCGCTGTATCATAAGGTCTGTAATTGAGTCACCTGTTGGGGTTTATGTGACAAGGAGTAGGGTCGCCTAACCAACCTCTTGGTTTTTCTCTGCGTCCCCCGGTTTCCTCTCAATGCTAAAGACCCCTACACGCAAGCAAATTATTGAATTAAAATTGAACCATATGTTAGTCCCGAAATGACCTAGTTTGTGTCAAATGGATGTTAAACCCCATTTTTCTCTCTCTAAATAAAATTTGTGTTTCCATGGACATGTTTTGCAAAGATGCATTTCTTGTACAACCATAATGAACTAGAGAATCCTAAGTAATTCCATGTCCTGTGGCAGTGCTGGGTATTGCTACTGCTGTCATTATACGATAGGTATTGCGATTCAGGTGCTACGATACGATTCATAACCAGGTCAATAATTACCAAGCAAACAACAGGATAAATGTATCTTGATAAGGATCATAATAACGAGGGGGTCACAGTGGCTAAGTGGGTAAGACGCTGGCTCGATAGCCTGGAGGTTGGGTGTTTGATTCCTGCATTGGCAGAGAAAGTTCATCCAGATTTTCAGGCGTGGTTCCCCCTTGTCAGCGATGCAGGACGGAGAGTCTGACAAGGACAACTGTCTAGTCATTCAGGTGGGACGGAAAACCAAGTTTCCGTGTACGCATTGGCGTGCACGTAAAAGATTCCTTGGGAATTTGAATTCGATATAAGAGTAGGCCATAGTCGCTGCCCGATCAAAATGTCCCTCATATCACACTGTATGGCGTATGCCCGTCTTCATTAGCCCAGTTCAGAGCAGAACAGTAGGACGTTAAACCCCATTTCATTTTATTTCATTTTATATTTACAGGAATTGTCGAGTGTAATGTCAACTGTAAATGTGACAAACGTTGTCATAATCGTGTCGTACAGAATGGTCTAAATCTTCGACTACAGGTCTTTAAAACAGAGAAGCGAGGCTGGGGATTACGGTGCTTAGATGACATACCGAAAGGTGGTTTTATCTGTATATATGCTGGTCAGTTGTTGACAGACACAGGTGCTAACGAGGACGGCAAGCAATATGGCGATGAGTACTTAGCAGAATTGGATTTTATTGAAGTGGTAGAACGCCAGAAAGAGGGCTACGAGAGTGATGTCGATGATCTCGATGATGAAATAGAACAAGATATTGATGAGGAAGAGGAGGAAGAAGAAGAAGAAGAAGATTTTCGTGAACGGCATGCCAATAATTCTGGCTCTGATAGCGAGTTTTCAGCGAAAGTTGACGACAGTCACCGACTCGTGGACAAAGTCCATGCTACAAGAAACAGACGAAAAACTAGCGACAGCCTATCAGGGGAAGGAAAGATTACAAAAATAATCATAAAACGAGATCAGTCTAATAAAGAATGGATATCGCAAAAGAAGACGGCCGATTGGGTGGGTAAAATCGGGGAAGAGGGGGATAAAGATGACACTGATCTCGATGAACTACCAGACATCGCACCAAAGCCATCTGCAACAACGAAACCATCGGCTACTGCAACAAAGAAACCAAAGGAATCTGCCAGAAAAAGTACAGGGATATCGAGATTTGGCAATTTGCCCAATCCAAAGTTACATAAAACAGATCCTGCAGACGACGACGAGAAGAAAAATACTCATCCAGGAACAAGAAGCTTCTTCGAAGACGGTCAAATGTGCTATATCATGGATGCCAAATCTATGGGAAATATCGGACGTTATCTTAATCATAGTTGTGAACCAAATGTTTTTGTTCAAAATATCTTTGTGGACACCCACGATCTTCGATTTCCATGGGTGACATTTTTCGCTGGAACATATATTCGAGCCGGAACAGAACTTACGTGGGATTATAACTATGAAGTTGGAAGCGTACCGGATAAAGTGTTATATTGTTATTGTGGATCTTCTCAGTGTCGAGGACGTCTTCTGTAGTTTAATTTGTTCTATATATGGGTACTCAGGAAAATAAACACATGACATGGCAGTACCAGTGCTTGTTGACAGATCTGACACTTTTTCTGACTATTAAACATGCATTATGCAAGAGCTATTTAAATCTGCCTATTGCGGGTCTTTCTTTAGGACTGAAATGTTATCTAAATTATTAAATTAATTAATTAACTTATCCAGACCAAAATCAACTCTCGATGTCACCGCTAGCCTGCGATAGTTACTGGATTAGGATCCGATTTTCTGTTCAACTTTCATTCATGATTAAATCATGAAATGGATAATCAAGACTATGTTTTTTATCGTACTGACTTTAGTAATGATGATCGAGGCTAGGTCGAAAATTCAATTGCTAAATTTTCGGTTCAGGGTGGATCAATTTGACTGAAATTTTCAGCAAATCCCCTTTACATTATCTAGTTTTTAACTATTATAGTGAGAACTGCCAGCTCTTTATCTAATCTCCCATAATGTATCTTTAAAGATGCATTATGCAAGATTTAGATAAAGAGCTGGTCGTTCTTAATACACATGTAATAGTTTGATATTAGATACTGAAAAATTTGTATATTGAGAATTTCATTCAAATCACTTTATTCTGGGTAAAGTTATGACTGTTTGAAGATGTAGCAAAGATCGTTTATTATCATAGCAATGCTACTTGACAACTGAGGCTAAGTCTCGATTATCCACTTTATTGTGAAATTTTTAAATCTCGTGGGTGTTCAGATCTATTAAAGTTTGGCCATCTAGTGGCCTAGATAGTTGATTATAGACTTGTAATAATACATGTAAATTTTTAAATAATAATCTATAAAATTTGAAGCCAAAAGAAAGACCTGCTATAGGGAGATTTAGGTCTTACATAATTTATCTTTAAGTCCAAATTACATATAGGTATCAATACACATGTATCATGTATTATTTGTCATTTATTTTCCATAACTGAAGAGTAATCATTGAAAATACATGTAATGAACAGTAAATTAATTGAACATCTTTTTTTGATAGATACATGTAATTTAGAACAGTTAGGGTATATCTAGAGTCCCTCCAGATGACAGAAGCCCCTTAAAGGGACAATAACACTCTTGCTGGCTTGAAAGCTCCAGAAAATAAATAATGTCTCTATCTAAGTACTAGATGTTTAAGTGTCCTACCTGTTGTGTAAATTATCCATTACATCCTATTTTACTTGTCCAGAGGGTTCGAAAATATTTTTAAATCGAAGTTTCATTTGAAAAGGTTTACGTTAGACGTTTGAAACCATTATGTTGAATTTTTCAAAATTTTTAAATAAGGTCTGTTAAGATGAAATTTGTATCATCAATTAATTGGAATATTGTAAAATAGTACAATTTGTTGACCAGAATAAAGATTGGGACATATTATTCGTTTACAACAAGAGTGGTATTGAGCCTTTAAGTCCATGCCTATTCCAGCTCTGTATACAATAAAAACATAAAATGTTCAAATAGAAACGTGCATGAATTGAGTCTCTTTTGCATACAAAGGGCTAGAAATTGTATTAATTTTAAGAGAGCTATTTGGAAGAACATGTACTGTAAATGGTGACATGTTGATACATTGTATTAAGTGCCTATACTACTTGTTTACTATAATACTAGAACACTTATTATGGATACAATTACTTGGTTTATTATACTGCAACGTTTCAACAACATTTCACAAGATTTCCTCATCTTACATTAGATATTTGCTTGAAAACGTAGGTATTTGCTTGAAAACGACTTGTAAAATGTTGTTGAAACGTTGCAGTACAATAAACCAAGTAATTGTATCTATAATAAGTGTTCTAGTATTATATCATAAATCAATTGCTAAATGTCTCTCAAGGATTATACTTGTATACTCACTGCCATTTAATCATTTACATTTATTAGTTACATTAGCTATAGCCATGGAAACCCCAAATTTGTATATATATTAAAGGAGCATTATGGGAGATTAGATGACGAGTTGACAATTCTGGCTATAATAGTTTAAAAAAAAAAAATAGATAGAATATGCTGAAAATTTCCGTAAAATTGCTCCGATAGGCTAACCTCATCATCATTACTAAAGCTGGTACAATAAAAAGTCTCGATTATCCATTTTTAGGTTTAATTATTTTTCAAAAATTGTTTTCCAATCTGCTAAATATCGCAGGCTAGCCAGAGTTGATTATGCTCCGGATAAGTTAATTAATGTCTAATTAATAATTTATAAAAAATTTCAGGTCTAAAGAAGGTCTTAGCTCTTGCGTAATGTATGTTTAAATATATTAATGTATGTTGTGTATTCTTCGTATTTGTTATTATCCTGATCCTCTTCATCTACAATTTTTTTTATACATGAAACTCTAACGTATGTCCATATGTCATTGTTGTTCTGTTGTTCAAAACTTAAGAAGAGTTTTTGAGAGAAAAATGAAAAAATAAAGTACAGAAACTTTGTATGTTTAAATGTATTCTTGAATAAATAAATGAAGATAATGTGCATATATGTCTCGGACATGCCCGATTTGAAAACGTTACCTTACATTAGTACCCTATACAGTACCAATGTAACCATTTGTCAAATATTCCCGGGGATCACGTGGGTAAAACGCTGGCTCGCTAGCCTGGTCGGGTGTTCGATCCCTGCATTGGCCGAGAAAGTTCATCCAGATTTTCCAGGGTGGTTCCCCCTTGTCAGTGATGCAGGACGGAGGGCCTGGCAAGGACAGCTGTCTAGTCCTTCGGATGATACGAAAAACCGAGGTCCTGTGTATACATTGGAATGCACGTAAAAGATCCCTTGGCAGTTGGATTTCGATATAAGAGTAGGTAATTTCGGGACTAATAATAACATATGTTTCAATTTTATTTCAATAATTCGCTTGCACTTGGGGGTCTTTTAGCAGTGGGAGCGAACTGGAGGACCCGGAGAAAACCAACGAGGTTTGACAGGCGACCGTAGTCCTTGTCACATACAGTACAAGTGGGGAATGGAAACCACACGACTTGACTCAATGACAGATCTTCCGGCATACAGACTGTCTGATTTGGTGCTATATTTAAACTAACAATCGGTTACCACGCAAATTGGCGTGAAGCATCGGGATCATGAGAGGACGAACTCTATCGATATTCAGCGTTCCATAGCATTCAGTACAACAGTTATGCCCCCTTTTCCGAAAACCTTGTGAACTGGACAGCGGCTATAGTATTTTTTTAAATTTAGTGTGAAATACTGGGGTCATGAGAAGACAAGTCCAAACGATAATCATCATGAACAACACTAAATAAGTATGCACCCAAATAGCTGACAAATGATGCCATATTCAAATTTACAGAATTCAACCAAAAACAACAAATATTTTATCAGCTTTATTTTTTACAAATTTGCGGGAAAATTTTGAGAATTGATTTTATAACTTCAAATTTTTCTCCAATTTGACGGAAAAAAATAATCTTCATATAATTTGAGTATTAATGCTAAATAAAACACCCTATATGGTTCTACTAATGTAGTAGAAGTATAAGCGATATTTTCAATGTACAAATGCTATAATAACAGACATATTTATGGATAACATTCACTAGGTTTATTAACTGCAACGTTTTAATGAGGATACAATCAGTGTGGTTTATTGCTCAAGAGCAACACATTGTCATATATTAAAACAACACGAGTGACGTCACGAGTTGTTGTTTTGATGTATTACACAATGTCTTAAGCTCGAGACCATTTAACAACTTAAAATATAGACGCTTGCACATGCTTTGCAATGAAATACGTCACACAGGTCCAAAAATTTAACAAGTATAAATAATGTACGCTTGGCACTTTGTCCATACCATTATTTGAAATAATGATACGATAACATCAAAGGATGACGTCACATCTATATTTTAAAACATGTTACAGAAGGTTATATACAAACGGTTCACAATAAACTGTTATGTTTTGTGTTTATTACGTGCGTCGATTGCTAAATGCCGCTCAAAGAAGAAGTTAATTGCCTTTTGGGAACGGATTCTTCATTCTACCAATTAGTCCAAAATCACTTTTTAAAAGTTATTTGCGATTGGGGTTAGGGTTAGGAAAGGGGTGTTTCATTAGTTAGATGACAATCGGTTTTCTAAAGTTTATTTTGTGCCGGTTGGTGAAGCCAGATGTCGGACGTACAATCTCCACCAGGATAACGTATTTCGTGAGCTAGAACTGCTCCACCAGGTTCCTGTCCAAAATCCACCAAGAAATCTTTATTTAGTGTTAGTCCACCGTTAACCGTATCGATATCTATCTGTACCATTATACAACCATTCCTAAAATTGAAACAGAATTAAGTTATTGTAGTTATGATCTCAGAATTAAAGGACCAGGAGAGAGAGAGGGGGGGGGGGGAATATATATTTGTATCTTAAAGATACATTATGGGAGATTCGGTAACGAGTTGGCAGTTCTCACTATAATAGTTAAAAACTAGATAATGAAGAAGTCAATTTGGTGAAAATTTCATTCAAATTGATCCACTATGAACCGAGAACTAAAGTCAGCACGATAAACAGCGTAGTCTCGATTATCCATTTCATCGTTTAATAGAGAAGGAAAGTTATGCAGTAAATCGGCTTACAATCCACTAAAGATCGCAGGCTAGCGCAGCCATCTAGAGTTGATTATGGCCTGGATAGGTTAATTAATGTCTAATTAATAATTTAGATAACATTTTAGGCCTAAAGAAAGACCTGAAAAAGGCAGATTTAGCTCTTGCATAATGCATGTTTAATTATACAACCATTTCTGAAACTTAAACAGAAAATCAGGTTTAACGTCCACTCGACATAGATCAGGTCATTTCGGGACTAACATTTTATATCCTAAATTCACTTGCACGTAGGGGTCTGTAGAGTAGTGTGTGTGATGGGGTGCTACACCCTGTCACATGCATGTTACAAGTGAGGGGTCGTAACCGCATCACCGCATCACGACCTAAAGCGCACACGTTAGACTACTTTGGATGATTACCCCGGCCAATGGTCCAGTGTTTCTTATTCCGAACAACCAACAAAATTAAGATCTGTAGTAATATCGGACTTCCTTGCTGTGTTTCCTTTGTGATCGTAAATAAAACTAAAGGTTATTTGGTTTCTACAACTTTATTATTAAACTGCTTGGCTTCGATGATCCGCGTTCTCAATAAAACATAGATGATAGCTGCTCGGAATATCTGGGCGAGCTCTATGTTTTCGCTCAACACCCTCTTGTATAACCCCCTAATTTCTGTATGCAATAGACTGTCCTTCTCAAATATGGACTAAACATCCCCATTCCCAAAATAGCTGGGGGGGCGCATTACCTTATTTGGTCTACCAAACACATGTCATAAACTAGATAGAATTTGATGGATATTTTGACAATGGTAAGGATTTTACCAAAATATCACTGTTTTTTATATATAAATATATCATTCAAATTCATTAAGCAGGTGTGATTTGACTCTATAGAAAGTGTGAACAATAATTAGTTAAAAACAAATATGGTCGCAAGGACTATAGTATTACATGTGTACTCACTTGACCATGTCAGGGTAAAACTGTTTGTCCCAAGCACTGTAGAGGGAGGTAGTAGCATATAGTCTTTTACCATCCAGACTTAATTGTATCATCTGTGGACTAACGTTCATTTGTTTACCATTCATCACAAGTGGTTCTGGTTGTTCCTAGAAGAGAATATTCACCCTTCAATTTAATTAATCTAATTTAAGTTAAAATTCAACTGACACTGAACAACCCTGAGTGGTTTTAAAAGATGTCGATCCTTCCTGTAATCATTCAACAACATCCGATCTGATTAACTATCATCTTCATAGTCCGCATAGAGCCGGGGTGGCTCAGTGGGTAAGATGTTGGCCGAGAAAGTTCATCGGGATTTTCCGGCGTAGTTACCCCTTGTCAGTGGTGCAGGACAGACGACCTGAAAAGGGACACCGTATCGTTGTTCGGATGGGACGAAAAACCGAAGTGCCGTGTACACGTTGGCGTGCACGTAAAAGAACCCTTGTTAGTTAGGATTCGATATAAGAATAGGCCACAGCACCGCTAGCCGGGAAAAATTTCCCTCATAGCACAATACATGGCGTATGCCCGTCTTTATTAGCCCAGCTGGAGCAGAACAGTAGGGCGTTACACCACATTTCATTTCATTTCGATAACAGTAACCATTCAGCATCGTACTTTAAACGACATTTCGGCTCAGCGCAAAAGAACATACCAGAATTCCACATGCAACCCGAGTAAAGTGCGACTAAGCTGTTATTTTATTGGACAAAACAATAAAACAGAACACGGTTGATTTAACAAGAGGGCGTGATCTCCAATCAGCTGATATGAAGCCACTCGGGGAGTGCTTTATTGAAATGAAATCTTATTTCTCACCTTTAACTCTGTATCTCGTGTCACTTTAACTGGACCACCTTTACAGATACTACCTCCCAGGAATAACTATTAAATAAAAACAATAATTGATGGATTGCCCGGCAATTTAAACTTAAGCTAATGAAGTCATCCATGTATTGAAGGGTGTTTTGCCAGGCAATGAAACATATGCAACAGAGTCATCCAAGCAGTCTTTAACTTTAGCGTCCAGAAGATTGTCATCCAGACAAATCTTTAGCTTTAGTGTCCAAAAGAGATTGTCATCCAGACAAGTTTTTAGCTTTAGTGTCCAAAAGATTGTCATCCAAGCAGTCTTCAACTTTAATGTCCAGAACAGAAGATTGTCATCCAAGCAGTCTTTAACTTAAGTGTCCACGAGACTGTCACCCATCCAGACAAGTTTTTAGCTTTAGTGTCCAAAAGATTGTCATCCAAGCAGTCTTCAACTTTAATGTCCAGAACAGAAGATTGTCATCCAAGCAGTCTTTAACTTAAGTGTCCACGAGACTGTCACCCATCCAGACAAGTTTTTAGCTTTAGTGTCCAAAAGATTGTCATCCAAGCAGTCTTCAACTTTAATGTCCAGAACAGAAGATTGTCATCCAAGCAGTCTTTAACTTAAGTGTCCACGAGACTGTCACCCAAGCAGTCTTTAGCTTTAGTATCCTGAAGACTGTCACCCACGCAGTCTTTAACTTCAGTGCAGAGAAAAGAAGATTGTCATCCAAGCAGTCTTTAACTTTAGTGTCCAGAAGATTGTAATCCAAGCAGTCTGTAACTTTAGTGTCCAGAATATTTCATGGCCCAATTATCAAAAAAAGATTTTACTTACGTAGTTCTATAGTTCTCTATGTTTTTATTAAGACATTTTACCGGTCGTAAATCGAATAAATCGAATGTCATTACAAAATTAGAATAATTAATATGATGGTGTGAAATGGGGTTTAACGTCCTGGCATTCCTAGCATGATGCGGGAGAAATATTTTGGCGAGAACTGTCTAAAATGGCATAACTGTGCGACTAATCAAGGCTGTCTTCTATTAGTGGTGAAAAATGGTGGCTCAGTGAGTAAGACGTTCGCTCGCTAGTCTGGAGGTCCCATGTTCGATCCCTGTGTTGGCCGAGAAAGTTAATCGGGGTTTTCCGGCGTGATTCCTCATTATCATAGTGCAAGACTGAGGACTTGGCAAGGGATAATGTATGATCGTTCGGTGTGGACGAAAAACCAATGTCACGTGTACACATTGGCGTGCACGTAAAAGACCCACTGGCAGTTGAAATTCGATATAAGGGTAGGCCGTAGCGCCACTGTCTGGGCACAATTTCCATCACAGAACACTGTATGGCGTATGCCCGTCTTCATTATCCCAGTCGGAGCAGAACAGTAGGACGTTAAACCACATTTCATTACACTTCTAATAGCAATATCATATTGCCTCCCTTCTAATCAAGACATTTTAGTATTATTGATATCATATTGTATTGTTTTACCTGTCCGACTAATCGAGGCTTTCTTGTATTGGTGATGTCATATTGTCTGATGTCACCATGAGCCCAGTTACTAAAGTACAGATATTTATCATCTAATGATAGTAGAATATCTGTTATTAAACCTGAAACAAGAAACAGAAAATGTTATTATCTAATGATAGTAGGTATATATCTGTTATTAAACCTGAAACAAGAAACAGAAAATGTTATTGTGTTGTTCAACAAATATATAGTATATAATAAATATTTGTGGAATTACAAATGTTTGCACTAAAAGAACATATTGCTGGGTTCTGGACTTAGCTCGGGTTCTTTCTAATGGGGATTGGGTGTCTTTATTAGTAAGTACAGGAGGACCGCACTACACACAAAACAAAATCTTCACGATAAACCTGCGGACAAGACAGAATATAGACAATGCAAAAAATAAATAAATATCAAATCATTTGAATGGATAGTAGACGACACCACCTTATAGTATAAACTTTTTAATTGGTGTTGATATTAATTTATTTATATCTGTCTTTATTCACTTATAAACTGTCAAGTTCAACGTTGCGTCGCTTTGGTTATAACTAAAAGAGGTAAGGTACCAAGTGAAACCGGGTACCACAACAAACCACCATTCTGGTCTTAACGTTTATTGAGATGGTTTAATAATGATTCAATCTGATTAAAACACAGATCCTATTTCGTTTCGTTTTTTATAGTTAAAGTGACGAATGAATGAAACCAATGAAACACTCTGTCACGGCGACTTCTTGGCGTGCCATGCACGGAACTGTGGGTAAACCACTAGAAACGCCAACGCTGATTGATTAATTCTGATGTCATAGGTCAAAAGCCGCTCGTCAACCCCGACACGACCTTCGAGTACAACATGTCAGATCTTCTAGGTCATCGAAAGTATAAAAAAACAAAACGAAATATAGATTTGTATTTTAATTAGATTGATAATGACTCTAATACGTTACCTGGCATTTCAGGAAGTGCCCATCCTTCAACAGTTTTAGACGGTATATCTATAACTTTCTCTGCATCCCATAAACCACTCTAAAAATAGGAAAAGCCAGAAATAGGCTTTAATGTGTATCAAAAAAATGAAATGAAATAAAATGGGGTTTAAGGTTCTACTGTTCTGCTCCTAAACTGGGCTATAAGACGGGCATACGCCATACAGTGTGCTATGAAGGAAATTTTGCCCGGGCAGCGGCACTATGGCCTACTCTTTTATCGAATTTCAACTGCCAAGGGATCTTTTAAGTGCATGTCAATGTGTACACGGGATCTCAAGTTTTCGTCTCATCCGAAAGACTAGACAGCTGTCTTTTTCGGGCCCTCTGTCCTATACCACTAACAATCCCGATGAAATTTCTCGACCTCGATCAAACACGCGACCCCCAGGATAGCGAACGAGCGCCTTGCCCACTTAGCCACCGAGACTCGGTCTATCAAAAACAAATGGCCACATTTCATTACTTTGTATGTGGATAATGTCGACCCTTCAGATACACGGAGATGGTGTTGTTGCTCGGGTGTGGGGGAAACCCTTGCTCAGTACGGATCGCCCCTACGGCTGGTAGAAATAACAGACGTAATATGTAATACTATGATTACCTCTGTTCTAAAGAATCGGAAGATATTAGATGATAGAGCACAACCAACATAACCCTCTATCGCTGTTGGGTCGTGAAGAAATCGGATTTCTAAAGGCAGGTAGCCTTCTTCACCCAGATCTAATGTTTGGATATGTTCATGTGTTGTCCAATCCCAAACATGTACATGACGACCATATAAACCTACAACAAAACAACAAATACACCAACATGGACATGACAACCATATACTATAAATATATGGACATGGCTATAATATAAACCATATACTATAAATACACAAACATGGCCATGACAACCATATACTATAAATACATGGACATGACAACCATATAATATAAACCATATACTATAAATACACAAACATGGCCATGGAAACCATATACTATAAATACATGGACATGGCAACCATATACTATAAATAAGAAATATAGACAACTGTATAATATAAATACACAAACATGACCATGACAACCATATAATATACATAAATACACAAACATGACCATGACAACCATATAATATATATAAATACACAAACATGGACATGACAACCATTAAATAGAAATACACAAACACGTTCATGACAACCATTTAATCTAAATATTTTATTACAGAGAATGTCGCCGTCAAGATGCCAGGCTGTAGCCAATAAATAATAAACGACTATAGATGTTTTATCCAGACACGAATCTGCACGAATAGAAGGCACCCAGGGCTGGAGCAATCTGTTTCACATATGGATTGCGAAGGCCTTTTTCTTATACCTCAGTGTGTAAGATGACTGACCTTTATAAAGTTCATATGCATTCATTGCCCGATAGCTCGTGCAATGTTTACACAGCGTGTGAACTGGTCCAGGCAGAATGGTGCATTTTAATCATTTTATATACTAAACACCATTATTACTTTTCTAATACCCCCCCCCCCCCCCCCCAAAATGTTTTAGAATTTAATGCAGATGGACAAAAGTTAATATCGCGAGCTCAGTGATTGTAGCGCTCTAGCGAATATTCACTGCTGATCAGTATGAGGCTGGAGCAGAAGTTGGGGTAGGCGACAGGGCTCTAGTTTTGGTAATATTTGTTTTACTCCGCGTATACACATATGGCCTGACGATTCGTTTGATATATAACGATGAAAGTACTAGCCAAAATTTAATTTTTAGTGTTTTTTCTCTATTATTTGAATTTTACATATACTTTATATATATATATATATATATGTGTATTTGTTTTACCCTTTTCGACATGTTCTGGATTAAATCCTGTTCGCCATGCTTTAGGAGCTCCCCATTCAGAACTAACCATGACGTTGTGTAACGGCTGATACCAAAAATCATAACCAAAGCTCGAATTGACGGCTCTCTCCCAATTACCAACAACGGAAAAATCTTCGCCATCTAATAAAATGAAGCCACCTGAAATGAATAGTTAGAATTACCAAGTGAGTAAGAAAATACGATTTTTTTTGTCAAGATGGTATAGCTTCCAGCTTGGCACCTTCCCCGCACCCTCCATAAGGACCGAGGCACTGCTTCTCTACCCCTCGGTTTCTTGGTGTGGGGGTGGGGGGCGATGTTACTGAATAATAATATTAAAAACGATAGTTTGGTGAGTTTATTAGTAAAATACGGGTATACACATTATCCTACCTTTGTTATTACCATCGGGATCTCCCATACAACTGATCATGATCTGTCCACTCCCTAAACAATGTGACGTATGTGGTGCACCTAAACCGGTTTTGGTGTGGACTTCTGATGGCTCTACAACCTGTAATAAATATTGGGGGATTCTTGCATAATATGAGAGATATGAAGGAGTGTAAATGACAGGATATAACGTCCTAGTGTTCTTAGCTACGAGAACTTAGCTAAAAACGTTGAGATATACTGATGTGCTTGCAGGGGCGTACATAACGATTTTGTTTGGGGGGGGGGGGGTAGCCAAAATGCGACCGACTGATGCACATACCCCCAGTACGAGTGACGCAGTCAGGAGCCGCGCACCACAGGTGCGAGTTTTCTAGGGGCCATGTGCAGTAGCGGATATAGAAGCTGGGAATAGGGGGTGGGGTGGGGTGGTTCCAAATCTAGGGCGCCATCCACAATCCCACCCCACAATGAATGTCAACAAAATACAGTATTGTATAATTGTATAGTTGTTCGCCGATCGTTGTCTCGCCGGAAAGCAGTTTTTTTTAAGTTGACATAAAGTTTATGTCATATGATGATTGTGCCTATAACACTGAGCAACCTGAGAAAATTTTGAAAAATTGAGTCAATATCTTGGCATTTCAGGTCATTGCTGGGAGAAAGTCTTCTGGACGAGAGGACCAGAAATGTGAGCCAATGGGACAGAATCTTGAGATCTCCCCCTGTCAATTCCGCCTGTTTTGCAAGAGTTGACATAACATTTGTATAGTCTGACGCCCCACGACCCACACACCAGTATAACTGGGCAGTTCACATGATAGTGCTAATACAGTATAAGAAAACAGAGGAATAGAAGAATGATGTTAAAACGGAATCGAGCGCCGCAGGCCCGAAAAAAATCCAGATATGTAACCGAGCTTTTAATTTTTCGGGACAGGGCCTGACAATTTTAGTCAATGTCATGGCAAATGGAACCAAATTCTCGCTAAAGAGAGGATAAGAAATGAGACAGAATCTTGTGGCCTATCTGTCAATTTCGCCTGTTTTGTGGTTGTTTGTTTACCTCATTAATTCATTTAGTCTGAGACCGACTGCCGTGAGTACTTTTTTTTGAGACCGACTATTTTTTTGCAATGGGGGAAAAATATTTCATAGAACAACACACTCACAACAGAATAAGAGTGACAAACATTTTTTCAAACATGACAAGCAGACACGGTTATTTTATACTATAGTTTTGTGTGACGTATGCAATTTAGGCTCACGGTTTTACGCAAATACATAGTATTTGGGATCTATTCTGGCATTGTTTGTTTACCTCATTAATTCATCAAGTCGCCGGTGCATAATTTTGAGACCGACTGCAATCACTGCACTTATTTTGAGACCGACTATTTTTCTCCCTGGGGGAAATTTTGTTCATAGACCAACATACTAACAACAGAATAAGAGTGAAACACAACATTTTTTCAAACATGATAAGTTGACAAGGTTATTTTATACTAAAGTTTTGCGTGAGTAGCGTGACGTATGCAGTGAGCACTTATTTTGATACCGACTGCTCTTATTTTGCGACCAACTGCACTGATTTTGCGACCGACTATTTTTCTTCCTGGGGGGGTGTACCACCCCACCCCCCGCACATTTACGCCCCTGTGCGCTTGTTTTTAGCTACGATTGGGTGCCTTTAGTTCCAAGTGCCAAACTCAATTTCTTTATTAATGTATGTAACATCTTCAAAATAAGATAATTTTATACTATTATGACTAATTAAACTTACAGAGGCCGATGTAGTGGTATAACTATCGCCTCGCTCCAAATATTCGCGTTTAAATTAATGAAGAGTTGTTTTTATCCGACATACACCGCCATACATCTCCCGTTTAAAAATGGCGTTCCTAGTAACAGCTTAACGCCTCGATTTTAAATACGATGATTTATACCAGTTTCAGGTAGGATTATGCTAATTGTAGTTGGATGTGACAGATTATTATAAATAACAATAATCAATCGTTGTTTTGATGAAAAATATTGACAATTTTGCTTACTAAGGCCCGATCTATTATCTCGAAACACGGAGGGTTGAGGAAGAGGTTTGTTATCTAGAATGTTCTGTACCTAATAAATGGAATGAAAGAGGTTTTCTAATATAATGAAATGAAATGGGGAGGCTTACGTTGACTATATAGACGTTAAACCCCATACCATTCCGTTCCGTTCGGTAGATCTAGGGGTTGCTCGATTGTCAGTACGGAACATCCCGAATGGATAGAAATACAATCAAGTGGCGTGCAATTCAGTCCCGTCACAGTTCTGCCATTTCCGACCCCTGAGGTGATGTAAGTAGAATCGTGACGTAATTAAACACAACCAATAATTTCAGCGGTTGAGATATTTCTTATGCCGTCAATGCATGCCTTGTAGTCCGAAATCCCCTTTTCACTCAATGTTCACTATTTAGGGGATGGGAGAATTAAATTCCGGAACGTTCAATCGTGTATCCCCCTACATTGTCGTGGGATGCTTTTTAACCGATTGATCTTGGAAAGAAATGGGATTAACGTCCTACTGTTCTGTACCAACCGAGTTAACGAAGACTGGCAAACACCACGCGGTGTGCTTTGATGGACATTTGGCCTGGACAGCGGAGTTTCGGTAACATTTGGCCGAATTTTAACTATTAAGGATTTGTTTACGCGTAAAACGGACTTCGGGTTTTCGCCCCCCCCCACCCCGCTACACCAATCAGACTGACCACAATCTTTAAATCATTTCTGCCTAACGAAATGACGAACCTTATGCATCCTTGGTGCACGTTCATCTGTTCCTGTATCTACCACATATATTCTATCACTGTTTAAACATGGCATTATCAAACGATTCCTGGCTTTACTGGAATCACCATGACAACTTGAGCAAGCATTCCATCCGGTGTGATGAACTTCATCTCCTTTATAGGTCATTGGAAGTCTGTGAATTACCTGGAAATAGAAGGTGTATACAGTTAAACCTCGTTAATAAGACCAGTTAAAATTTGCTTATAAGACCAGTTAAACCTTGCTATTTAGTCCAGTTAAACCTTGCTATTAAGTCCAGTTAAACCTTGCTAATAAAACCATTTAAACCTCACTTATAAGACCTCGCTAATAAGACCAGTCGCGGGACTGAATTGGTGAAATTATAAATATGAAATAAAATGGTTCATTTAAAATATGGCCTTATGCTCGAAAAAATTTGGAAATATTCAATTTCATCAGCTACATCACCACAGCCAACAAAAAGCTCAAATTTACACGCTGCGTAGAAACATAATATTATGTGACTCGTTAAACTGTTAGTTAGGGAGGTGGGGTACTAGGTTCCCCGACCTGTATCCGCCATTATGTAATGATCATTCTATATTTGTTTACCTGACAATAAGGGCGTTGGGTGGCCCAATGGTTTAACGCGTGCGTGTTGGAACAGGTCTGTCATTGAGACAAGTGGCGTAGTTTCGATTCGCCGCTTGTACGTAACAAGGAGAAGTGTAAATTGTCCAAACCCATGTTATTTTTCCAGGTCCTCCCGACTACGTACAAGCGAATCATTGAAATAACCATATGTTAGTCCCAAAATGACTTAGTTTATGCTGAGTTGACGTTAATTTCTGGGTAGTTCAGTGATCTAATGCTCAATATAGATTATAAGTCCTGTCATGTATGCAAGTCGTGGATTCGATCCTGCGTTGTTGTTTTTTCTCGCACCCTCTGTTTTTCTTCTCCCTTTAAAGATTGCTGTGAACAAGTGAATTATTGATATATAAGTTGTACTACATCTCTCTCTCTCTCCCTCTCTCTCTCTCTCTCTCTCTCTCTCTTACCTGACAGTAGTAGGATGACTGTGGATCAATATCAACAGTAGCCAAATAATCAGCTCGTCTGTGACGATCATCCGGTGGTATAATACACGGTATATACACCAACTTCTCTCTCGGCCCAGACATGGCCTTTAAAGGGGTCGCGTAACCTGGTCCTCCACAACATTCTTCAATAAAAATAGAAAACTATGATAAAATAATGTATCTGAATAAGAGCTAATGAGGATCGAAAAAACTTATTACTTTGAGGTGTTAACACCATCAGGGATCTAATTGGCGCTTCCGTTGTTCACTTTTTGTGGATAGTTCGTTTGTGGTCGCACCTTGGTAAAGCTCGCTGAATACCACTAGGGTTGTATCGAGCGGAAAGGACCACAATTTAACAAAGCTCACTGAATACAACTGGGGTTGTATGGAGCAGAATGGCAATGGGGCTATCGAGGTGATCTGATGTTGTTACATCCAAGTGTATCTCACAAACAAGATTTGCATCCATCTATTTATAAAAGAAATGAAATGAAATAGGGTTTAACGTCCTACTGTTCTGCTCCTATGCTGGGCTAATGAAGACGGGCGAGAGAAATCTTGCCCGAGCACCGGCCCTACGGTCCTCTCTTATATCGAATTCCAATAGCCAAGGGTTCTTTATGTGCACACTGGACCTCGGTATTCATAGAAAAAAATCTACGTTTTCATTGCGTCCCTGTATATAGTTGATTTCGAAGAATAAGAAATTACCGGCTCAGCCAAAAAATGATCATAGCAAAAGTGTTACGCGGCAAAGTTTATTTGTCCCATTATATGTTGAAAGATAGGCTGCCAGGCTACGAAACATACACCCACAGCAACTAAGTCGGTCGAACAGCCTACAAGGTTGTCGCATTTTGTTTTCGATAACTAAGGTGTTCATAAGACACTAAACACTTATTAAGAGTAACAGCCCCTTTCAGTAATAATCAGAACCCATTGAAAATAAATAAGATGCTTTCTCTCATAAATATAAACACTTCAATTTCAAGACATTCCGATGATAACTTTAGCCGCGTGATCAATAGGATTCTACATCGGATGACCTTAAACAAGTCATTCAGATGATAATAGGCTTCATTGTCTCATGACCATAGACATTATGTATCAAATTTAATGTCAATCGGACGATAACTTTAGCCACAGAGCCTGTATATTAATCAGATTGATATGAACGCTGGACTGAAGAACGGGTGGGGGTGACGACAATATGGCCTTATAGATGTGTGGAATGGTTTTCTTATTAATTAAACACCCCATAAGCATCTGCTCCTACCTAGCTCTACGCCACTGCATGTACCTTCCAAAATATGTCCAAGGGTGTTGGATGTTTTATGCCGGGATCTTCTTATTTGGACTTAATCTTGTTATAACCTATATTTAATGGTTAATTGGACTATTGGACACCACAGGAAAATAAAATTACACTTAAAATTGATAGGCACGGATACACAGATACACACCATCATCCCCTTTTCAAATAACACCTCCCCGCCCATGGAATAAGGCAGCGAGAAGACAATGCAGAGATGAACATTCGGGATAGCCCAGGCGGAACAGTCGACCCACGGCCCGTGCTTACTGTGGTTGGATCTGTAAAGAACCCTCACCTCCCGATAACCCTAACCTGGCCAGTTCGGTCGAACTTCATAAAAATACTATACATCAGTAGTTGTCGACAGGCGCCCTTATCGCTGAGTTCTCAATCAACCTTTTTATGTTTGTGCGATAGCTCAGTGGTACAGCGCTGGACCGGCAACTGCGAGGCGAATGGGTGCCGTCATTGGTTCGATTCCCGTAAGAGTTAGGAAACGTTAGACCCACGACCCGTTCTTTCTGTGGGGGGGGGGGGGTCTGTAAAGAAACCTCACCTCTCGATAACCCTGACCCTAACCCTTACCAAAGACCTAACTCTAAATCTCGACCATCCGATGGGCTAGAGAGATGATAATAGGCTTTTCATAACAAAACACAACACAAGGTATATATGGATATAACTACTTCTCTATTATTAACTTGAAAACGTGACCTGTATGTATTACGATACGTCGTTATTAAATAACAACATATAATTACATACCCTGTGTTGTGTTTTGTAGCTAAGTCTCTAATTCAATATCATCCAAAATCTTCAACATTGAAAACACGATATATTTGTCAAATTAAATCAACATTCATGTTGTGATCTTACCGGAAAATGATGGGCTTTTGATATCCAATATTTAAGACAAAATAAACATTTTACCATTGGTACACGAATCGTGTACCATAATGCGCTTCACCCCTTGTTGAATCATGAGACTCAAGGGACGAGGCTTGACACATTGCACCAAATCAAACGGCGTATGTAGACTGGAATAACCAGACGCTAGAAATTTGCACTCGCTTGAGACTGCTGACTTATTTCGCCGAACATAACTGATTTGAAATTGGAGTAAAAACGAAAACCATTGAATGTAAATCAGTTTATATACATTCATATTACAGTATTATATGCGTTGCGACCCACTTTTGTCAATTTCTAGGTCCCAAATGTTAGCGATTTAGCTCCTTTAACCGTGCTTCTAGATGTCACTTAAAGAATTGATTATAGGCTTGTCATGTAAATAAATGTCTAAACAATAATTTATATAACATTTGAAGTCAAAATAGAGACATGCTACAGGTAGATTTAGCTACACTAGAGATGATATTTACTTTATATCAAGTTTCAAGGCTGCAAATGACGCCATATTTGGTCCCAAACAGTTTTATCTTCAAATATAGGTTCTCTGCCCCACCCACCTTCCCCACGGTCAAAAATCTTAGCTACGCAAGTACAATTGCTAGGAGTTCAACTAACGTACTTTAATCTTTATAAGTAGCCAAGTCATGTTCATTTTGGTTGAATCAATATTTAAACAACGTATCACACGTGTATTTACATAATAATAATAGATTTAAAAACAAGAGGCACTTTATATAATTTATATATGTGACAGTCAATGTCTACAATCAGGCAATGTGTACAATGCCTGAAATATACCAGTCAATGTGTATATTGCCGGGTTAGGGTTAGGGCTAGGGTAAGGGTGGGGGTTAGGGTTACAAAGGCATTGTACACATTGCCTGATTGTAGACATTGACTGTAACATATACACAGGCTTCAGATCATGAGGTATGTTATCGTGGTTTCTATCCGCCTCTTGTACGTGAAAAGATGGAAAGAGAGAGTCGCCGGTCTAACATCGTTTGTACGTGACAAGGAGGATGATCGCCGGTCTAACATCGTTTGAACGTGGCAAGGCGGAGGGTCGCCGGTCTAACGTCGTTGTACGTGACAAAGAGGCCGAGTCGCCGGTCTAACATCTTTTATACGTGACAAGGAGGTCAGATCACCAGTCTAACATCGCTTATACGTGATAAGGAGGATGGTCGCCGACCGATCTAACATCGTTTGTACGTGACAAGGTGGAGGATCGCCGATCTAACATCGTTTGTACGTGACAAGGAGGTCGACTCGCCGGTCTAACATCGTTTTTACATGACAAGGAGGGTGGTCGCCGATCTAACATCGTTTATATGTGACAAGGAGCATGGTCGCCGATGTAAACATCGTTTGTACGTGACAAGGAGGTCGGCGATATTTTTTTTCTCCAAATTCTCCAGATTTCATCTTATTGCTAAAGTGCACGCTTTATACCACCCCCACACCGCGACCTATCGGCTTGGAGTGTAAATACGATTGTTAAGAAATGCGATATTTTAAGCCACGCGAAAAGTCAATTGAACAATCTATTCTTACACAACATGTAAGCATCAATCCTTCACTTCAAGTGTTCAGAGGCACTGTATAAATATATTCAGTTACAATAAGATATCACGTCAATTATTTGAACGTGTTTAAACGGGTCGATCACATAATATGTACTATTGGCTGACTCCAACATTGTCCCTTAAGGGCTGGGAACCACTGTGACTAAGCGAGTAAGGCGCTGGCTCGTTAGCCTGAAGGTCGCGGGTTCCATCCCGGTGTTGGCCGAGAAAGTTTATTGGAATTTTCCGGCGTGGTTCCCCCTTGTCAACGGGAGGACGGGACGAAAAACAGACGTCCTATGTACACATTAGCGTCCACGTTAAAGATCCCTTGGCAGTTGAAATTCGATGTAAGAGTAGGCTGTAGCGCCGCTATCCGGGCAAAATTTTCCTCATAGCACACTGTATCCATGGCGTATACCCATCTTCATTAGCCCAGTCGGAGCAGAACAGTCGGACACTCGGATTGCTCAACTGCGATTTCAGTGAAGTCGTTTATACTGACCGCGAACGCTGGTGAATTTTTGTTCGCGTGAAAAACCGGAAAGATTGATTCCATAGAGCGATTTCTTGGGACGAGTTCGCGCAAACGATTTTCACTAGCCAGCCAGTGTGCGATCTCAAAAGTCATACATATGACGTATCTGTTGCAGGTGACTTGAGACGGTTTCACCGTGCCAGGTGACAAGACAGAAGAGCCCATTCTACAAATCGAGAAGGGCTACAGGATTTCTTACCTATATTTGAAAAATCCTATAATTTCTGGCAAAGATATATAAGAACGGACCCATATTGCTTTATTCATCTTCGAATTTCCGTGTGTATCGTGGCTTTCAGTGGGAACGATGATCCGGGCGGAAAGTCGCAGCGGTTGCAGTTCGTGGTCGAGGTCGCGTTCTCGCTCAGTATAAATAGCCCTTAAGGCCCACTTTGCATGTATATGTGCTCGTGACGTTTGCGACCGTTCTATGTCACCGGCAAAAACGAGCCGCTAGAGATAGATGAAAATGTGTTTTAAATATAATTGAGCAAAGTCGAGGATAATGACGATGATTATAACTACACTTGTGTAAGAAATAGAGGATATTTGTCGTTTTAGAGTGAATAACATACTTTATTTCATCGAGAAGCAGTGGAATACCGCGTTTATCAGTGAAATAAAAGTGTTATTCCACTGGCTAGTTGTTTTTACCTAAAATGATTGTAAAATCATAAAATAAATAGAACATTTGTCGTTTTGTCGTGAATAACATATTTTATTTCATCTCTAAGCAAGAAAACGTTTATATTTTCACGAATGCGTAGCATTCGTGAAAATATAAGTTTTCTTGCTTCTCGATGAAAT